AATTTATAATGAGAGAGAAAAATATACGTGCGAGGGGCGGAGTCATGAGGCTGCTGAGTATGTGTACATGTTGTGAGACTGACGGTGAAGGTGGTGTAAGCTGTGGTCTGGACAGCGGCTGAGTCGTGAGCCAACAGCCGCAGGAGGAGACAGCTTGCGGTGCTCCAGTCTGCCTGATTCTTCTCGTCTTTCAGTCTGAGAAAATTGAGAGAGAGGAGAGAGAGACATAAATCCTTTCATGCTGATGTGCACACAAAATAAGGGTTGACGTTGAAACACGACTTACTTACAACGACACACACAGCCTGATCTCTCTCCCGACAAACTCAGAGTTACAGAAGACGTGAAGACAGGGCAGAGCGGCCGTTGCAAGCTCCACCTCCTTCCGAGGTGATAACGAGGTGGGTGTGGCTTCTGGTTCCGAATCACACTCTTCAGACAACAAGACATGTTCTTAAATGCCTTGAATAACTCCTCGACTGCTTCCAAAATCTACCAACATAAAAATAGCTGTATTATCCTGACCCAAAATTCTCAAAATTTTATGCCAGCCCGCATTTATATATAGTCACTCCTAAAGTTTCTTTGTACTTTTAGCGAGTACATATGTGAGAGGAAAGACAGACTAAAAAACAATCCTGAATACCTCAACTTCAGCTGGACAATGCAGTCCAAGTACACAATATCCTCAAAATTTAGTGATAGGTAGAGTCGGTGCAGCACTAAAATAAGGATCTGCTAAAATTTTAGTGAAGAGGCCGACAGACAAACCATGGTAAGTGTATGTACCTGGTGAGAGGTCGGATCAATACTCTCCAGACAGACGGACAACCAGCCATGAAGCTGAGGAGCTGCCACCATTACAACCCCGTCCATTACCAAGTCTTTCAGAATCGCCAGGGAAGAGGGGAGAGAGGCAAGACCGGCTGGGGTAGAGGCTAGAGTTCTCTGGAGGCAGCACGCCAGGGAAACGCACACACGGACACACGCCAGCTGGTGGTGGGCGGAGTCGTGGGCGTGGTCTGGTGTGCTCTTATTAGAGATGTGTCTCCAGAGGGCCAGAGAGTGAGAGATTGCCAAGCAGAGGCTCTCGACTGCTTGTTTCTCTCTCTTCCTCTCCTTCTGTTTCTCTCGCTCCACACTTTTCATATGCCTGCGACAGGAAAGAGAGCAGTGTTCGTATTGAGCACCACCCCTCTTTTAGTAATACTTTCTAGTCGTGTTTCTTATTTTTAGCAATGTTTCTTTTATTCTGATCGCTAAAAATAAGAAACACAACTAGATGAGTTCTTTGGTGGTTGTTTTATGCTAGCCGTTCTTTTAGTGATGAAAGTGAAAATATAAAAAAGGGTTTCTCTTGCCTCAAGGAGCTCCACGGCAGACACCAACAGTTGCAGAGTTGTGGTAATCCCAGAGGTTGCCTCACTCCTAACCTCTCCCTCCCTCGCCACCCCCGCCTTGCTCAGCAGACTGGTGAGAAGGTCTGTTGACAGTCCCACCACGCGAGAGACGTAGCCAGTGAGGGTCATTTCAGACGACTTGAGATGAACCAGCATCTCCTGGGTCAGCCGCTCCAGGTCATGTGACTCCCTCTGCTGAATCTGATTGGTCAGTTCGGCTGTCGCCACAGTCAGTCCCTTCTGGGTACATGTGCTCACATGTATATCTGTGTTAAAAAACTTTTACTGCCTACATTGGTAAATTTTAGATTGGTATACATATTTTTGCACGATGCCCCTATATAATTAGAATGTTGTCCACTTTTCATGATGCAGTGCCAGCATGCTTACAAGGGACACGAAACGTGAGCATTTTTGGAACCACTTTAATGTAAACACTTGCACAAACAAATCTCCCTCCGCCATAATTATACGTAGTTTGCAACCTTTGACAGTGAAGAGATCGGCTGAGGCCACTTCCAGGAGGACTGTTCTGGAGACTAGTTGAGAGTTGAGTCTAGTGAGACAGCGACAGACACTGGACGAGTCGGTTGGCACGGTGCCTCGCCGAGTGTCCACAGAGAGAGCAACACCTGCATGGTGGAGGAACAAACAAACGAAAGAAGTGAACAAGAGTGTGTTGGGTTTGGATTGACAATGGAACACTGCACCGTGTACTGCTAATGCTTGTGCTAGTTCATGCACAAGAGTGTGTTGGGTTTGGATTGACAATGGAACACTGCACCGTGTACTGCTAATGCTTGTGCTAGTTCATGCACACACATACAATGAAAAAGAGTGTGTTGGGTGTGGATTGACAATGGAACACTGCACCGTGTACTGCTAATGCTTGTGCTAGTTCATGCACACACACATACAAGTGAAAAGAGTGTGTTGGGTGTGGATTGACAATGGAACACTGCACCGTGTACTGCTAATGCTTGTGCTAGTTCATGCACACACATACAATGAAAAAGCAACGACCAAAAAAAAACAAAAACAGAATTGTGAACGCTTGCACCTAACTAGAGCAGCAGGTTTTACAGAGTTCTAAAAGAAATGGACAAGTGAACATAGGGAGACAACGGAGATGGAGTGCAGTGGGTTAGTACAACTAACTCGAAGCAGTGCTGATCGCTGAAGAAAGACTTCGGGAGGGAAATCTTGAAGTAGAACATCTTCAATGAACTGACAGGATTCCTGGACCGACTCTCCAGACAACAGACGACTACAGATAATTAGGAGAGATAGAGAATGATGTAATGTTAGATTTGTGACCTACTTCTCTGTCGTTCGTAGGATGTTGATATCATTGAGAGAGAGCCTCAGCCAAGGAAATACCTTCTTACCCTCCCTCCTCTCTCCCTCCTTTCCTTCTCCTGTACTGACGGCTCCTTCCTCTGTTGACAGAGACGGAGGTATCGGGGTTTGTTGGACGGCATGTGAGCAGCTAGAGGGTCCACTGATGGTGAGTGGGTTGATAACTGTGGTGGAACCGGGAACAAGATTAAGGAGGGAGGGAGGGAGAGGGAGGGAAGGAGTGGAGCACTGTTTTTGATCAGCAGTAGCAAGAGAGGTGGGTGGTGAGTTTGGGTCTGTATCGTACGGAGTGTGCTTGGAGTCTGCGATGGCTAGAGGATTGGCTCCGCTTTGGAGTTCTTGTCTGTTGTCTTCCGCGCACGACAGCTGAATCAGGGGTCCGTTGGTTGGTAGTTCTGTCCCTCTCGAGGGAGCGTGAGGAGAGGGAGGAGAGGGAGGGAGAAGCGAGGGAGGTATTCGCAGCAGTTTCTCTAAGATGCTGTCGATCGTGGGATGAAGAGAGGGGTCGCAGTGAGGTCTCAGTTGAGACAGAAAGTCCACTGCTCCCATATCCACCAGGCCTACAGCCGCCACCTCATACTGAGAGAGAGAGAATCCAATGAAGCTTTGCATGAAATCAGATGCACAGTGAGACCTCTGCTAGAGTGTCCAGTAGACCCAGTGGTAGCTGCTCGCTGCCCCACTCAGGAAAGTTGAACCACTGGAGCAGGGAAGACAAGAAAGCCTGCTCGTGGACGAGGCCCTCCGCCGAGACGAGTCCGCTGCGGAGCTTCAGCGACAGACTGCGGAGGGAGCGAGTCCGCACCTCCAGAAGAGGGTGGCCTGTATGCGAGGGAGGTTTAGGGGGCGAAGTCTATTAGCCTGGAAACGGTGCGGAAACACTGCTGAGGTGAAATTCTCACTGGTCTTGGCCAGAAGTTCCCTGATGGTCTGCTCGGCCACGTCTCCTTGCTCTGACATCGCTTCAAGCAAGCTCGCAGTGCAGCTGCAGCATTTCAAAGAGACCGCTCAGGTCAAAGGTCGTGGTTTACCCACGTGACGGGGTCGAAGGTCAAACTATGGTGTGCACTATTTAGAAACATTACTGGAGAGACGCTTGGAGAGCCCAGAGCTCTGCTTCGAGCCTAACACGGCCGATACGTGTGAGTTTTCCATTTAAAATCGTGAGGAAGGCCGTAAGTAAGGAAATGAAATAAACTAAGTTCGCAGAAATGGCGGGGCGAGACGGATGGCCGAGTCCGGATGTTTTCCAGCTCCTTCAGGCGGGGGACGTGGAGAAACTGTGGGGCTGTCGGCCGGGGAAGCTTCGCCCATTCCTGCCCTACCTTGTTCGGATGGCTTTGAGCCCCTCCTCCCTTCTACTGTCCCATTCCCAGACCACCGAGACGTGTGCACGGGACAGGAAACTTGTCTTATCTGTGATAGCAGGTGCGAGTGACCCTGCTTTATAGGTCCTCTCAGTGCAACCAACTCATCATGTATGCAAGGCTAACCATATTATTTGGCAGTTTGGTGGACGCACTCAGATCACAATAGCCGACATCGAAGCATCAAAAAGCAACGTCGTTATCAAATAGCTGTTGTTTGCAGTAATGTACAGCATGCAGTGCAGTAGTCACCTGTAAAATGTTGATGTGTCAGTTTGAGGCAAAAACTGCACAATTCACGTCATGTCGTGTTTTGTGACTGCAGCAATCCCCGAGGCCAACTCTGTGCATTCCTACCTCCAAATGGACTTCCCTGAGCTGAGGAGTGACGCAGTGAAGGAGAGGCAGCTGCTGCGGAAGCTGGGGCCGGCAGAGGAGAGACCGGCAGCACAGAGCGTCCTCGCAACCTCCATGCAGTTTGGGATGGCCATCGAGTTTGAGAGAAGTGACCACGTCAGACGGATGAGACTCTTTCTCAGCGAAATGCTCAGAGTCATGAGTAAAGTATGGACACAATGCTCATTCTCATAGGGTTGTCACAATTACGCATTTAGTATCCTTCATCTCGCTTCAATTTTTGTCTTTCCCTATGTACTGTATATCTTGCACCACTTTCCTCTTTCACCCTATTTCGCCAAAAACTCTCTGGTTTCCCCCCATCTCGCTCTAAACTTTAGTTTTCTCCTACTGTACATCTCGCTCCAAACCAAGTTCAGTACTGAAACCCTCACCGCACAGAGTTATAAATTATTGGCGTATGTCAACTATTACTTATGGATGCACGTGTGTGTGTGTGTGTGTGTGTTAACTGTGTAGGTTGATTCCCACTTTGCTGTGGAGCAGAGCGATCTGTTTGAGAGTGAAGTTCACTTGGCTGAAATCTGCGACATCATGGCCATTGCTGTGGAAGGTATATATAATATATATAGCATAACAGGAAACAGTCTAAAAAGAAAAGTTGCGAAAGTGCCCCTCAGTAGTTTATACAGTGGTGTATATCCATAAGTATGGCACAGTATGTTTACCGTCCTTGCTATACAATATGCAGTACAAACTCGCAGTATTTTGTAGTGTTGTGTGATTTCTCTGCTATTTCTCCGTCTCTCTCGTCAGAGCTGCCGTCCTTGTTGCCAGTTGTACCAGTGACCGAGGCTCTCCTGAGACTGCGCAACGGTCCTCGACTCCTCACCTGCCTCGTTGGCAACATGCCCGACCAACTGGACCACGGTGTGCAGTTTTACTGGCAGGAATTGCCAAACCCTCACTCTCCGTATGCGTATGATGTGCGGTGGACTACTCTCTACTTATTACCGCTGCATTTGCAGTCTTTTCAACCTTCTTTCTCATTCTTCATCTGACTCCTCTCCCTCCCTTTCTCTCTCCCCAGTCCTCACATCTCTGCTGGTGAATGGAGAAACGCAGGACGAGGTCTCACTGGCCGGTCGCTGCCGCACGACTGCTCTCTCCTCCCTCCTTCACCTCCACCCTCCCTCCTCCCCACACGCCCAGTCCCTCGCCCTCCTTCACCACAAACACCCAACTCTCGCACTCTCCATTGCTCTCTCCGCGGAAGAAAACCCCGCGACATCGTCACCCGTGTCTGATTCCAGTACCGGTATGGGACCCGGTATGGCTCCGCCCCCTACTCCGACTGGCGTTGTGACGCTGCTTCATAACATCATCATCACCGGGGACGACGATACAAAGGCGTGGTTCTCACAGTACATGAAACTTATGCAACAGAAGGTATGTAAGCAGGATTCTTTCTACAAGGGGGAATTCCCCCTGTAACGCCATTTCCGCCCTTTAATAGGTTGCACACAGAACCATTTAGTTTGGCTTTACCCAGAGTGGTCTTCCCCCCCTTGAATTTCTAGAGGAAAAACCGTGTTAACGCAACAAGGAATAATGGATGGTAGTTTGCACAAATCCCTGATGTTGTGTGTGTAATGCACTTTTGCTGCCTTGTGTGTGTGTTTCTACTAATGCTCGTATTATTGTCAATATGCTACATACTAGAAAAACAATAGCTCTCTTGTAATGTGCGTACTCTGCAGTATCGACGACAGCGAACGTCAGCCGTCACCAGACTCCGCAAATTCATAATGAAGACTCTTCTCTCCTTCACCACCAAGTCAACATCCGCCACCAAACCTTCGGACACTAACGAGGTTTTCGTTGCCATGGAGACCGATGCCACAGCCGGCCAGCAGCAGCAGCAGCAGCAGCGCAGCACGCAACGAGAGGTCGAACGGCGTGACAAACCGGGGAAGTCAGTGAGTGGGGAGGGTGTGAAGGAGAAGAAGAAGAAGAGGAGGAGGAAGAAGGGGGAGGGGGGAGAGGGGGAGGGGGGTGAAACAACAGAGGGGGACTCTGAGATTGAAATGGACACTGCTCTGGAACTGGTGGACCAAATGGAGATAGAGGTCAGCGATGGAGACGGAGAGCCTTCGCCAAAGGTTCCGGCTGTGGTGTCCGATGGAGGAGGAGGAGGGGAGAGAGAGAAGGGTGCGGACACGGGGAGGAGCCGGCCCAAGTCGGCCCTGGCGACAGAGGTCGTGAGGGCCTCCGGAGGCAAGGGGGAGGGAGGTCAGAGGTCGCGGTCCCGAAGGCGGCACTCGTCCGGGGTGCCTGCGGTGGATTTCCCGACAATTTCTGAAGAGAGGCAGCTGTCTGATCGGCAGGCAGTGGAGCTGATGAGCCTTCTGCATGTGTGCTGCGGACTTAAAGTCAGTCGCTCTCTTTACGTGTAATACTTGAATCTTTTATTATACAATTTCAGTGTCACACATAGCCAAAATTCATGCATGCATCTAATTGGTGCAAATCATGTGCTTCTTCATGTGCTTAGCTCCAAAGATAGAGGCCACCCATTTTGCCGCTGCCACTCTTGCTTGGATCACACACTCTACACACCTCGCCTTCTCTTCCGTAGAATCAGAGCCAGATGTACCTGACGACGGAAGAGACGTCGGTCATCCTCAGTCTGATCGTCTGCTCTTGTCCGCCTTACTCTCCGGCCGGGGTTCACTTCATTCAGATCACACTTGCCACGCTCCTCGCCTGCCCCTTCCTCATTGGGTATATACATTACTAGAGGAACGCAGCACATCTTTGGCGAGCAAGCGCAAGCAGTTCGATTTTTTGCTCTTTTCATGCGTATTTTGTAGAATCACATGTAAAGGTAGCGTACATATACGTACGGAGAAATTCAGTAGACTAGGTGGTCGCGCTTTAGGTCGCCAGCTACGTAACTCTGTGTAACCACACATAGTTGGGAAATTAATTTTGTCCAAACTCTTGCTCCCTCTCTCCTCAGTGGAAGTCTGGAGTGTGAGAAAGCTACGGAGCGTTGGCTCCAGTGGCTGCTGGACAAACTCCCTGAATTTGACAAGTGAGACAACCGCAACGCAAAAAAACTTCATTCGTTCACAATTTTGTGTGTCTTTTTAGTATCTGTAAGCCGCTTATGTACTTACTAACTGTATATATTTACTTTTAAAAACCCCAAAAAATTGATGTTTTTTTAGCGAATTGTCGTGAGTTTTTCACAGAAATTTGGTATTGCTGTTAACAGCTTTTAATGGGTGTGCAGGTGCTGTGGTGAGGGAGGGTCGTACGGTGAGATGTTACTGCTGATAGCCATCCACCTGAGAGAGAAGCAGCTGCCGCAGCTGGAAGACCTCACCTCCAACATCCTCGGAATGAAAGTCACTGTACGTTCGGATGCTCTCACGGGTCCTATTAGTCTTAGAGCACTCCCCCCTCCCCTCCCTCCCAGGGATCTAGAAGTGGGCGGTTCTCGCACTTGCGGCAAATCTTTCTTAGGGTTTTCACAGAAGAGGTAATGTATTACACAGACCCAAGTTATGTCTGTGAGTTTGCCAAAGTGGAGTCACAAACCCTTTTAATCGGATTGTCCGCATCGGGTTTCCTTAATTCAAGTTTAATTAAAAGTGCATGCAAGCTTGTGGATAGTCCTTCATTGAGAGGTGTCATTATATAGGGTTCCACTGTATATACCTCATCCACCTCTCTGTCTCTGCTGCCAGGTGGTGTGTCTTCATGCGGTGAGTGTCCCTCCAACCTCAAACCTGAGTGCGTCTCTCTCCAGCTATCTCCCTGTACACTGCGTTCATCAACTTCTCAAGACAAAGACATTCAGAAAACACAGCATCTCCATCACTGTCAGCAGATATCTTCTTACTAGCTATATACTTCTTTCTCGTCCCTCTCTCCCCTTCTTTCTCGTCCCTCTGCTCCCCTTCTTTCTCGTCCCTCTGCTCCCCTTCTTTCTCCCCCTCTCTGGTTTTCTCCTCATTCTTTCTTTTCTTTTTTCTTTGTCTCTTTAATTCTTTCCATCTTTTTACTAACTTTTTCTTTCTCTTTCTTCTTTTCTCTTTTTTCTTGCTACTGGCAGGATTGGGTGTACCGGCAGCTGCTCCATCTCTCGGAGCCACTCCACCCCACACTCCCTCCTCTGCTAGTGGAGTTCGTTAACTCCATCCTTCTTCCCTCCTCCACCCACGGACGAGCATTCACACCAGGTATAACCAACGGACTCCTGTTAAGAATTCTGAACACGAAAATGGCTATAAATTTTGAAACACTTGGTCTAATTTTCAAAATGCGGTATTTTAAGACTGACAAAGTTCCCATTTTTTTTTTCAATTTTCCCAGTAGGTTCCGTTCAGGGTCAGAGTTCGTCTTTGGTGTGCCACACCCCCTTCTCGGCCGAGGAGATTCTCCGAGTGTATCGTCATGACGACCAACTCCCTTTGACCCCGTGCTCTCTGGCGTCTCAACTGATGATACTGTACTATGTTCTTCTCTATCAGGACACTTACAACTCCAACCTCAAGACACTCTGTATGTGTGTGCAATACTTACGTATATAACTAAAATAATCCTAATAAATAGGTTTCGTGCATTTGTGAAAGAAAATAAAAAAGTACAGTGGAACCTCGTTAATACAAACACTGTTAAAGCGAAATACCGAACCACTTTGAAATCCCCAGGCATTATAACACTAATACAACTCTCTCTCTCTGCAGTGTTCAAGTCCACCAACAAGACGTCCCCAAACCAGACTCCTCCTCGGCCCTACAGTCCAGCCATACTCGCCCAGATCCCAGTGAAACAGCTGCTGCTCTACGCGGGCCAGAACCACGCCCACTACTCCGCCCTATACCCCTCCCTCCTCCGGCTGACCGCCACCCACCTCCCCCAGCTATGTCTCGTTGAGGACTGGCTCAAGGGAGAAGAACACAGTGATAGAGGTGAGCCTGCCTACACCTCATGTAATACAGTACGGGTCAAAAACAAAGTAATACTATTGAGTTGCAATTGACACACCACAAAAATTCCCATACAGTGTCAAGATCAGGTAAGCAAAATGTTATCAAGTGTGCTACAAGTCACACAAAACATGCAGTGACACAATGGACAGCAATTGTATAAATATGTGGCTTGTATATGTACTGCACTTACACCTGGCAAACATGTACAATACAAGGCTGTGCAAATATGTGCAAATGTCCCACAATTGCTATCAGGTCACAAGGTACATTACAGAGCACTTGTACGCAATGGCAAAGAAGCACAAAACAATTGTGTCAACTGAACCAGCACTTTTTTTGAACAACAATTGCGTTACCCACTTAACGACCCATACTGTATATACACTTTAGAGGGACACATTTTTGCAGACCAATGAAATTTTTATAAATGCCCTGTGTGCTTTGTGGTTCGTGATTTGAAGGAAATTTAGATTGATGGGCATCATTAATTTAGGATGACTGGAGTTCTTTTCCACAGTCAACCATTTTTTGCCACTTCTACGCCTGCCTCGCTCCCAACTGACACCGGCCGTGGCCGAGACAGTTCTGAGCCAGCTGGAGTCAAGCCCGTCTCGAGCCCTCGTTCTTCTCTCACACCTCACCTCGCTCCCTCCCCCGGCCCTCCCTCCCTACTGCCACGCCCTCTCCTCCACCCTCCCCCTCCTCCTCTCTCCCTCCGTCTCTCGTCGTGTACAGGAGGCCTATCTCTCTCTCTGGACCAAACTCAATCTTGTTGTCCCCAGAAGGTGCGCATACTACATTCTCAGAAACAGCTGCATGTATTTTCAGTTTTGATTTGTTGTTGTTGTTGTTGTTTGTTTGTTTGTAGACAGTGGCACGAAACAGTTGGATCACTCCGACCTCCGAGTCAGCAACACCTGACTCCGCCCACTCATGCCCAACTCACCGAGGACCCATTCACTGTTCTCCAATGTGACCGTCGGGTTTTCAGGTCTTTTCCTCCCTCCCTCCCTCGTTCGTCCTCTCTCTCTCTCTCTCTCTCTCTCTCTCTCTTACTCTCTTCTCTGTTCTCGAAGTGGCAGCACTGCATCAATTAAGACTATGCTGAAATTTAAACACTGCCCTATCCGCAGCAGATTTCAGTGGTTCATCATGCACTGGCTGTAGCGCTTTCGTATACCTAATAATATATGTGCCTCGTTTTGAGAACAAGTCTCTCTTATACAAATAGGATTCGCTCTTTCTCCTTGTCACCCCCTCCCCTTCATTTTATAGATGTCCCCCCGTACTGGAGATGCTGCTACGTGTCCTAGCTGCATACACCTCCGCCTCACGTGCCTGGCTCCTCGAAAAATGCCACGCCCAGAACTGCATCACCATAGCAACCTCGGCAAACTCCGACGGCTCGGCAGCGGCACCGGGCCGACTGAGCGCGCAGGAGAGGAAGGAGCTGTGTGTGGCGTTGACAGCTGCACAGGAGAGTGCGATGGTCCAGTTTCTACTGGAGATGTGTCTGCCAAACAGCGAAGAGGAGGAGAAAGAAAAAGAAGTATAATTTACTATTATTTAGAGCTCTTCATAGGTTCACTAGAGCACAATAGGGTAGCAATTTAACCAAAATCCTTAGCAGCTGGCAATCTGAAAAAATTAGTACGGCCCTGTAAAATTTATATTCTGTTTGCAGTCTCAGTCAAGTTTGGGTGCTCATTTCTCGGTTTTGAGAGAGGTTCAGTGCCTCATCTGTTCCTACTTACACCAGGTATATATAATACATGTAATGTAAGACAAGCAACTTGAGATTTGTATGTCGAGTTTCTTGACAAGGGATTTTTCTAAACTAAGCAGTGTTCGAAAGGCAAATGACACTTTTCCTAGTCTAAGGCCTTACTCACTTCCTTTCCAGTGTTAATGTGCCTCTTTTGTATATACTTTAATGTATGTATGTATTTACTCCATTTCTAGTCTAAGTACATATTCAAGTTACATTCCTCGTGCCTATATACAGTGCATACGTTAGACCAGAGTGCCTTAAGACTGGTGTATTAGTGTGGAGCTCTGTTCTGCACAGGTGTTCATTGCGGAGCCAGAGATGGTGAAGCTGGTTCATTTCCAGGGCTACCCCGCCACTCTGCTGCCTGTCATGGTGACCCACGTCCCCTCCATGCACATCTGCCTCAAGTTCATCCCGGAGCTGGTCACTCAGCCTCAGACTGACAAACAGGTGTCCGTTCGTCTGCTTTCACCCTCTCATCCCTCTCTTTACCTCCCATCTTTCCATTTTGTACACCTGTAAACGCTTTCTCCTCTCGCACTCTGGACTTCCCCAACTCTGATCTTGTGCGCATGTGCGGGTGGGTGATTTATATGCATGACATGACGACGACACGAGTGATACAATACGCATGCGGGAGTGATGATGTAATGTACTTGGACATACGCTATACTTGAAAGTACTTGGTCTATTACACACCTTCACCTTCACTCTCCAAGATTTCCACCCCTGCCCTTTTCCTCCACAATGCTTGACTTTACAATGCAGAATGTATAGCTTGACTTTACAATGCAGAATGTATAGCTTGACTTTACAATGCAGAATGTATAGCTTGACTTTACAATGCAGAATGTATAGGGCAGAGCATAGAAAGGTCGGAGGTTTCACTATAATATAATATATCTATTTTGGCTCCCTCCCTCCTTTTTGTCTACCACTTACTGTAGGCGGTTCTGACCGAATTTTGAAACCCGTTTCCTTTCTCTTCTCTCCGCTTCAGCAATTTGGTGTCCTCCTCGCCTCATTTGTGGTCCAACAGTACCCACTTCCCGAAGCCCTCTCCATAGTTGACGAGATTCTCAAATTTCTCCTCGCACTGGCCAACGAAATCCCGTCCCACCTCAGAGAAGACTACTTCACTCCTCTACTGCCGGCGCTGGTGCGATTCTGTCAGACCTTTCCCCTGCTCTGTCAGAAAGTGACGCAGCTGCTTGTGGGGCTGAGCCGGGCCAGCTGCAACGTCGGTCTCTCGTCGACGTCATCGTTTGTCCTCAATGCAGCCGCGAGGGAAAAGGGGAGGGGCACACTGGGGGGTGTAGAGTTCGTCACATTGGTCCGGGACACTTTTCAAGAGCTGGTAGAGACTGCAGTTCTCAGAGTGTAGATAAACGTCTGCTTCTGACGTAACGCGACGGAATATAATATACCTTCTCACAGATTCCACATTTCTTCGTGAACTCATCTCTCTCATTCTCACTGAACCATTTATGTGTATATTAAAGTTGTCATGGATAATACATATTCACAGTATAATAAATTATTTAGTCCTCAATAACACACTACTATAAGCACTTTATTTTTGAAGACAATAGTTACGAGATTGCAAGGCAAATTAAAGATACGGCAACTTCTGGATAACTGAATATCCGCAGAACTAAAATTAAGTAGTGGTATATAACTTTAGGAAACTCCATTCACAATGTTTATATATAAATAAGCGATTTACAGAATATGCACATTAACTAGAAAAATCCCTTCCCACTGGTGAGGGATTTATACAGGACGAGTGCGATGGCGAGTAGGATGATGATGACAATGAGTACTAGGATGACGATGATCTTTATCGATCTCTTCTGGTGCTTCTCTGCCTTCTCCAGCTGCTCCACGCCCTTCGCCACCTTGTGGGACACTTGCTCCAAGTTGTAGTCGATTCTGTCCAGAATTGTGCCCTGTTTGGTGGGATGTGTGTTTCAGGACACATAGCATGGAGTGGAAGGAGGAATATATAGGAGGAATATTTTACCTGGTCAACAATAAGTGTGGCTAGGTCCCTATACATTTCGTTGATCTCTGAAATAGACTGTACGATGGATTTGATTTCTTTCTCTCTCTCCTCTATTATGACTGTGGTTGATTCCACCATGGAGAGCTGGTGGTCAGTGAACCCCTGGAGAAAGATGGGATACACAGTCAGAGAGGGAGGGGGAAGGAGAGAGGGCGGAGGAGGAAGGAGAGAGGGAGGGGGAAGGAGAGAGGGAGAAGGAGGAAGGAGAGAGGGAGGGGGAAGGAGAGAGGGCGGAGAAGAAGGAAGTGTGTGTATATACCTTATCATAGAGGACCTCGGGCTCTTCCTCTTCTTCAACCAAGAACGGAGGAGGGGCAGTGGGTTTCACCTCTCCACTAATTACCCTCTCCTCGCGCCTCTTCATTCCTGAAACACACACACACACATCACTCCAAACATCCCTATCTCATTCCAAACTTTCGTGTTTCTCCCTATCTCGCTCTAAAAAAGCCCATAACTCTCGGGGACTCACTTTTCAAGTAGGTCGACTGGCTCTTCCTGAAGTTGACCGAGAGGTCTTGTAGTGATAGGGCGAGGGAGCTGGTGACGTTCTTTGCCACCCTCTTCTCCTGCTCAGACCCGTTCCTTGCCTGGTTCGAGATCCCCTGGAGCCCCTTCTTTGCTCTGGTGAACATCTGTGGCACAAGTCTAACATGATACAGTGGAACCTCTCTAATCCAGACACCATTGGATCGAGATAGTAAAGGTGTTTGTGAGGTGTCTTTTGACAAAAGGTGTCCTCATTTTCAGGGGGGCCCCTAGGAAAGTGTTCCCTTTATTGTGTCAAACTGTGTGTAAAAATTAGGTTGAAACAGGTCTCATTGTTCCTGTGCATGTGGCAGTAAGTAAACAGTGGTATCAGATAGTGTCCATTGAATTAAGTGGTATCACTTTGCGTCAGAACCTGTGATATTTCTTGCGTCAGAATCTCGACCTCCTGCTCCTCCTCAACGGCGTCGTCAAACACCCCGGGACGGTCACAGTGCTTCTTCTGTAACACACACAACTCCTGCACTGTTGGGGGAAAAGGTAACATGAACAGTGATGTTAGTAGCAAGAATTATGTCCCCAGGCCATCTTGAAGAGGTGAGCAAGAATTTACTTCTCTTTTTGATGTGAGTGACTTCGTATTGCACTTCGTCCAGATAGTGCGTCCTATATAAGAGAGAACATTCGGTACAATTCACGGTGAAGAATGAGATGTGACAGTAAAGGTCCCTACCATTCAGGGGCCACAACAAGAGCAACTTGAGACGGGTCTTCTCTGTCAGAGGATGGCACCAGGGCCACTGTATCAGAGCCTGACCTCTGCGAAAAAGATTAACATACTTGTACGTCTCGGCATATATAATGCATAAGTAGACCAAAGAGTTCCACTGTTACTTCATTGTTAGGCGGTGCTCGCTGAGACAGGCACTCACCCATCTGACGTCCTCCGAGTCAGAAGCTTCCGGGTGGTCGCGCAATCGACTTGTGGCCGCCCGAGCTCGAAGGAAATCGTCCGTGAGTGACCTTATGACTCCTATCTGTTGAGTGAAACCTGCCATACCGAATGGAGGAACGGCCACGGCCATACTGGAAGAGAAGTTTTCACAAGTGAGCACAAATTCGGAGGCTTTATTTAGAACGGACGTTACGTCATTGTTTGTGACTGGTATGCGCATGCGCGTTTTGTTACTCATTTCCATGATGGGCGGGGCATGTAGTTATATAAATACTGCACTGCGGGGTTGTTGGTGGGCGAGGTTGGCGGTGTGACGTGCCATGAGTGAAGAAGGAAGAGGGATCACTGGGGATGTGGAAGCGTACGAGATGCAGTGTCTGCCGGCGGCAGAGAATACGGCCGTGTCTCCGGACGTTACTGACTCGGAGGCCGAACTACTGGAGGACGTTGTGAAGGAAAAGGGGACGGGAGAGAGCGGAGACGAGGGGAAGGGGTCCCTCCGAAGAGGCATAAACCTCCTCGACGCCACGGGCATGGTCATCGGAAGTATAATAGGCTCGGGGATCTTCATCACTCCAGCGATTATCCTGGAATTGACGGGGTCGTTTGGCGTGTCGATGTTGTGCTGGGTAGCCGGCATGATCATCGCCGTCTGCGGTGGTCTCTGCTTCTTGGAGTTGGCACTTCTTCACCCGCGGACTGGCGGAGCAATGGTGTACCTTCTAGAGGGCTTCAGCTTGAAGAACCGCAACAAGTGGACCCGGCTTCTGGGACAGTTGTTGGCTTTCCTATATAGTTGGGCCAGCATAGTAATAATTCGACCTGCTTCTCTCTCGATCATATCCCTTGCCTGCACCAGATATCTCACACGGCCATTCTATCTCGACTGTGAAATTCCCAAAACACTACTAAAGTGTTTGGCTTTAGCCATCATTAGTAAGTGGTTAACTTATGTATGTGTGTTCATCAAAGACTTTATGGTTTGGCTTCCTTCCAGTTTTACTCTCTGTCATCATGATACGTGGCGTTAAAATAATGGCCAAAATCAGCACTGTCATCAGTGCTATGAAAGTTCTAACAGTTGTCTTCATCATTATTGTCGGAATTGCTGGAGTCATACAAAGAGGTTTGAGATTCCTTCTCTAAGAAATCATTGGTGGAATATTTCCCCCTATCAGGTCATTTCTCAGAGTCTTTTCACCGACCGTTCGAGGGAACTCAGATATCAAGTGCAGAGAGTGTTGGTAGCATTGTCATTGGTCTCTACTCCGTGCTCTTTGCCTACGACGGATGGTCAGTTATCATTTCTTTTCACGTTAGTATGTTTGCATTCTGTGATAATTGTTTGATAGGGATGGGATTGGATATTCAGTGGAGGAAGTGAAGAAACCTGAAAGGTATATAGTTGTTGTCAAATTGCCTATCCTGAAAGCACCTTTCTACTCCGCAGAACCCTACCTCGAGCCACAGTCATTGGATTGACAGTGGTCTCTGTCTCCTACATTCTTGTCAACCTCTCCTTCTTCTCTGTGCTCTCCAGTGATGAGATAGCTGGAACTAAGGCTGTGGCTCTGGTGAGTCATTTACCTCTCAGTGGTAGCGTAATTTGAACATTTTGTTCACAGCCGTTTGGAGAAGCTGTGATGGGCAAAGCGGGGCTTGTCATTTTCCCCCTGCTGGTTGCTCTCTCTGCATTTGGAGCGGCTCTTCTGAGTTTTTACCTGGCAACCAGGTAGATAGATACTGCTGATGACTATGTTATCAGCAAGCTAAAGCAAACTTATCTGTTTTTGGTTGCAGAGTGATATTTTCAGGCTCAAGGGAAGGGATTTTGCCAGAGGTATTTTGTGGCACACACAAGAAGTGGAAGACCCCAGTAGCAGCTGCAGTATTCCATGTGAGCCACTGATTCCATTCATGAACCTGCCAATACTGTGTCCTACAGGCTACCTTGTCATCGGTATATCTCTTAACTGGAGATATTGCCTCGTTGATCGAGGGGCAGGCTGCTACCATATGGGTCTTCTATCTCCTCTGCTTTGTGGCCATTCTCATCATGAGATTCACACACAAAGAAGATAAACGACCCTTCAAGGTTAGTTTGATTTATCTCATTCCGTTGGAGTCAATCCTTCGTTTCTTCTGTCCACAGATCTGGTGGATTGTCCCTGTCATAATGATAGTGATATCGGTGTTCTTGATTCTGTTACCTCTGACCAGAGGCCCCGGCTGGACGCTGGCTGCCTTTGGTGTCACCCTCACTGGAGTCCCTGTCTATGTTGTCTTTGTCATGGAGACACCCTGGAGACTCAGACCAGTCTTTATGGACAGATGGAGCGGTAAGTACAGTTGGATCTTGTCAATGACGTTATCAATGTTCTTCTCTATATCTAGATTCTATAACAAAGCATGTCAACCGGACTCTGAATGCCAAATCAGCAAGATAATATAACTCTTCATATCAATTTTTTCTCCATCCTTTGATCATTCAGGCAAAATTGTATTATGTTTATTTTGTACTTTTTATTGTTGTGTGTGACGTATTAACGAAGGCTTGATTGCATGCAGGGGTTGGCACTCTATCGATCATCTGTTGTATAAAAACGTTTGACCTTATGACCTTTCCACGTGGGCGATGCGGATGAGTGCAGAAAAGAAGAGAGAGAGGATACTCCACGTTCTGGCGACTGCCTACGGTCACCACAAGCAGTGGCAGGAGGTCCAGGAGAATGCGCTGGACCAGCTGCACTCCATGAGCAACCTGGCCAAGCAGCTAGCGGCGCTGGGGGAGTGTAAAGCGGCCGGCCGGCTCGGTTGCCTCGCCTGGTACCCGCAACTTGTCGAGCTGCTGGAGGCAAAAATCCTCGCTTCCTTCGAGAGAGCCCTTGGGTTCGTGTACAAGCACAAGTAAGTGTGAGTGTTGGCTTTATAATTTGGCAATGGGATAATTTCTTGCAGGGAGACATTGGCAGATTTGAGCAAGAACCTAAAATGCAATTGGAAGGAATCCGAGCGACTCCTGGCGGATATAGTAGGTATACAGCATCTGTGATATCCTCCACCACCACACCTCTCTATACCTCTGTATTATATCTGACTAAAGGTCTACAGGGAGACGAGAGGGCTCTGTTCTCCACTGAGGTGTCTTTCTCCCTGGCTGATATCACGGAGTGGCTGAAGCTGCTCAATGCTGCATGTGTCTACGACTTGAGCGAAAAGCAGGTAGCACTGGATCACATCGCATGTACACCGAATAGCACGGAGAAGGTCTTGAGTGTGTGGAGCAGAAGTCACGTTGAAGATCTAATAGGTATTTTATATGTATATACAGGGCAGAGGGTCTATAGCATGCTTCTTTAATCTATCTATATACACAGAAGTGATTGAATGTGTAAATTACACAGTGGAACAGTTCAAGAAGACAGGCAATGGCTGAGACTGAATTGTTGTAACACTCTCTCAGACTTTTTATGTACACACGCGAACACACATTTGAAAATAAAATCATGGCCCTATTTTGGACTGCATGGGGTAAAGTACTCGCTGGCTTTGAACGGCTTGGGAGGTGTCCAGTTTGCAGAAACGTCTGTCTTTGATGCTTTGCTTTTGCCCTGTAACAAGGATGAGTCTGTCTTCTGTAGCTACTCGTGTCCACAGACTTACTAGTTTGGGAAATGAGGAAAAGACTTTTCTGAACTTGCTGGGCTCCAGGTCTTTTTCTGCCTTTGAAACTGCCTCCTCCAAGGCATTCACACGCTGAGTCACCACACTCACAAATGCCTGATAAAAAGCAAATTTTTCAGCTGACAGAACTTCTTCATTTGTGTAAACTAAACAGCTCACGCTTTCACATGGAAAAAAAAGGAGATGGGAGGGCTTCTAATGGGCTTCACAACCAAACATCATATTTAGGTATGCACCTCCACTTGATCCACGCGTGCATACAGGTCTTTGAGCTGCTGTACGTAGCTGTGTATGTCGTCCACTTTCTCCGCGTTGCAGACCATGTTGTGTTGCACGTGCTCGAGTTGGGCTCTTGAATTCCTCCACGCGGAACACCACGCTCTCTACACGGTCGTCCAACAGTTGTTTCTGCAGCAAAAAAGTGAAACCAGTGGTCCGTAGGTAATCTAAGCTTGAATCGGGTTACTAATAGTAATAAAAGTGCGAGGTGTCACTGACGTCTTGCCTGCTGTCAACAACGAGATACTCTGCAAACTGGCGAGCGACGGCTCGAAGATCCACGGCGTCTTCTCCCTCTGCCTGTCCCCCGACTGCATCTCTCACCGCTTCCTCCAGACCCCCCGCCGCGGGGTCCAGCTGGCCGCTGTCCTCCAGATCCATGGGCTCCGGTGGCTCCGGCGAGCTGCTACTTCTGGTGCTACTCCCTTCACTCATCTTTCTTGATCCAAGAGATTGGGGGTGGGCTTTTGTTAGAGTAGCGCTACCACGCCCCTTCGAGTACAAAGTTCAACTCTACCAATAATGTGCGGGACACACGCGAGTGCTAGAAGATGCACAGTGACTGAAATAAAATTAAAAAACGTGCAATAAATAAGAAATGAAAGCTTCAAAAATCAGTCTTTGTTGAATGCGTCGAATCCAGATCTGAGGATTTTGTAGTCCAGCCCATCGTCTTCGTCGATGAGAACACAGGTGACTCCGAGTGTAGAGATGTCGTGAATGTTCCTCTCCTCGTCGTCAAAGAACAGCATGTCCGTGTAGCTCACTCCCGACGCCTTCCTAATACTGAGACGGTAGTACACTTTCTTGTCTTGTTTGAGAGATGAGAGGTGAGATATTTTGGAGGCCGCTTACTTGTCAAAGTGGGCAAACTTGCGATTGGGAAAGATTTCAAGTTGCTGGAAGCACTTGTCGATGCCCAGGACTCCCAGTAGCTCTCTCGAGGCAGCAGGGTCCTCTGTCCTGCAGGTGAAAGAGATGATTCGTTGTGGAAGGGGGTAAGGTAAGGGAAATGTGTGTGCTGTATATACACATTACAGTTTTTTAGTCAGGCAAATTTTCATTCTTGGAACTGCAAGCTTTTGTACAAAGACTTATGCAATGCATGTGCATGTGACAACGGAACCACTTTGTTAAAACTTGGAAAGCAAATTTACCCCGCTACAAGGTAAACTGAATATTATACTGAGTGCTGGTTACCTTGAGGCAGCTGCAATGGGTATTCCCAACTGTTTCAGGTCGTCAAAAATTGAGCGAATTTCTTTGTACAGCTTGATTTTGAACCCGTATCTGTCGGTTGCCCCTCCATTACTGTAGAGAGAATTGACATTGTTGTTTCAAACATAAATACTAGTGTAAGTCATACATACTGATAGGGCCCACTGTAGAGTGTGTAACTGAGCCTCACACGTGCACGGCAGAAGTGAAATCGACTCACCCATCAGATTTGAACGGTGGAGATACATGAGTGTCCACCCAAAACGGCCAGAGAGTGCAATCTGAGAAAGCCTTACGTCATACGCATTCGCCGGTGTTATACCACACTTACCAATGTCCAATATAATGATCCGTGGAAGTCTCCGCAGGCTTTTAACGAATTCTTTCAGAGCAGTCGACATTTCTGCCCGGAGTGATTTCTAAATAATGCGCACCAACAAAGTGCGCAATAATTGGAATTGCACCCACGTGTAGTCGGTTCAGTAGTCGACGCTCTTCTCTCTGTACGAACGTACGAACTAATGGTCGCTGCTAGGACCATCGTCTCCGTCGGAACGGCCTGCCTGTTGGGAGTATCCGGATATTCGTATATCTCTGGAAACTCGTGGTTTTTTCAGCGCGTGGCCATGCCCCTCCTGTCCCGACTGGACCCAGAAACGGCGCACCTTGCAGCCGTCTACGTAGCTGCTAAAGGAATGGCACCTCGAGACCTCAATAAAGACCCCCAGATACTGGCAAGCACAATCCTCTATGTAAAACGCACATGAAGTCATATATGATGCAATCCAGGAGTGCACAGTTTGGGTAAGAGGTTCAGCAACCCCATAGGCCTGGCGGCTGGGTTTGACAAGCACGCAGAGGCCTACCGAGGTATGCTTGGTATGGGGTTTGGATTTGTCGAGATTGGGAGCGTGACCCCTGAGCCTCAGGAGGGAAACCAGCGACCACGCCTGTTCCGCCTCCCCGAAGACCACGCCGTCATCAACAGGTCACTCATTTTGAGGGGGCAGGGCAATAACAGAATACCTTTACCATGACACCCCTGAAAAAGGAACACCTTTGGAGGATAAAAATTTTCCTTTATTCAGAGCGTCTGGTGTTAGCGTAGGGCAGAACCAAGTGTTCTCTCGACTTTCTTATAGAGGTGTCCTTATTCAGAGGTTTGACATACTTTTAGGTACGGCTTTAACAGTCATGGGCACAGTGTAGTCCGATCAAGGCTGGAGAGCTGGCCTAGTCGGCGGGCAAAGTACCCTGGGAAACAGCTGGGAGTTAGTCTCGGGAAGAACAAGACGAGCCCTGTGGCAGAGGAGGACTATGCCGAGGGGATACGATCCCTGGGGGAGTACGCAGACTACCTGGTGGTGAACGTGTCGTCTCCCAACACACCAGGACTGAGGTCCCTGCAGGCCAAGGAGCAACTCGCTCACTTGCTGGACTCCGTGAGTTAATGTTGACCATTTCAGTTCTCTTCAGCTCTTGCTTGTACAGGTAGACAGAATTGTGGAGAATCCCAAAAAAATTTAGAGACATTTTTTAGCAGCTTTGGTAGCAAACATCATGCACACACCTGACGTTTTAAAATCCCACTGCAATCCTCTTCAAGTCTTTGCTTTTTATTTTCAGGCCTTCATGGAACGTGCCCCATGCCCCTTTCATTATCTGCAGGTGATTGCCGAGAGAGATCAACTTCCAGAGGAGAGACGACCTCTGCTCCTGGTCAAGATCTCCTCCTGACCTTACTTCTGCCGAGAGGGAAGACATTGCAGCCTGTGTGTTGAGGCCACCCCCACACAGAAATCCCCGACGGTCTCGTCATCAGCAACACCACCACGACTCGACCGGCGAGTCTGAGGAGCCACCTAAGGAGTGAGAGAGGCGGTCTGAGTGGGGAGCCCGTACGAGAAATATCCACAGACACTATTAGAGAAATGTATCGACTGACTGGAGGTATTATTATAGCTACACGTGTACTTGTGTAGTAAGTGTGTAGGTTTAATACACTACCATAAGAAATGTATGGGAGTTAGCCAGATAAACTGGCACAAAATGTGTGCGTTGCTTATTTTCCATAAAAATGCAGCACTATTCATATTGAGGATGTCTTGTGGCTTTGGTGGACAGAAGCCGGTCTTTTATAGTAACGAAATTTGACCTCCTCTTGTTGAGAAGCTGTATAATTATGATACATCCTGGAGTCAGGGTTATGAATTTGGCATTATTTGGTGCTTTGATTATGATGTTGCTCTTCCTGCTCTGCTGATAATAGTGGCATCAGGTGTTTCATCATTAGTACATAATGTACTTTTAGTGGGCTTTGTTAGATGTAACATGGGGGTGGGAGATCTACTCCTTATTACCCATTCTAAAAAATGCCGCAAAACGTAAAACCTCACCATGATGTTTTACCCAGTGTTACAATTCTACAGGTAATCTGCCAATCGTTGGAGTGGGTGGAGTGAGAAGTGGTCGCGATGCGTACGATAAGCTGAGAGCCGGGGCCAGCCTTGTCCAGATATACACCTCTCTGGCTCTGGAAGGCCCTCCTGTTGTGACACGAATCAAGAGGGAGCTAGCCCACATACTCAGGTTTTCTATCACATATAATATTTTTGGATATCAGATATTTGGGTGTCCGATGGCATTGTATCTAGGAATAGCTGCTTATGTCCATAGTGGGGAAAAGCTTTGTCTGTTGCACATACATGTTTGCAAGAAAAAGCATTTGCGAATCGTAAAAGAAACTGTTGGTATATGTGCCACACTAAATCTGCTTTTCTTGTATCTACTGATTCGCCTCTATGGTAATCATCGTTGACCCCTCTGTTTGTGCTGCAAGTGTGACAAATACAAATGCGGATATCTTTATGTGTTTGTGTTTTCAATGTCCGGTCACCATGTTTGCTCTAGGTCTGAAGGTTACGACTCAGTCACTGCGGCAGTTGGTGCAGACCATAGAGATCACTCAAATGATGGACTCAATAGAAATTCTACCTAGCAATTTGTATGCACTGTATTTTCCTACGAGTTTCTGTTCTGTGTGCTGTTGGATTTTGACGATCTTTGTCTGTCCATGCACTCTCTGAACCCTGTCATTTCGCTGGTGCACTTCCTCCAGTCACCTTTCTCGGCATAGCAATCCTGGAGGGTGTAGTGTTCCTTGGCACAGCCTGAGCGGTGGATTGTAACATTAAAGAAGTCCTCCTCCTCCTCCTCCTCTTCATCTGTCCCTGTGTTGTGGTTGTTCTGCTCCATTGCTCTTTTATGCTAGAAATACACAAGGTCCGAGCGATTATGTATGACGTAATGGCTATCTTTGCTAAGTGTAAGTGTTTCCGTTGACAAACAGGATGGCTATTGCAGCATCTTCCACCGATGAATGCCCAAATGAAAGTATTTACTCTCCTCTGCTCACCTGTGTAGCGTGGCGCGACAGATATGGGTGGTGACCCAGAAAATGCGGAGCGATGCTCGAAAATAACTTTCGATGACGTAATGTTGCCGCTCGTGCGCGCGCGACCTCTTAGATCTCCGGTACGATTTTGCACCGTTGTATAAAGGGCCTGGACTTTTGAGGAGGATCGAGCTTTTTTGCAGAGGGAGCAGAGCATAAGAAAGTCGTGTTAGTAGATCTGAAGCCGCTGAGCTTGCGTGCGCTCGGAGTGCGGGGGTATTATAGAGCATCAGGTGGTGGTGGGGATTTCCAAATTGCGTACGTTGCCGGAGCGTGCACCGTAGGCGATGGACGGGGAAGACACGAAAGTTCCTCTCGAGGCCGTGGAGCAGCATGACGGCGTCCTCCCAGTGCCGCAGCAGGCTCCAGCAAAGCAGCCAGAAGCCAGGTAGGAAAACATTGATGCTGTACAAGTATACAACTGTACGCCCGCACGTGTTTCTCCTCCAGCGAGACGAAAGAGAACGGTGAAGAAGAGAAGAAACTTCCCAAGCCAGGCCTTAGGGACCTCGTTCGCCTGGTAATGCAATGCATTCAACACCGACACTAGCAGTGCCTAAACTTGTACTCCATTTAGTATCTAACACCCACCCTCCTGTATTTTGTGTTCTGTTTCCAGTTTCGCTATGCCACACCGCTGGACCGCCTACTCATGGCCATCGGGACCATCACTGGCATCCTCCACGGCATCTCCCTCCCCGTCCTCATGCTCCTGTTTGGCGAACTCATCAACTTCTACATCTACCAAGAGCAGACCTCGTCTGTGGCCAACTGCCTCGACATATCGGCTAGCTCTTGCAACGACATTTTCTTCTCAAACACTAGTTTCATTCTCCCGTGTGGATTCAACTCCACCTTATTCAATGGAGCCACTCTCGATCTGAGCGTGGAGGCAATTTTCGGACGCAACGCTCAATGCCTCACGGACGAAGACTTTACGAGCGAAGTCTCTCTTTACTGTATATACCTTACCTTCGTGGGTATCGGAGTGTTTTTACTGGCGTATATCGAGATATCGTTCTTCCAAATGGCCTGCGAGAGACAGGTCAAGAAAATACGGCTCTATTTCTATCAGTCGGTCCTCAGACAGAACATCGGGTGGTTTGATAGCAACCCCAGCGGAGAACTTGCCAGCAGACTTAATGAGTGAGTTATTTGTTCTGCGTATAGTCTGGGATAGGGCTTGGAGATTTTGCTGTTCAGCAGATTTTGCTATAGTCTTTGCAGTAGTGAGTGCAGCAGATTTTGCTAAAGTCTAAAGTCTTTGCAGTAGTGAATGGTCCATGTATATAGTTGGTGCTTTGTAAGTGCTGTGTGTCTATCGTAGGCCTGCATCAGTGGAAAACCTAGTGTTTCCTTCGTTTTCACACCCCATCCCTTGAACGCAGTACCCTACGAAATTCACCGAATTGAGAATCAAGCCAGTGTAGCGCTGAACCTTTTGGTATCGCTATTTTGTGGCTCACACTCTTTTATTTATGTATGTATGTGAGTGGTTCTTTGGGAAAGATATCGTTGCGTCTAACGATTTATTGTTTCACAACATTTCCCCTTCCATCGTCCACTCTGTGTGATATTTCCTTCCCCTTATCTAACTCTCTAATCAATCATAATACGTATCCTTCCCCCCTTATCTAACTCTCCAATGATTTCTGATCACTCTAGTGATCAATCATAATACATACATGTCCCGCTTTCTGTGCAGCGACATAGAGAAGATCCACGACGGTATAGGAGACAAGGCAGCTCTGTTCATCCAGTGGATCTCCACCTTTTTCGGTGGTTTCATCATTGGGTTCGTCCGGGACTGGAGACTGACTCTTCTCCTGGCAGGCTTCGCTCCTTTCCTCGTCGTCTGCGGCTCCATCTTCTCTGTGGTATATACGTGGCCCCCATCACACACACACACACACACTGAGAAAGTTAATTTTTGAGCTTTTAAAACACTGCAAAGTTGTGGGTGGGGGAGGGAGGGAGGCATTTTGTGAAATTAGATAAGCCAGTGTCTCTTGCACGCATGTATCTGTAAACAAGTGTATTACAAGATGGTTTGTAGATTCTGTCGAGGTTGATGTAAAATCTGTACATTCCGTACAGCAGGATGGAGCCATTCACATGTAGGTGTGCATGTCCCTGTAACTGCATTGAGGACCTGGATTCGGTGAAATAGCATGCTTCAATAGAGCTTTTGAATGGTCAATGGAACTTGTTTTCAGGCCAGACTCCCTACCCACTCATCCAGATCATCACCAGGTTCTCTAGTGCGGAGCAGAAAGAGTATGCTGGAGCAGGGGCTGTGGCAGAAGAGGTAATGTCTTCCATTAGGACCGTGGTCGCCTTTGGAGGAGAGTACAAGGAGGCAGCTCGGTATGAACTAACAGATTGGTAGTGTGTGTATTGAGCAATCCCTTGTGTTGTTGAAGGAGTGATAATACTGCACATGTGCATATTGTAGCACTTACATGCAGCCAGTAAAAGAGAAGAGATAGTAAAAAAGAAGAGATAGCAAGAAAACTGTGCGAAAGACTGGAAGACTAGAGAGCCGTCCGAGGCTGTAGAACAATGTACCATTGCACTAGGCATTGTTTTTGAATGGCACAGAGCTGCTAGAATTTGATGGAGCGCATGCCCGGAGCACGTGCAGAACTCCTCACATGATAGCTACATAACATGACGTAATTGCAGTGCATAATTGGTGTGGCTGAACCCACTTTGCTATGATGTGTCCGATTATATTACCCACTTTTCAATGGGTACATGTACCCACCGCCAGCAGCTGCTATATATGTGTCTATTATATACCCCTACGTACAGTTATGATGGGAAGCTGAACGAGGCAAAGTTGCTGGGAGCCAAGAAGGGTTTCTCGGTCGGCGCTGCTCTCTTCCTCACCTTCTTCTTCATCTTCCTCGTGGACTCCGCCGCCTTCTGGTTCGGAGGATACCTCATCTCTCGGGAGCTCTCCGTAGGAGGCGACGTCATCACGGTTAGTCATGTGATACCCATGTGACCATTGATTCTGAGAATACTATTGTGCGTGCAGTAAAACATGAAGATATGTACATATAATTAATTGGTGGAATTGTCCAAATTTCCTGAGAGTGCGTGCAAAATAATATTTTCGTGCATAATATGCAAGTACATGTATAGGTGTCCATGTCATGTACATGCAGGTGTTCTTTGCTGTGCTGATTGGAGCGTTTGCCCTGGGCCAAGCCATGCCAAACCTAGAGAACCTCACCTCCGCAGCTGGAGCCTCCATTATCATCTTCCAGACCATCGATAGGGTAAGCCCCGCCCCAACGAGCAATCAGACTTCTTGTCACCTTGTAGCTAATGTATGATACGCTAAAATCAAGAAAGTTGGTAGTCTATCAGTATTGTTGTTACGTTGTTAATGTGTTGCACGCATGTGTATACCGTAGGTTCCAGAGATTGATTCATCCTCCAGTGAAGGAGAGACTCCGGCCACATTTGACAGCACCGTCCAGTTCAACAAAGTCTCGTTCCAGTATCCGTCCCGACCCGATGTCCCAGTGAGCCCCATTCCATTCTCGTGTAATGTCCGAAATTTTTTCAACTCACTTTCGCTCACGAATCGTGCATTGAATTTGCTCTGTTCTCCAAACCTCGCCAGGTTCTGCAAGGATTCTCACTGAATGTGACGGCAGGTCAGACGGTGGCCCTGGTGGGGGCCAGCGGCTGTGGCAAGAGCACTGTCATGCAGCTGATTCAGAGGTTCTACGACGTAGACGCCCCTGATGTTGGTGGAGAGGTGAGAGACGGAGGTGGAGGGGGTGATTGAATTTTACTAGATCTATACCTGCATTTTGTAGATGCGTGATGTATATCTTGAGGGTGGGTGGGTGGGAGAAACTCTAGCAGCATCTGAAATTTGGAGGACTTTGGAGTGTGTGTCAGTGTACGTGTGTGCGGGGGGAGATGTGTCGAAAGCTTTTCCGACCCCCTGTGTGGATGTTGTATAACAGTCTCCTCTCTCCCTCGTCCTGCAGGTCCTGATCAGCGGTAAGAACGTAAAGGACCTGAACCTGCAGTGGCTACGGTCCAATCTGGGCGTGGTCTCCCAGGAGCCGGTCCTCTTCGACACCACCATCGCCGAGAACATCCGCTACGGCCGCGTGGACGCTACACAACACGACATCGAGAGCGCCAGCCGCAAGGCAAACGCTTACGACTTCATCTCGGCACTTCCCAACCGTTTCAACACTCTGGTAGGTGAGAGAGGCACGCAGCTGTCCGGCGGGCAGAAACAGAGGATCGCGATCGCCCGTGCGCTGATCCGAGACCCGAAACTCCTCCTCCTGGACGAAGCCACCTCTGCCCTGGACACAGAGAGTGAGAAGATAGTTCAGGAGGCTCTGGACAAGGCCAGGGAGGGCCGGACCACCATTGTGATTGCCCACCGACTCTCAACCATCAAGAACGCCGATCTGATAGTCGCGGTGGACGAGGGAAGCGTGGTGGAGGTCGGGACACACAGCCAACTGATGGACAGCAAAGGTCTGTACTACGAGCTGGTGACAACCCAGTCGCTAGGCGTCGACGAGGCCGTAGTGGCCGGCGGACTTGGGCGAGCCATATCTCGTCGCTACCAGAAACGCTCAGAATCGGGAGCCGAGGATTTGTCCTTCCACAGACAGGTGGGTTGGGGGTATGTGGGGCAGGAAGGAGCTACAATAGAACCCACATGAAGACTACTGCAGTTACATTGTTTGTGCTGGTGGTTATGATGTTTGGGAACACCCAATATTGAATTTTAAGGGACCTTGACCTCTCACACACACACACACCCTCTCTCTCTCTCTCTCCTTGTTCCAGGCATCGGTCCATAGACAGCAGTCGGAGGAAGGCTTCCAGCACCAGCCATCGTTCAAGAGACAGTTCACTCAGAAACAACTGAGCAAGCTGCAGGAGGAGTGGGACAAGGACACTCCCAAGGTCTCGATTCTGAGGGTGATGAAATTGAATGCCAGAGAGTGGTGGATCATCCTCATCGGTGAGTGAGAGCACTTTTCAACTGCAGACGCCCTGATAAGTGTGTGTGTCGTGCCGCCCCTTGCAGGAGTGGTAGGTGCGGCTGTCAATGGGTGCATCTGGCCGGCCTTTGCCTTTCTCTTTGGAGAGATCCTGGAGGTCTTCGCTCTGCCACCTGACGAGGTCCTTGACGAGATACACGTGTGGGCGGGGCTCTTCATCGTCCTTGGAGTTGTGTCTGGAACGGGCGTCTTCTTGAAGGTATACACGTAATCAATGTGCAGTGGACATTTTTTTGTTTTCTCGTTTCAGTGCGAATTGCTGGTCCAGCAATGCAAGCGTCTTGCCTACACCATGTTTCACTAGTCAATCTCAGCACCATTGATTGAGGCTTAATTCAAGGGGTAAACCATCGTGGGGGGTAAGAATTTCCCCCCCTTACTACAGAAACCACCTGAGTGGCATAACTTTTTCTTCTGGCTCTCGTACATGTAGGCTGCGTGTTTTACGGTATCGGGGGAGAACCTGACTGCCAGACTACGCTCCCTCTCCTTCCGGGCCATGCTGCGGCAGGAGATCGGTTGGCATGACGACGAGAAGAATTCCACAGGGGCTCTAACGACACGACTGGCCAATGATGCCAGCCAAGTTCAAGGGGTAAGGAATTATAGTGTCTCCTACGCTGTATGTACAATAAACGCTCCCCCTTCCCTCCCTCCTTACCGTTATCTCTCTTTCCCTCCCTCCCACCCTTCCCTTCTCTCCCTTCTCTCCCTCCTTACCGTTCTTTCCCTCCCTCCCTCCCTCCTTTCTCCCTCTCTCAACTCTGATTTCAATATCTCACTCACCCCTCCCTCTCCTCTTTCCTTCCCCATCATTATCTCCCCTACCTCGCTCTCTCCCCTCTTTCTATTCCCCTCTCCCTCCTCTCCCTCCCACCCTTCTCTTCTCTTCTCTCCCTCCTCTCACAGGCGACAGGAACGAGACTAGGGACACTGATAGAAACGGCGTTTGGCCTGTCGTTTTCCCTAATAATAGCTCTGGTCTATTCTTGGATCCTCACATTCGTCATCCTGGGAGCCGTCCCTATCCTAGTGATATCTGGATTAGCAGAGGCCACCATTCTTTCGGGTCACACTAAGAAGAACAAGGAAGCCATCGAATCCGCCGGAAAAGTGGGTCAGATAGTCTAAAATTGACGTCTCACTAATAAGGACACCTTTTTTCCCCCCAATAAGTTCTCGTATGCAATTTAACCCCTGAAATAAGGTTGTTCCATACACACCTGTAATAGTCGAAGATTTGGACAAAGTGTTGCAAAAACCATGAAGTAGTGTGGGTCTAAACAACTCTTTATTTGTACATTTTGACTGACTGTGTGTACATGTGTGACTGGTGTGTGTGTGTGCGTGTTGCAGATTGCTGTTGACTCAGTCGACAACATCCGCACGGTGGCATCGCTCGGTTTGGAGAACACTCTCTTTAACCACTACGCGGGAGAGATCACGAGACCCTACCGGTTAGCCTCTCCCTCTCTTAACTTTTCTTGCTAATTGGTGCGTGCGTGCGTGTGACTGAGTGGTTTTGAGGGTGCAGTTTGTATATCTCCTTCCCTCTCTCCCTCCCTCTCCTTCCCTCTCTCCCTCCCTCTCCTTCCCTCTCTACCTCCCTATAGACGCGGTATCATCAATTCCTCGGTGTACGGACTTACCTATGCCTTCTCTCAGACCACCATCTACTTCATGTACGCCGCCATCTTCCGTTTCGGCGCCTACCAAGTCACTCGCCCCGACGACGACATAGCACACGAGTCTTTTGAGGACATATTTCGTGTTTTCACTGCTCTTATCTTTGGAGCCATCTCGGTGGGACAGGCCGGCGCCTTTGCCCCCAACTACACAAAGGCACGTTTGTCTTCCAACAGGATATTTCAACTTCTGGACAGAGTCCCGCTCATTGATGGCTACTCCGTCGACGGAGATACTCCGGTTAGCACACACTGTGTGGATTGTCAGACGGGTCGACCAGATATACAACCGGGATGTCCATTTTATGGATGGGTTGACCAATATATATCGGTATAGTAGATGTCCCATTTCTCAACTGGTCGTCCAGAATCGTGATGCTCTAACAAAGGGAATGTGGCAATATAATAAGAGCTACATTTGGGCCCTATTGCCATCTTTTTGAACATTTCTATCTAAATTTACCACTTATGTGCCGACACATTCCCTCTGACTCCACAGGACGATGCCACTGGAGCTGTCGAGACTGAAGATCTTCAATTCAAGTACCCGACTCGTCCCGATGTCCTCGTCCTGAACAGCCTCAAACTCTCCATCTCGCCTGGGAACACGCTTGCCCTGGTGGGTCCCAGCGGGTGCGGCAAGAGCACCATCGTCTCGCTCCTGGAGAGGTTCTACGACCCCAGCAAGGGGACGATGACGCTGGACGGCCGCGACCTTCGCGACCTCAACATCCGCTGGCTGAGGTCCCAGATTGGGATCGTGTCCCAGGAGCCGGTCCTCTTCGACACCTCCGTCGCCGAGAACATCCGCTACGGAGCCAACTTCAGGGAGGTGTCTGACGATGAGGTGGTGGAGGCTGCCAAGGCCGCCAACATCCACAACTTTGTAGAATCCCTACCTGAGGTATATACACACACGTACATGAGTTGATACAGAAGCCAGCAGTGTCACATGACACTCGCAGCACACCAATCAAATTAATCAGCAGTTACTTGTAGCAATTACTTAAAGTATGTGAGATTTATGGGGCAAAAATCCGTTTTCGACTGTATATAGCATGTAGACAGTTTTGTGATATAGTTTTCTTGGGGGTAGTTGTTTGCCTTAATAGGCAGCGAGCCTACCAAGTTGACTTTCAGAATCAAATACCTTCTTCTCTTCTCTCTCACCCTCCACTTCCTTCTTGACAACAGGGTTACAGCACAAATGTGGGCAGCAAGGGAACGCAGATGTCCGGCGGGCAGAAACAGAGGATCGCGATCGCCCGTGCGCTGATCCGAGACCCGAAACTCCTCCTCCTGGACGAAGCCACCTCGGCCCTGGACACGGAGAGTGAGAAGATAGTTCAGGAGGCTCTGGACAAGGCCAGGGAGGGCCGGACTTGCATCGTCATCGCCCACCGACTCTCAACCATCTACAACGCCGATCACATCGCCGTGATCAATGAAGGAAAAGTCATCGAAGAAGGAACGCACGTCGAGTTGCTCGGGAACAAGGGGATGTATTACAGACTCAACCGATTCCAGATGTTGGGGGGAGGGGCTGCGGATGTTGGAAGCCCCGCCCACCAGTCTATATCACATGACCCGGGACAGGAGCCGATGTAGATCACATGACTACACCTCATTAGAACTTGGACCTATACCTCATATATAACCTCCTTTATTACTACCATTCGTCCCACAGTAGTTAGTACTATAGCAACGAACATTGGTATATTATTGTAGTGTTGATGTTTATTTCATTCACCGCTGATTTCCATGTATTCAATTAGCTATGTTATTGTTGTATAATAACATATCAAGCATTAGCAATGAGCATCAAGTGCTGTTTTTGTATTAACAATAATGATTTCAAGTTTCAGTGTGAACAAAACGAGGTTTGTGAGTTGAAAAAATCCAATAATAAACTCAAAATTTTGAAAGAAGAAACAAAAACTATATTATATGCACACTCCTCCCTCTATGAACCAGTATTATTAACGAGAGGGAGGGCCCTTCAGTTATAATTTTACATGCAGCAAAAGGTATACTGGTGACAGCTAGTACAATATACACACATTGTCATGTATGCATTTTCCCTGTCTTCGTCCTTTATTATCATTATTATGTGGCGATGTCATTATTATGTCATGGGATAGCGGACAGTGATCTGGGGAATGGCCATTAGTTGCTCCGGTGATATTCTTGGCTTGATGTCAGGGGGCTCCTCTGTTGCTATGGACGATGTCATATGCGCATCGCCTGATTGGATGATGACGCGAGTTGTACCAGCCGAAGACGTACTGCCTGAGCGATCGTCAGCCATACCTATTATGGAGGGAGAGGGGGAGGGGGGAGGGGGGAGAGGGGGAGGGGAGGGGGGAGAGGAGAAAGGAAGACGAACAAAAGCACTGAAAGTGAAACGGCAAAACACACTGAAAACAAGAAACCTGACAAGTGGACCACCAAGTGTTTGTCTTGGTATTGACCACACAGAAGATGGCGGAGAAAGGTGGGAGGGTTTGCCTCTCCCTGCAAATCCGTCGAAAGACTACTCTCCAACCAATTTGGGCTCAATGAAATATTCATGCATCCACATTGCTAAAGTGTGGTCATAATTATTAACCCTCGGCGCGCATGCGCAGCGAGGGTTACGGTAGTTGGGTTTGTCTGTCTGTGTGTCTGTTACTCGTCATCTCACTTCTCGAGTGTTCGTTCGTCTCACAAAGGATACCACCTACTGAACGGGCAATGAAGGTCAGAAAATATGTGGGGTTTTCGCTGAAAACGCTCCGTTGCAGAGCTAGAGCGCGAAAAAGCCAATATGCAAATACACAACGGCTTACTACGGCATGATCGATCCGCGTGCTCTGCGTACCTCGGAGGCACCAGAAGATGCAACGCATGGCGTGTATCGCCTCTCGCATGCTATCTAGTAGTGTAGTTAGCCCGCGTCAGACTCTGCGCGAGCTGGCAAGAGACCACGGGTAACAGCTAAAACTAAACCCAGCCCAGCAATTAGTAGTACGGCGCATGCGTTTACTTACGCGTGCGCGTCACAGAACGCCGAGGGTTTGCACTTCAGTGCTTTTCATTATATAAGCAACCCAGAGGGCTCACGTTGAACTACACATAGTCCTGCTGTAATGCAGTGGACTCACCAGCAATGCCAGAGGCGCACTGATGCATGTGGCTCCCCCAGTCCTTGTGCTGGCAGAATGTCCCGCAGTAACGGGCCTTGTTGCATCCGCTGCACGTCTCAGTCGCACGTCGCCCACAGTTCCAGCAACTCTGGGGAAATTAGAATGCTGACTCTACGCACTTCTTCATCTCTCTTCTTCTTCCTCCACTTCCCCTCCTTCTTCCTCCATTTCCCCTCCTTATTTCCCCATCTCCCTTCCTCCCTATCCTTAGACTAGTTAATGGAGCATTCAAAATCGCATACCAACCAGCATTAGAGGAAAAATCCCGCTGCCTTTAACTTATGCACTTCTTGCAAATTTCAAGTGTGGAGAAGCCCCTTACGGCGTTCCTCTCTCTTTGCTGATTTATGGCGTACGTACGTATGCATGTACAACCTCTTTGCTGTTGGACTGTGCATTGGCCTCCTTGAGAGCTTCCTGCACTGCCATAGACTGGGCCTGTGCCATCTTCTGCTCCATCTCTCCCCTCACCTGCACACAATGACGGTTTAAACCCCCCGTATTTACATATGTATTTGGACAAGCAGAATTAAGTATGTTAACTTGTGATTGGGGTTTCACTTTCATTGTGAAAAGTGGTGCTCTGTGTTAAGCTGGTCCTGGACACATTATGTATAGTACATGTCCTATAGGACAACGAATTAGGACAGTGTTCGGCTGACCTGGGCAACAGTCTCTTTCAGCTTGCGCGCGGCCTCTCTCTGGAGGTGGATCTTCTGCTCCTGCCAGTGACGACGAGCTTTCTCAGTCGCCTCTGCTATCTTCTGCTGCTCCTGCTGATGGCGACAGAGAGGACGGGGAGAGAGGAACATAGGTTACTTGTACAAGTTCCGCGAAAATTTAGCACTCGCACACACTAACTAAACTTGCAAAAATACTTTCCTGGTTGCTCAAATCCTAACATCCAATAAATCTTAACTATGTACCTTCAGGTGCTATATAAAATGTCCACAAAAAGATTAAAAAATTGCTGCCAGGCTGGTTTGGAATTGCTACAAATGCCCACGAAAACGTAAAAATTTGCTGTGAGTCTGGTTTGGAATTGACAAAAAAATGAGCGTATGTACTTATGATATAGTGTACCTCTCTCCTTTCGAGGTCAGAGTTTGAATTGAGTGCTCGTTCTCTGAGAATGGCCATTGCATTGCGGCCCTTTTCCACCATCCCTACCACACTGTTCAACATCTGTAGGTATATACAATGGTAGGTATGTATATAGGAAGTAAGGAGGGATCAGGGAAAAGATAACTTTAGAACGAGATCTGGTAATAAAGTGTGGCTATCAAAATTCTAGCTCCATGCCAACCGCAGAAATTCATTTTTAACGTCAAATGTTTCGTGCTGTACAGTTATGTAACACTAATTGAGGGGGCCCCTGTTGTTACCATGTCAATGTAGGACCAGTCTTCGGCCAGCAGCTGCTTCCTGGAGGGCAGGGGGTGGAAGCCCTGTGAGGGTGTGTGTCCCCCGATGAGGGTGGGAGTGTGGGGAGGGTGTGATAGGGAGACTTCGTGCGGGGAGTGCGACGTGTGCTGCTGGTGAGGGGTGAGGACAGGAGGGTAAGACCCCGCCCCCGACGAGGGGACAGGCCCGCAACGGATCGACGGCATGGTAACCGTATTTACAGCAACAGACGGCTGGGCGTGGTTAATGTCTTGACGGGGACGTTTCAGTGTCTGCAATGTCAGAGAGAGAGAGAGAGAGAGAGAGAACCCACAGAGATGGGAGGATCTGGCCAGATTCTATACCCATATATATTTATTCTATGGACTCCTAGGCTGAGGTTAAGTCCACGAGGTATCAGTGTTTTTTTTAAAAAGTTGGCTGATCCAGTAGTGTTCTAGTTTCTGTAGGGAGTTGGGACTGTTTTGTTGTAAGATTGAAGTTGGTATTGACGGATAAGGACTCCTTGGACTTTGTTGACAACACTACTGTGCTGAACAGGTAGGCTTCCGAAGAAAGGCTTGGCTATCCAGCTGGGGCATGTTTCCAGACTGTTGTGAGGTTGGCCTAGCTACGTATGTAGGTTCAGTCAAAACAGGAGGGCCTATTATACTAGTGTGTGCAAGACAGAACTGCTAATGGAGACAGCTGCTTACCTTGTCAGTGATAATGGTGGAGTGAATGTCTGACTGCATTCTGTGTGTAGGGTATATAGGAGAGAGAGAGAGAGAGAGAGAGAGAGAGAGAGAGGGGGGGAGGGAGGGAGGGAGGGAGGGAGGGGGGGAGAGAGAGAGAGAGGGGGGGAACCACAACATGTGTATCATACACAATTGAAATGTTCATTAACATACATAGTGGCAAGAAGACTGTTAAGTAGGTATCATTTCAGGGGAGCTACATACATACTAACACTAACATTATGTACATGTTGTGGTATGCTCTGCTGATGAGGGCCAACAGCCCCGAAACAGCTGTCCAGAGCTCCACATTATTTTCTCTCTTGGCATCACATGGTTTTCCCCCCTACATGTATAGGTGTAGGGAGAGTTGGCTAGCAGTAAAAGACTCTTTAACCCACCACCCACCTGGTTCTCAAGGCTGGGCACCCAGTGTCCTGCTCTCGTGTCATGTCGTGTGTATTTGTGTATGTGTGTTTTGTGTGGATATTTTGGGGTTTGTGTATAATTATATTATGTTGGTGGTGGTTTTTATTTATTTCTCTATCTATCTGTCTACCTATGGCTGGTATGCTATGAACTATAATTTCACGTACTTCTCTTAGCTAGCTGACACTCACACACTCACACACACACACACACTCACACACACTCACACAATACACACACTCACACACACACACACACTCACACACACTCACACAATACACACACTCACACACACACACACACTCACGAGGCTCTATCGGTGGTGGTTCTCTTGCGAGGAATCGGGGAATTCTGGGCAGAATCTGTGTCTGGTGCGGGGTCAAAGTTCATCGTGGTGACTGGATGTAGGGGGTGGGTCTGGGAGTGGACACTTCTGTACAGAGACGGAGGGAGGAGGGAGATAAGAAAAATAAATTCACGACCGGATAAAACACATTAGCCTCACCAGTGCGTGAAAGAAATCATGCATAAACGGTAAACATGTGCTGTGGCAATCCACACAGTTTAGCAGACTGACTGTATTATTAGGGTTAAAGGTTTCCTGATTGAACTGCGGAATGGGCACGCACTTATTATAGCGACACCTTACACTTTAAGCACACACTTTACTGCTCCTATAGAAATGTATGGAACGTGAACTCATAAGCACGAATACGAGGTATATATATGAATCCGAAAAGGTTCTTTTTCCTTGACTCGCCAGCATTTAAGTCATGAAGTTTTAAAAATGTGATCTTAATGGTATATAATGGAGACAGTCTCAAAAAATAAGTCTGCCACAAAGGGTTAGTGTGTGTTGGTTTGACCGGTGTATGTTGGTGGTGGCGTTAGTAGCAGAGTGGTGGATGAAGGAGGCGTGAGCCGCTGGTTCAGCAGTCAGAGGAAGGGAGGAGGAGGAGGAGGAGGAGTGGGGGGTGTGGGAGGAGAGTGTGGGTGTGAGTGGTGGTTTGGAGGAGGGGAGGACGGGGAGGTCTTCGTCTATGAATTGTGGGGTCATGGCGATTGAAGCGGAGGAGGAAGAGGAGGGAGGGTGGAAGAGAACGTCAGAGAGCGCCTGCTCCGAGTCACGGAGAGCTTCTCGAAACAGATCCAAGTTTTCCTGACGACAGAAGAAAACGAAAGAGAGTAATAAGAGAGGAGAGAATTTAGTGCATAGTACCACGTCATGCTTAATTGTGGCACGTGAGAACTTTGTGTTGTGTAGTGGCAGAAAACGTGGTAACAGACAGACAGACACACAAACGGACCAAGTACTGTAACCCTCGCTGCGCATGAGCGCCTAGGGTTAACAAAACAACAGCATGGTGGTGTTAGTGAGACTGAACGTGTAGAAGTGCGAGAATGTAACAGAAGCGACCAACTAAAGCACACGCAGTAGTGACCAGTTGACAGGTTTTGCTGTTCTCTAACAATGGACATCGCTATCTTTGCCCCCATATGCTCTGGTGTCACACAATCCTACACAATCATACCGGTGTTTGTGGAGGAAAGGCGTGCGTGTGCGTGTGTGTGTGCGTGCGTGCGTGTGGGGAGTACACACCCACATTATTAGGAAAGGCGGCAGCAAGCCAATACGGTACCACATGACTACAGAAAGGGCAAAAGGAGCTGGAAAGAAGTAGAGGGAGAGAAAGATAATAAAGGAGAAGTAACGGTAAAGAGGGAGTGATTTGTAAGCCCTCTCCAAAGAGGTGCCCTCCTCCTAATTTTAGCCCCATTCAATGGAATTTAATAGGGAGGCTGGTAATTGTATTCACGTTGCAAGGTCACCAAAAAAGCACATGGCCCCTCATGGTACAGTGCAGAGTATTATAGCACATTCATAGTACAGGGTACATGGAGGTGTTGGTAGTATCTAGTCGTGATAAACTCGCCCCACATACTACATACTGCGCCTAGTTAACACTTCTACAGCAGTAATTGTGACTGCCTGCTGGTTGAAAACCTGGGAGGGAGGGCGTGTAAAGGCCGGGTAATGCTACCATTCTGGCTGTAATTGGTTGGCAGGGCAGTGGGGGCACTCTAGCCAGCCAAGAAGCCACTATATATCTACAACAGCCCATACCTACACAGCGCTGATAGGACAGGGTGACAGATATTGATTGAACTCTGCACTGTATGTACATCCACCATGCATACATGCATGGTGGATGATGATTAGGCTGGCCAGCAAAAATGAATTGAAGTTCTCTAAATGCCCCCTCAAGCCATTCTAACACAAGGCCAGGCATAACACATTACTTCTCTCTTTATCTGTCTGTGTCTTACACACACACACACACAGCACAGGACAGGGAAATTTTGACGAAAGAAAACACACTTGCTTTATTTCTTTCACAGAAGATCTGAGACTCAAAGACACACTAAAAGTGGCCGTTTGTCTGTTGTTTTTTTGGTGTTTTGATAGTTTGTGGTTTCCACCTTTGCCTTATTGAATGTTTAGAGAACTTTGTTCAGGGGGCGGAATGGGGGAGAGGGAGGAAGAGAGGGTGGGGGGCGGGGAGGGAGGGAAGAGAGAGAGAGATGTGGTTCAACTTACTCTCAAGAAAGGGATGATAAACTGGCGAAGAGGGTGGTTGGTAACCGTCTGGATTTCCTGGTGAAATTCCTCGATTGTGGCAGTTCCATTCTGTCAGAGAGAGGGAGAAGAGAGAGAGAGAGAGTCAATTTAGAAAAGGAGAGGAGAGAGGAAGAGATGATAAGGATATGAAACGGGGCGTCTAAACTTAATGAATGCTTTTCGTGGGTGATGGTTGTATGCATTATTATCAAAAACTACGCCTGGCGGGCGAACATAAGCTGACGAACAAGCATACTGAGAGAATAATGGTTTGTCTTTGACCAAATCAAAACACATCACCGAAACATTAGTTATTGACACATTCGCACCACAAGCGCCGCACGCCGGGGCGCAGCTTATTCATGGCTAGAGATGTGTACACAAGAACCGTGTGTGTATTACGCTGAACCCTGTGTGTGGACAGACGAGTGTTGAAGAGTGGTTTTCAAACAACAGAAAGTGTTCGCGAAAAGTAACGCCTGCCCATTAGAGAGACTGGGAGATGTTTCGGGAGGCAGGAAAGATGGAGATAAACGAAAAAGCGCCTCCCAAAATATGCTCGTTTCCTGGAACTCTGCCATTTAAAATCAACTTAGAGACTTGGTTTTAACTCCAGTGTTGTGAACTTAAGCTCCCAAAGGGGCATTGGTGGGCAGCCAAGCGTTTCAACAGTCACTAGGATTGACATCTTATTTGACAAATAGAGAGAGAGAGTGTGTGTGTGTGTGTGCGTGTGTGAGAGAGAGAGAGAGAGCTTACCACAAGTGCTGCGATCAATTCCTGTACTTGTTCGGCCACCTCGCTGGACTGCCTGTCCCCAAACCGTTGCAACGTCGTGAAGAACTGCTTGACCTTCGCGACCTTTCTCACTCGATAGGACGGCAAAATGTCTCCGTTGTCCCCCGTCGAGGAAACCACACCCCCTTTCTCCCTCTCGCCGATAAGGACCCTCCCCCCACCAAACACGACCCTCTCGTCCATGCCACCCCTGTCGTCTCGCAGTAACGAGGGAGACACCGTGGCAACAGAGCCTTTCATCAGGTGGGAGTTGGCGTTGCCGTGGAAACCCATCGGTCTGTAGTGCTGTGGCTTGGGGTACTTTACTCCATTTGGCTCCTCCCCTCTCGTACTCCGCCCGTCCGAAATTCCCACCCCAGCCTGCCTGTGAACTCTGACCCCAACTTGCGAAGGAGGTGGTGGCGGGCTCGTTCCAATGCTGTTGGAATGGGCACCGGTCTCCATTACCAAGTCCTCATCCCCCTCCCCACTCCTCGAGACCACACCCACTCCCAGCTGTCTGCCGTCGTGAGACCGAGAGAATTGCATCTCTCCGTCGTCCCCGTCCTCCAACTCCATGACAGAGTCTTCAATCCTCAGCTGCATCACAGAATCCTCCTCCTCCTCCTCTGCCTCTTCAACTTCCCTCCGAGGTGAAGAGCTTCCCTGCTCGCTCTTCTCCCCTCCTCCCTCCACCTCTCCCCCATCCCCACCTCCCTCACTCCCCTCCCCTCCCACCGAACTTGCCATTCTCAGTCTCGGGAACTCTTCCTCCGATGTTGTCATCGCTGTCGACGTCATTGTTTGGTTGCCGGGTGACACCACGCCCACTTGTATTGAGGCCACACCCACTTTAGGAGGGTGTCCCGAGAGTGTACTAGCATTAGTGGTCGTCTGTTGAGAGCAATTGGGTGCAGCTTCAACGGGGGTCTCATCAGTACCACTCTGTATCTGACCAGTCACTGCTGCAGCGGTACCACGTCGCGAAGACGGCAAAGGGAGCTCGCGAGGGGTTAAATCATTCCCAAATTGCAGGGGCTCGCTCATGACTTGCGCAAGAGGCTCGTGGGGTGTATCGGAACCGTTCGTAGGGGAATTTACGTACTCAACGAGAGCGGGAGGGGCAGAATCCTGGCCCCGTCCCTTGGCACTGGTGATCTGCGAGGAGGCACTTTCACTGCCTGTGGTTGATCGTGCGGGGCCGACTGAGCGACAGGAGTGAGGTGAGTACTGGTACCGTCCACCACAGGGACACCAGGAGCTTCATTGCCAGACGCCACGGTCGTATTGGTTACAGTAGGAACTGAATTGCTCCCTGCCTCTGCGGAAACTGTACTTTGGACACTTTGCGTCGACGCCGTAGGACTCAGACTTTTTTGGAGAGGAGTTGCAACAACCCCAGCATCTCGCTCAGGTAGGGATGTCCCTACAGAAGACGAGGCAAATGTGGAGGAGGCAGTGGCGTTTGCTATGGAGGCACCCAAATGTGCAGTTGATGAGTGGTTGTCGTGTGGGTGTGGAGGGGCTGCCTTGTTAACACGTGTCGTAGCAGGTCGAGCATACGTCGACAGCTGTACCGGTACTGCTCTCTGGATACCCCCAGGTACAGAACCAGCATATGCCGCTGCAGGAGGTGCGAGGGGGGAAGGGGAGCGGGAGGTGAGATCAATCAACGGAGACGCTCCCCTCACTTCGTCCCTGCCTTTCCCGCTCATCTGGTCACCTGAGGGCACTGCCAGTGGCAGAGAATGTGGTCCAAAGGAGGGGAGAAAGGAGGAATAACCACAAACGATACACACTCCCCAAGCGATCGTGAACACCGTTGAATAATCCTACGATAACAAAGGCACATCAATGCACGCCTGGGGGTAGTTTCAGCAACTGTTGGCAAGCTGCCAACAGTTTTTTGGGCAATCAATTTCTGATAAGCGAGGGTTCTACCACACGCCCCAGATAGCGGTTGGAGGAATGTAATCGCTGATAATCAAATTTCAACACCCTGTCGCCTCGCTCGCTCACACGCCGGGCAACACATCTTCGCACTAAAGCTCAGCGTCCACTGACGTACATACCCCGAAACACACACCGGCCGCCCTCGGTGAAGACTAGGTGCGCGCTCGCTACATTTTACTACCCTTTCAGCCGCGGCAGAGCGCAGTACAGTTTGTCGCGCGCTGGCCCCCACTAGCTAGTGAGCTAGAGTTACGGAACCCGACGCACCTTTCGGCTTCCCGGCTGGCTGCTCTGTCTGTTGCTCTGAATCGCAGCGGTCGTATAAACGCCTGGCATCGCTGCCTCGCAGTCGGTGGACTAACTGTCAGTGCAGCACCCACCGTCAGCTGCTGCCGGCGATGTAGATGCAGTGGAGCAGTGCTCGAGGGTTCAGGCGAACACTGCTATCTTTTACTAGCACTCTGGACAGAGAGGGAAGAAATACTGCTTGTCGAGTCGACACACGCGCCTCTCTCCACCAACGAACTAATTGGAAACGTAACAATTGCATACGGCATGCCGGATTTGTCCCACTAATGAGACGGATCGGAGTGATAAACCCTATTCATTACAGGGCCACCCTTTCATTATTGTTGTTTGCATTTTTCACATGGAGCGCTCTAATAAGAGTCCGCGTAACATTCTATGCGCATGCGCAATATTTCGCGCGTTGTTGGCGCGAGCGAGATCGACGCGGTTCTTTCAAAACGACGAAAAAGGCGACCGAGCAAGAAAGATTGACGTTTCTGCAGGGCCATGGCTCCACAGAATCGGAAAAGCTGGGCCAGAACTACGACGTGCAAGGTATAAAGTAGGCAGGCTGAAATCGACTCGCTCGCGATTTTTTGTTCGTTCCAGGAAGGATCATGGATCCCGGGTCTGAAGAGCCCAAAGTTCTCCTGCTGCCAGTGCTCGCACTGCGCCACTGTCCTCGCCGATACGGCCCACTGGACGAGCCTTCGTAAACCTCCGCTTCGGAGCCCCGTGACGATCGGGGATCGAGTGGCCGTGAAGCAGAGGAGCGGTGGGAGAGATGGCGAGGAGGCGCGGGTGCGGATGGGAGTGGTCAAGTACGTGGGAGACCTCAACAGCCCGTACACTAGCGAGCCAGTCTTCATCGGAGTCAAACTCGACGATCCTGGTAATATAAATGTGTCCTTACCGACATGCAATCACCGTTTGTAAGATGTGTTCCTAAAGACTAGTCTAAGATGTGTTTCTCTGTTTGTAAACAAACATTTGCTGCTCTCATAGTTGGTGAGCACGATGGAATGTTCTGTGGCAAGCGATTCTTCAGTTGTCCGGAAGGCCATGGTCTCATCGTGCCGGCTACAGAGGTTCAACTCCTGGCTACTAACGACGTGAGTTGAGTCTATATAGGGAGAGGGTTCTGTATACAGCGGAACCCCCTCTAAGGACACTCCTGAAACGAGGACACCTCTCTAATAAGGAAACCTTTCGTTTTTCCAAGAACAGTTTCCTCGCCCCTGAAATAAGGACCCTCGCTAATGCAGACACTTCCCTCTCGTTGTGGTGTATAGATTAGAAGGGTTCTGGTGTATGCTACGGACATCGTGTATTGTGCGGTTTGTTTCAGGGACGACAGAAGAGGGTTGGACCACCAAACTCTATGGTGTTGGGGAGTGAAAGAGAGAGAGTCGGGCCGTTGGCACGCAGGGAGAGAGGACTCGAATCAATGCTCAGCAAGCCATGGGCCAGGAACAGGATCAGTGCACTTTCAGGAGCCGAGAGCTGCCGAGTCAGAGATACACCTACCCCAAATGGATCATCACTAGCCAGTTCCCGACCAGCGCAGGCTGCGATGAGCGAGAAGACGAGGAAGGGTGCGGCGATTGGGGGAGCTCCTGCTAATTCGTACAGCAACGAGGGGGACATGTTTGTGGAGGATGTGGAGAGAGACACTGGCTCGCCCGCAGTGGGGAGAAGAGCGTGGAGAAGTGTGCCTATCATGAGGGGGGCCGATCAGCAGCAGGGCACAACTGAATCAGGAACAACTGAAGCGAGAATTTCGAGAGCGAGTGAAATCATCACATCCACTACCGTTGAAAAGTCGAGAATCGGTGGCGATCCGGGGGAGCGGGGTGGACCTGTTGGCAGCGGTTCAGTTGTCACTCAGTCTCCAGAGAAGAGAAGAAGCAAATACACCTCATCGCAGTTTTCTGGGTTGAGCGGAGCTCTGCACAGCAACCTGGGAAACTCTGAGAGCCAGGAAAAAGACGGCGAATCGTCGACGAACTCAGATAGAACCAATTCTTCTACTGCCGTGAAAAATGTAGAGTCGTCACTGGCTGAACGACAGGGGAAGCCCCGTTCTCCCAGCGATTGGACGCGATCCAACTCTGAGGCCGTCGTCATCCAGCAGTGTTGCAAAGTTGACTCAACAGTTGTTGAAGCACACACTCCTCCACAAATTGAGTCGTTTGAAAGCCGTGATGAGGTAGAACTAATCTTCTCCCCCTCCTCCTCCTCCTCTTCCTCCCTGCCCCCAGCTCCACCTGGAACCAGTGTTAGTAGTAGCAGCTACGTGAACCAGGCTTCAGCCATCAGTAAGCAAGACTCCCTCTCCAGGTACGTGTGTATAGCACTCAGTACAGAACTTTTTAGGGTACAAAATCGAAAGCTTTGCCAAATAGAGGGCACTTAGTGCTGTAGGTTAATGCGGTTAATGCACACTTCAATACCAGACTTAGCTGGAATCAGCTCAAAGAGTGTAGTAAAACGTTTTTTTTCACATCTAATTATGCCTGCAGTCCATTAGCAGTGTGTATATGTATACTTTACACAGCTGTGCGATGTCATGGATACCGTCCTCTTCTTCTCGCTCCCTCCCATCTCCCTCCGTTGAGCGAGAGGCAGCTGCTAAAGCCGGCAGCACCCCCGATCGCGATGTGCCTTCCCTCACTAGAGGAGTCAGCAAGGAGCTGGAGGGAGACGTGCGTGTGCGGATGATGACGTCAACCTATCATAAGCTGAGGAAGGCACTCAAGAAAGGCATGAGGGAGATGCAATGGCAGAGGTTTGTTGTGGGAACCCAATTCTCCTTGTGGAAGTTTTGGTTCAAAATTCAGTGGAATACTTATTGTGTCAATGGGAAGTGTATTGGCTTCCTATTATCAGGTATTATGTAATGCTATTATAGTGCTTATTCGAGATTGTACTGAATTTGATTGGACCACTGTATCACCACATGTTTCTCTCTCTCTCAACTCTCAATAGGAAAATACAAGAGATTGAGTCATGTGGGCTCTATCCAGCACAGACAAGGTGTAAGACCGTACACATGCACTAGTAACTATAAAACCCTGCACTCTGTAATCATCAAAGTGTATATATAATTATACCAACATAACATCAAAAAAGTGGTACCCAGTGGTGATTGATGCTGGGCCAACCTTGTTTGCACACATTAACACAGGAGGTGCGGAGTATTGCGTGAGAGTGCTGATATGAACGGAAATGCAGCTGCTAAATTGAAGAAGGAATCCTTTTCGTTAAAGAGGAGGAAGGGAACCAAGCTGGCAACCGTTGCATCAGCCCAAGCCAAATTAGAGGTCTTTGACTCTGATTAAACTCCTTTCCCCTCCTTTACCCTCTCTCCCTCTCATTAGCTTGAAGAAGGCAAAGGAAACATGGTGCACAACGAGATTATGAGCTACCCATCGTCTGCTGGTAGTGGCAAGATCAGAGACATCAAGAAAATGGCACGCAACATCTTGAAGAGAACAAAAACTGATTGAGTTTTGTATATATATACATGCACTTTTGTGATTGGAATTTTGCGGTATTATTATTTATTACTGCGCGGCGCGCGCTGAGGATTGTGCCGTAGGGTCAAAGGTCTACATTTACCACTGCCTCTCGAGAGTTTGCGAGCAGAGAGTCAAAAAGTCATGGCCGGTGAGTTTAGCATTTTGTTCGCACGCTTTTTCGCGGCACACACGCGGCCACTTGGACTACACGAGTGTCTGTAGCCTTTACCGGAGCTCCTCGTGGGCTAGTGAGGGTCTTTTGGTGGTCTCGGTCCGCGAGTGTGCCGGTAATGGCGTGGGGCGGCGGAAGTTCGTTCAGTTTCGGGTCAGTTTATCGATATCTTTCCTCGTCCATCGCCGCAGAGTTGAAATTAGACCTGTCCAGAGTGGACCAAGTCATCACTGCGTCCAACGGTAGGCCCCTGTCTGTCTGTCTCTTTCGTTAGTCCCTGTCCCCCGTCTTTCTCTGGCGTCTTGTCCGGCGGGTATAGCCCTAGGAACCGTGTTTCACTGCGTAGGTTTACCGTCCGTCGCCAGAGACGGCCTGCTGGCAGAGAAAGAAGGGAAGTGTACGGGTGGGCATTAATTGGAAGTAGCACCGCTATGCGTACAATGTATGCACCTATGCGACATTATGGAGGCTTTCTCTAAATGATGTAAGATTTTTACCAGCATTTCTGCTAGTATATAGCAGCCGTAATATCACATTAATTCTACGCATAAAAAGTGTGCATTTGGTCACACAAACAACGTGAGTTTTGTATTAATTACTTTTGACTGCAGCTGAGGTGGACGGAGGAGGAGGAGGAGGAGAAGGAGGAGGGGACATGGGCGGAGAGGATGGGGGTGTGGACTCCTTCACCGACATGTACGACAACCTGCTTCCTCTGGAAAAATTGGAGCGATACTTTCAGAGCGAGGATGTATTGGACAGGTGTGTGACGATCTACGTACATTCTACAATTAATTAAACCCCTGACTTTAGTTCTGGTGTGTCCATTTCCATCACATGTATGTTTACGTGGCAGGGAGATGGCGGTGCGGTGCATCCCCGAGGCGTTGGAAGCGGCGACATCGCACTCTGAGTACCAGTTTATCCTGGAGATATCAATGACCCTTGCAAATGACCACGGTGGGTGACATGCTGATGCACACTACAACGGATGGAACACGAGCAAATGAGAGAGTGATAAATTTCAGTTATTTCTTCTTTCTCGTTTTTCTCTTGGCATCACATGGTCTAATACCTTCATATATAGTAGCTTGATAGTCTGTTGTGAGTACAAGTTACGCTAGTTGAAGAAGAAGAAGATGGTGATGAACAAAACTCCCTATCGTAGCCCCGTACATCTATGATGCTAGCTACCATGCACCCATCCCTATAATATACTAACTGTTTGGTGATGTAGTCTAATGCTCTGGCTGCAGTGTACAGTGTATAGGTCACCAATACCTGTGTGGTGTGTGTATGTGTGTGTGTGTGTGTGTGTGTGGGTTCAACTTGTATCAAAGAGCCGATTTGGGAGGCTACAATGCCAGTTTGTTCACACCCAGTAGAGAATTGTCCCCGAGTGACTGAGAACACAGTGTGTATATACGCATAGAGAATATGCATAGAGAATATGGAAAACCAGTTCAGTTCTCAACTGCATGTTTCTAATTAGGTTTAACTCATTTTGAGTATGGAAGGTTTGTGAGGCTTGTACATAGTTTGTGTTGATGCAATTTGACAAGAAATCATCATCAAAACTGAACCCTCGAGTGTTTCCAAAATTTACGTATGTTTAAATAATGTATTATTATGGTAAGATTGTGTGTGTGCTGGCAAAAGTGGAGGAACTGCCATCCTAGCTACGTGATTTGTGTGTCTCCCGCTGCAGAGCCGACCATAAGGATGCTGATTCTGGACACAGTGGCCGTGCTGCTGGAGCACCACTCCAGACTCTGCCTCACCAGTGACTTGGAGAACGGGATGGAGAACAAGGAGAGGCTGTTTGACGTGCCCATCAGGATGGTCTCAGACATCAACCAACAGGTGTGTCTTAATCTCTCCCCACCTTGTTCTCCTTGTTTCTCCCTCACTTCCTTCTTTCATCATCTCTTCCTGCTTTTCTTTCGCTATTTCGTTTCTCACTCGCTTCGTTTTTTCTTCTTTTCCTTCCTTCTCCATACTTTTCTTTCTCTTGTTATTTTGCTTCTCACTCGCTTCGTTTTTTCGGCATCCAACATTAGATAAATAATGCATTAAAAATTTGTACAACTATAGTAAGTGATGTGTACCAAGCGAGCCTAGGGTTCAAGAGATTTGCAGCTGAACTTTAATTTCTGTGTTTTTCTCCGTTCCTCGCGTTTTTGAGTCAAATGTCCTTTTCTCTCAACGTGGCAGGTGAGGAGAATCAGTCAGACCTGTGTCGTTTCTCTTCTTGAAGATGACACCAAGAACAAAGGTACACCATCTCATGATTATTTATATATGTAGAAACCTAAACCTCTTTAAACCCTTCATCCTGTACTTTATCAGCAAAAATTTTGGTGGTTTGTGGTAGGCTGTTCTTATAATAATCCTCCTCCCTCTCTCAGATAAAAGCATGGGACCCAATTGTACATATCTTCGTAACACGCTTTCCTTACTCCTTTCGTTGTGTCTCCCTCTCTCTCCCTCTCTCTCTCCCTCTCTCCCTCTCTCTCCCTCTCTCCTCTGGTAGATGTTCTCATCAACCAGTTGGTGCCAGAGATGGAGCGATGCCTCAGTAGAGACGAACACTACGACCTCAGAATGGACATGTCTCTGGTCAGTCACTAACACAGCTGCAACCACCCCCTGTTTTTCCCGCCAATTTCCCTCCTCGCAATCTGATTGGTCGGCTCTATCCACACACAAACATAATGCTTGACACACTTGTTTGGGCAAACATCAGGTCCAGGTGGGACTCCCGGGCGTCTCTCTCTCTCTCTCTCTCTCTCTCTCTCTCTCCAAGTTGCTGAGTCGATTGGCCCCACTCCTGGGTCGAGAGGTTCTTGTGAGAAAGTTTGTTCCTCTCTTCCCGTCCCTCGGGAGAGACGCCATGTTTCATGTCCGCAAGGTATGCTCTCCCACACTCTACACACATGTATGTATGTATCTACTACTGACTGTATTAATGCTGCTTGCTACTTAGCTCTGCCGACAATTTTAGTTCAGTTGTAGTTTTTGCTTCAGTCACAAAAACTAAGTGTACTAAAAGTGGTCACGGAGAAATCTACAGAATTGTTTATTGTGTGATTTGTATATTCATTCTCTTGGTGTTCTGCAGGCATTCGCGATGGGCTGCAGAGACATCTGCCCTGTACTGGGAGAAGATTTGACGGAACAACACATAGTGAGAGGGGTGGTGTCCTGTTGTGTGTTGTGGTGTACAGTAATAATGAGTATGTACGTTGAGAGTGTCTTTTTCTCTCCTTTCTCCACAGCTTCAGCCGTTCTGTGATCTTTGTCACGACGACGTGTGGGGTGTGAGAAAGGTTCGCTTCTCTCCTCATCTTTCATCGTTCAATTCTCTCTCTCTATCTTTTCCCCCTCTTCCTCAATCTTTTCCCTTCACCTTTCACCACATGTGTTTCTCTCCTCTCTCCAATAGGCGTGTGCTGACGTGTTTGCGGACGTCGCGATATACTGCAACTTGGGCACCCGACACGACAGATTAACCCCTACCTTCCTCCGCCTACTCCAGGACGACTCTCGATGGGTTAAAACTGTTTCTCTATCGCTCTCTTGCTCTCTAATGCAACCCCTATAATCTGGACACTATGCAATAACAGTCTTTGGAGTGTGTCCTCATTTCATGGGTGTCTATGAGAGCACTATAGATTTTCTGATCATCTTTTGACTCTTTCTCCCTATCTCATTCTCCTGCTCTCAATAAACCACAGTTTCCTACTTTTTGTTCACATTTGCAGGTGCGAAGAGCAGCTTTTGAACACCTGGGTTCGTTCATCGCCACATTCTACGTTTCCCTCCTCGGTAGCGAAGGCGAACAGTCGTCCATCAACCCATTCAGCGACTCGATTCTTCTGGACAACTCCCTCCTCCCCGCACACGAAGAAGACGGGATATGGGTGGGCGAGGCCGAAGACGATGAGACCCCGCCCATCACCCGAAGTGAGAGAGGGGCGTCTGATTCCGGTACCAGAACGGGGGAATCGGGAATGGGGAATGTTCCGTGGGATAAAGAGGAGGAAGAACCGTTTTTCTTGTTCATGGACGCGCCAATTTCGGGGGGAAGGAAGGAGGGCAAGGAGAGAGGTGGGAAGGACAGTGCGGTGGAGGAGAGAGATGGGGGGAAAAGGAGGAGGGTGTGGAAAAAGGAGAGGTTTTAGCTCTAGAACTAAACACCGCAAGTGACTCGCCGAAGAACGAAGGCTCACCAACACCCGTGGAAAGATTGACAGAGGAAAATGTCTCGTCGTCTGGAGAAGAAGAATCACTGGAGAATGAGAGAGTCTCATCGCAGCCAGTGGAGAGACTGGAGCTGGATCTGAGGAGAGAGGGGGCTCTAATTGGAGTGGACGGCCCGGGGAGCAACACAGAGGTGGTGGAGAAAGTCGTGGAAGGGGCTGGAGAGGTTAACGCAGCTGAATCAGAGGGGCATGTGGGTGAGGGGGAGACATGCGAAGAACGAGTGGAGAAGAAACCGGAAGTTGACGAAGAAGAAAGAGAAGGTGTGCTTCTATTAGAACAATCTCAAGACGAGGAAGGCAATGGGAATGAAGAAGAGATTGAGACAAGGACTGATGAAGCAGAGGTCGAACATTCTTCAACTGAGGGTGACGGTGGGGCAAATGATAAGGAAGAGAAGGAAGGAGGTGGGAACGATGAAGGAGAAGGAGAGAGGGAGGAAAATAAGGAAGAAGAGGGGAAAGAGGAGGAGGCCGAAATACAAACGGTGGAAGGAGAGGAAGAGGAGAAGGAGCAGAGGGAGGTGGATTCAGAGCCCCCCAAACAGTCTACAGTAGCAGCTGAAGAAGAGAACTCGACTGGTGAGAATAATGAGGCCCCGACAGGCCAGGAAGAAGCTGAGAATGAGTGCTCAACTGGTGAGAAGGAGGGGATGTGGAGTGAGGGAGGGAGGATGTGCGGAGGAGGAGGGAGAGATTAGCGGCCCAACCTCATGTTGACTACAGTGGTGGAGTTGGGGAGGGTGAGGATGAGGTGCCTAGCAGTGAGACCAACGGCAGTAGTGACGGTGAAACTGGGCCAGATGTCAGTTCTGGTCAGGGGCAGGGAAGAAGAGAAGAAGATGGAGGAGGAAGAGAAGAAGAAGGAGAGGGAGGAAGAGAAGGAGAGGGAGGAGAGAGAGGAGGAAGAGAGGAGAAGGAGAGGGAGGAAGAGAAGAAGATGGAGGAGGAAGAGAAGGGGAGGAGTCCATACCAGAACTCCACGAGGAGGGGGAAACACAGAAGGGCTGGGGGCAGAGTGCAGAGGACACACCTACTCAGAACAAATTTCCACCGGTCAGACAATGTTAGATTCAGTTCTGCAACTAAAGCTCCGAATAAGGGACCTTTTGGGATGTACAGGCGTCCCTTACTTGGAGGAAATAGGGATAAACTATTAGCATGGGGCAGAACCAAGCGTCCTTGTAGAGAGGTGTATCCTTAAATTGGTTTTTTCGGATGTATACAATTTTGACGTCTCCCCCCTGCCTCTCTCAGATTCGTGTCTTGGTCCATACCACGGCAGGCCAAGTGATGGAGCCGACGTGCGACGACGCGCACACTACCGCACCTCACAATCGGACCGGTCACCACGACAACAGCGTTTCCATGGAGATCACCCTGGCAACCACCCCCGACTCTAGTCTAAATACGACAATGATTGATTCCTTTGCCGATGAGGTCCGTGGCTCTCTTCTCACTCACCTCAAGTTTTAGTGCACGTTGCGTAACATATTGCGTAAAATTTTGAAGGAAATGTATAGAATTCAATTTCACAAACAGCAGCCAGAAGTTGTAACCTTGGAATGCAGGTTGCTCGTTTCCTTCCCCCACCCCTCCTTCCTTCCTCACTCCTTCTTGTCTCCTCCGTCTCTTCCTCCCCCTCCAGATGCCGTCCCAGGAGATCGTCCCCGATGAGCTGATGGATCTCTATCTGAGCATGACCGACTCCAGCAAGTCGCAGACTGTGGACAGCGACCTTCCCTACTACTGCGCCTTCTGTCTCCCGGGGGTCGTCCTCACCCTGGGGGCCAAAAATTGGCCCCTCCTCCGAACAACCTTCCTCACTCTTAGCGGAGACATGCAGGTTCACTAGCCATCCGTTTTTTTACTCGTTTTGCCGCTTCAATGCACTTTTATCGCTGCTATTTTTCGGGAAATTGGTGGTTGAGAAAGGTTTCGTAGTTTAAAGGCTTTTCTGATGAGTCACGAAGTGTTAGCTGCACTGCAGCAAACTGTACATCTTGTCACCAATCGATGCTGGATTTATTTTCCAATTACATTGAACAAGAATTGGGGATGTTTTTTAACAATGTGATACGATCTCTCCTCTCTCCAGTGGAAGATACGTCGAGTGCTGGCCTTCTCCCTGCACGAGCTGGCGAGGATCCTGGGCACCCACACGACGGTCACAGACCTCTACTCCACGTTTGAGGAGTACTGCACCAAGGACGTGGACGATGTAAAGATAGGCGTCCTCTCGCATCTCACTGAGTTTATAGAGGTAATAGCTCTTTAGGAGTATTTGGGGCAAGATAACTGAGGGGGCAACGACAATTGAGGCTTAGGGCGTTGGGGAACCAAACCGTTTTCACAATGGAAGAAATTTACCCCTTGCCTTGCACCGTTCTCCCTAGAGAGATATAGCCCCTGTAGTTACTGAAATAGCTGGTTATGGACAGTAGATTAGAGAAGTGGTATATATAAAAGCTGAAAAGCTTGGGGGGTGGGGATATAGAAGGAGCTATGGATTATGTATGTGGCCTTTGGTCTTTTGTTAGGTCTGTTAACTGCTAAGTGGCCTATCAATCAACTGTATGGAAGTTGACATGAATATGTCAGATCCTATTGCTGCTCCTACTGCATTAGAGGACACGTTAACCCGCCATGGGTATCTCCTTAAATAAGCGGAAATTGACATATCAACACCTAGTATTATAGCCATATGGACTTGTATGGACATAATTTGCACGTGGCTTGAGAGAGGTAGGTAAATAATGATGATAGTGAATGTTAAACAGTATGGTAGTTATGAGTTCTGTGGCCTGTGGGCGAGTGAGTGGCAGTAGGTCTTTGAGTGGCAGCTGCTAGTGGGCACAGGACAGCTGGTTTGTGTTTCAACTTCTCTCCTTCTTCCTGGTTACTTTGCTCTCTTTTCTCTATCAACGATGATGACACTCAGTTTAATAATACTGTACCTAGTGACTTACCAAACATTGTCCGTGCAATTATTACAATCCAGCAATACTTTTTTCACTCACTGCGTGCAATTGGACGTGACGTGCAATTAAAATCCCAAAACATTGAGCAAAATTTTTAGCCCAAAAATGTCTTTTGCGTGATCCAAGACTACAAAAAGACTTCAAAAGGTCCATCAGTATTTGCACCCTTTTTCACATGTGTGTCGCGCATCTTCGCCTTACGTATCACAACGTGTGTTCCTCCTGTGCTGAGGGTTGGCACTTTAGTGCTTTTCATTTTCCAACCTGTTGCAGGTCCTACCCATCTCACTACGACGCTCTTGTCTTCCCGACATTCTGAAAGGACTACGAGACGTCGAAAACCCCAAAAACTGGAGACACAAACACATGCTAGTCGAGTGAGTCACACCACTGTCATGTGACATTCGTCCAGTGTCACATGAATCATGTGAGTCATGTGACCCTCCTCTAATGCCACACGACATCACGTGCAAGTCATGTGGTATTCCCCGGTATCATGCACAAGTCATGTGACATTCATCCATTATCGTGTCCAAGGCATGTGACACTCCTCCTGTGTCACGTGACATCATGTGCAAGTCATGTGACCTCCCATCTTCCACAGGCAGTTGGTGACTCTCTGTGATCTGTATGACGCTGACTACCTACACTCACACATTTACCCAGTGGCTAAAGAGCTCATGAAGGACAGAGTACACGAAGTGCGACAGTCGGCTACACAACTGGTATAGCAGACAATCTACAACATTATTGCTTGAGGAGGGAAAGCTTTTTCGATTCAGTCCATTTAAACTTTCCGCAGATTCTTGTTCCACCGTGCATTTCACAGAATTTTCAAGATGGCCCTCGAACTGTAAAATCCCATGTTCTTGGGGAAATTATTAGAGAGGTGTCCTGGGAGGAGAGTTCCACTGTTTGCAGTGCAATGCCTTCTGAATACTCTCGCTTAGGACATGGGGTCCGTCGCCTCTCTAACAATACACCTTTCCTTTCCTCAAGAACAGTCACAATAATATTATTGACACTTCTTTTGTCCCATTGGTGTCCAGAGGAAGGGTATATACATTGTGAAAGAAGTAACAATCGCCTCCTCATTTCGCTGCCCTCCTCTTTCCCCACAGCTTGGGATGGTTCTTCAGAGACTGACTCAGATCACTCCCGACGGCTACCTCCCGGTCCTGAGGGACATGAGGACCGAATACGCCTCTCACAAATGGTGGAACTTCCGACAGCTGTGAGAGAAAGACCAGTCTTTTTCGGAATCAAACCCTCCTTTCTCCCTCTTGCCTCGATCACTACTCTTCTCTTATATAAGACGAGTACACGTGTGAAAGTGTGTGTGCGAAATCACATGACTCCTGCTATACATGTCATGTGCAAAACCTGTGCATGAGTAAAACAGTGCACATTAATTGGAGTGCAAGACACACATCACACACACACTTTTTAACAACACGTATTTATTTCCTCTTCCCTCTCTCTCCCCTGTGCTTTTGTATCTCTCCCCTCTCTTCTTTCTCCCTCCCTGCATGAGTGAAACAGTGCACATTAATTGGAGTGCAAGACACACACACACTTTTTAACAACACATAGTTATTACCTCTCCCCTCTCTTCTTTCTCCCTCCCTGCATGAGTGAAACAGTGCACATTAATTGGAGTGCAAGACACATCACACACACACTTTTTAACAACATGTATTCATTTCCTCTTCCCTCTCTCTCCCCTGTGCTTTTGTATCTCTCCCCTCTCTTCTTTCTCCCTCCCTGCATGAGTGAAACAGTGCACATTAATTGGAGTGCAAGACACATCACACACACACTTTTTAACAACACATAGTTATTACCTTCCCTCTCTTCCCTCTCTTCTTTCTCCCTCCTTCCCTCCCTCCCTCCCTCCTCACCAGCTACATATCCCAGTGCCGGAGGTTCGTGGTGGAACAGTGTATATCGAGCGAAGTGTTTGTCTCCGAATGTCTTCCCAATCTCCTCCCCCTTGTAGCCGACAAGGTCCCCAATGTCAGATTAGCTCTAGCCAGGGCTGTCAGGGACATTCTCACATATAAAGGTATGTCGTTTTGTTTACGATAATGCTTGTGTTATTAAGCATTCTTTGGGCAGTCTACTAATTGGCGAGCACTGTACCGTAATATTTTACATGATTCGAAATATACGCACTCAAAAACTACTCGTGTTCGCTCTCCAAAAATTAATGTTTTGTTCGTTCTAGTTATTAATGGTGAAGTCACAGCCCATATGTAGCACGTGGGTTCATTTTCGGCAAGTTCAAACTGCAATAAGTAATCAGGTAACCTTCAAACTGTTAATGTTATTACACCTCCAAGTATGTATGTGGATTAGCCAAGGCCAGTACTTAAATTGACTATTAGCTCGCCTTAATTACTGCTATCGCAATGCCGGTCCTCACCTACCAACTTTCTCTCCCTCCCTCACCCCTCCCTCCCTCAACCCTCCCTCCCTCAATCCTCCCTCAATCCTCCCTCCCCCACAGACTACTTTCAGACGGACAAAGAACAAACAGTGGAGCAGCTGGAGTCAATCCTGCACACCCTCCGCTCCGACACCGATCGCGACGTCATCTACTTTGCGGGCGGAGACGTCTCCTCGTTCGTGAGACCACACCCACTGGGCGGAGACCTCCGGTATCGGTCCCTGTCCCAGGCCAGCGAGGACCTGTACCACGACGCCGTGGAGACGTTGGATGGTGGGAGACCACGGGAGGAGCATGAGGCCTGGCTTCGCAGCTGGGAGGAAGGTATGTGGTAACTCAGTATTTTTGACGAGAAAACGATATATTTTTTCATGGATCCCATCAGAACAAATTTGCCTTTTTAAGCTCTCTAAAGCATCTTAAGTGGTGAATGTCTTTTCATCTTCTTGTCTCATACGCGCACACACACACACACATACACTCACACTCACACTATTAACGTGCAGCCCTCTCAGGACCAACTCTACAGATGACAGGAGAAATTAGATAATTCGTTAATCCATTTTACAAGCTGCCCGGTCTCTCTCTCTCTCTGAAATATATCCTTTTTCAGTTTACAAGCAACTCTCTTTTCACTTTTCAATTCTACTTTTTGTTTCTTTTGCTCTCTTTCTTTCCTTTTGGCTAATATTATTATTATTAGACGAGTGTAATATATATTTATCAATATTAATTTATTTGGGACTTGCTGTGCAGAATGTGGCATTTTGAAAGCTTAAATGGAGACTAAAAGTTCATTCTTACACTGCCACATAATTGTCGCGACATACAGGGAAGTGATTGGAAGTGTGCGACGTGTGTTTTCTTGGTGTACTTTTGGCGAAAATGCTATCACCGTGGAAACGGCATTGATAGTGTCACCACGGTGCCGTAATTGGATTTGGGGGGTAAACACGGCGTGCGAGATGCCATTTCGTAATAGTTGTAAGTAAGAGGGGAAAGTGTGTCTCAAATAATGTCTTTGCTGGGAACACACACACACAGTGGAATAGTATGTACATACAATACCTTATTCCCATAGGAAGGACATTCTGTGGTGCCCAATGACTGTGGTTTGGTAACAAACGACGACGCCCTCTTTGAAGATTGAGAACGAGCTTCGGATTTCAGTTCTGTTACGGAATTGCGTTAGCGTGACATCCTGTATTGCTAATAGTGGGTGTAGTAAGAAAAACCTGAACCTGAGTTCCTGTGGGACTGGTATATACTGTAGATAATATAGAGTGGTGAATTTTTTGAAACTACAGGTTACCCACACCCCCTTTAATATCGTTTCAAAAGGAGACAAACTTGCAAAACACAGTATACCCTACCTACCTATTTTTGTTGCACATACATTGGGATAGGACACATTCCTACTGCGCAACATTGTGAACCTACGTACGTATATAGGCAACTCTCTCGTCGGTGTTAAAACAACACAACGCATCATATCTGCTCCTCCGCTCTCTCGGCATGCTACTGTCAACTCCAGTTGACATAATTCTAGTTCCAACCCACACAATGGCTTAGTTCACAGCTGAACTGGTCGTCGTACTTTACCAACCCTTCACAATGGGCATATTACGGTAATATAATTAAGACGCAGGGTATATACATTGTTAAGTGTCATATGACACCTAGATGTGCATACTACAAGTACCGATCACAATCACGTGTAAAAATTGTCTTACTCGATTATGGTGGCTCAATTATGATGCAGTTTCACTTTCGTCTTTTGTGCTATTGTTAAGGCCCGAATGGCGCCTCATGTTTACGATGTATCTAGCTAGCCTCTCGTTGCAGCTGTTCACACGTCACGGAAACTATTTTCCCTGGGTTTGTACTTTCACTGAACTCTTGTGAAGCTCTGTAAGAGCGATGTGTATACACACTTCATCCTCTCAATGTTGTGTGAAGACCAAAAGTGAAGTGCCACACAGAAGACCTTCACACTATTAATGATAGCAACAGACAGATATAACTATGTGCACACGAGGGCTTTTCTCAAGCTTCGGATTCTAAGGAGCTATTCTTCTCTCTATTTTTATGCACTGAAGAATAGCGTACGCACTGTGTCTAACTTGCGTTGGGTTAATGGTTTTATCTGCACTTGGAACTGACTTGATCTGGATGTGTGTGCACATTATAATGATACCACCACAATTCTTGTCAACCTACGCTGCACCACTTGTATACAATAATTATATAGTCAGCCTATTGTGCGTGTGGTACCGTGAGCACTGGGAAAGCATGCCCACTAGTCCGTGTACAACACATTGTGCTGAGATCGCTACGTTGCCTCGGAGGAAGGCTACACATGTTAACTGATACTCTTGTGGTTTCTTTGTATCCCTCCTTGATACCCTTTCAATATAGTAGTACTGTACTGTACTGCATTGCACTATATTGTTCACAGTGTACGACATATGGTTCAGTAGTATACTACAGACTACAGTACTATGCTCCCAGTATAGGCTGCTTTACGCTTCAATACGCATCGACCTTTCATATTGTACGACATATGGTTCACATAGTATACTACAGACTACAGTACTATGCTCCCAGTATAGGCTGCTTTACGCTTCAATACGCATCGACCTTTCATATTGTACGACATGCGGTTTGTAGTACTCTACAAATCCGTATGTGGGGAAATGGCTATATAGTAAAAAGTTGCGACGTCTTCACTCATGTGTAAAAGGACGTCTTTGAATCAGGACACCATTTTTGGGACATTCTGTTCAGAATTGCATACCTACCAACGATCCAGCTTTTTGCTTGATAATCAAGCAAAAACACTGCCTATCCCACCAGAAAATTGCCAAATCCCTCTTTTTTGTGCTAACCTGTGATGCATCATGCCCATACGTACATACATTTTGAATGGACACACAGCATTTTCGAGCAAAACTACTCCAAATCAAGCAATTTGACACATTTCTCAAGCAAAGGTTTATCTGCAGGTTGGTAGGTATGGAATTGTCCTGATAATTCGGTGTTATGAGTACAACAATGGGATGGTAATTGTCAAATTAGGGAAACGAGATTAATGACAGTGGGATTACCAGTTGTGATTGGCAACTTACCTAAAGCGGTCCAGTACACCTACAAACATGCACGGTCACACTATAGACCGACCCTGCCAGCAGTGTATGTATATATAATTATATATACGAGTATATGTACAGTGTACACACGCACGTGTGGTGTAACTAGATCAACATTTCCCGGGAACGAGTGTGTATATTGTCACACAGTGCCCACCGTTCTCAGATACTTCTATATACCTCCCTCCCTCTCGTCTTGACAACTGTACATGTTCTGTTTATAGGATAAACAGTAGGGGCACATTTGGATTTAGAGCACACTGCGTGTGCATAGTATGCCAGCAAAAAATCTGGGATGTGTATGTAGCTCAGTTATTCCCTGACTTATTTTCTACACCTAGGAGTGTAGCTAGCTCAACACAAGCGCACGTTACACTTTACTGTGTGCGTTAAAACAATTGCCACACGCTGCAAGAATTCCTCGATACAACAGTCAATTAAGCCTTGTTCCCTCCCTACCAAACTAGGCGTACATACATAGTGGAGGCACTTTCCCATAGAATGCGACCCATACAGCGAGGTAAAGGAGTGTTTGTATGGCAGAGATGGGTTGTTTACCTAGACGAAGGGGGTGTAGCTCCGCTGGGAATAGAAAACATGGTGCTGCTCTTGGGACGGGTAAGGTTTGGAGGAAAGCAAGCGTGAATGGAGACGGGTGGGCCATCGACCTTGCACCGGTATTTCAAAGTGGAAATTGCTGATGCAGTGAGTAGTAGTGAGCAAAGCATGCACTTAGTTAGACCAATGAGAGAGACGGTGTGCATGTGGCCGGCCTTATCAGAGTGATCCCTGTACAAGTGTACAACGAAACACGTGTTCTTCTGTAGGTGGTCATGTTAATCCTGTTTGCCATTCTTCCCCATCTCTCTAGCTCTGCAGTGTGCGCGGACCAAGTCGAAGGAAATGCTACGATTCCTGTAAACTAAGGGCTTATCCAATGAAGAGGGAAATGAGAGGGCAAGCACCTCGTACTGTCGTATTCATATTCAAAAGGGGGATATATGGTCACAGAATATTCTGATACTGGCAGTGGAGGTCTGAGGCAGAGCGGCGTGATTCTGAAGGCTGGGGGACAGGCTGGGGTTTTGCAGCGTGATTTTATCCTAGACTTGGAATGGACACGATGTACGGCCACACAGTTCAGTGTGAAAGACACAGTAATATTTACAGTGGTTTGTTACTATAATGGCCACAAGTTTAACCCTTTTCCCAGACTCTGTGTATGTAGCAATACAACACGTCTTCCTCCGGCTTCCGCTTGTTTGTGTTGTGTGTGCGTTTGTTTTTGGAACTTCCTTGATCCACAAATGATTAAAGGTGTCACGCGCAGTTTTTTGGCTAGCAGTTGCGTTTAGGTGTAATATTTTGAGTGTCCAAACAATGTTCCAGTGTCACACCCTTCTCTCAATACAGCACATAAATAGCTAATTATGCGTATAACAATGCTTGGTGGTTCATGCATACATAGCAATGTACGACAATACAATCAAAGTGTTGTGTTCGACAACCAGGCGGAATAATCAGTGTAGATTTTGTAAGGCTCGATGATTTCTCCGTGTAGGGTGACTTAATCGTATCTCCTTGTAAGGGCAAGCTTGGAGAATAACATTGGATCACGTGTCAAGCATTAAGATCAGATCTCATGTTTACTGGTAACTGGAATGACAGAGCGAAGGTTGATCAAAGCAACGGTACACCACCTAACTTTACCCACATGCATAATACATGCGATGGCAACATCTCCTACACTTTTACAGCCACATGCCCTGTGAAGTCTACCAGCAAACTAAGTGCTTTTCCTATAATATCGGCAGCATTTCAATATCTCAGTTTGTTAATGAAACTTTATTTATTATCTTGTTCTCGGTGCATACGGTGCACCAACAAACAAACTCAGAGGTATAATGTGTTATGATCTCAGGACAAACGTAAACAAAAAAAATGGTGGGTGCTCTTCGTACAAATGAACAGACAGTGAGGACAGCAATCACTCGTACACAACTTGATTCTCTGCACATAATACTCTTACGACAGGGACGACAAAAGGACAAAATGCAGGAAAAGGAAAAAGTGTTGTGAAAAGTTGATGGGTAGCGGTTGGAGCAGACAATACAGGCCATAATGGCCTGAGTTATAAAACTTGAGAGAGAGAGAGGGGGGGGAGAGAAAGGAAAGGGGAGATGACTTGCTTTTTTCCTGTGTGAAAAGTTGCAAGTGTACACAATGATAAGGTGCACACATTGGAAGCGGATAAAATTTGACTACAGAAACAAACGAGGAAAGCGAGAGAGAGAGAGAGAAGGAAAGAGTTCGTGCGTCATTTGAGGAGATTCCCGATGCTCGGCCCTAACATGACATTCTTCAACAGTTTCTCCATCGCCTCGTCCTCAGCTACGTCCACGGGAAACTCGCACTGGTTGTTCAGGACCGACGCCTTTGCCCCACTCTCCAGCAGAAACTGGGCTATCCTGATGTTCCCGACGGCACTCGCCGCGTGAAGAGGTGTCCACCCGTCTCTGTCCTTGGCGTGTATGTCAGCCTCAAAGTCTTTGACAAGGTGTTGAACCATAGCAAAGTTTTCCTCCAGTACAGCGTGGTGGAGTGCGGTGATCCCCTGACGATTTGTTGACCCGATTCAAGTCGATTTCCGTCCTGTGTTTGACGAGTTTGAGGAGGGTGTCCACGTTGCAGGAGAGAGAGGCTTCTTGGAAGCGATAGTCGAGGGTCCCCGGAATGAGATCAGCGTCGAGGACGTCCCTGGTCGTTCCCTCGTCCTCCGAGAGCATCCGACTTCGGTGGCTGCAATCGCTCGAACCGTCCATGGTGCTGATGCCTTGGTCCTCCGAGGCGAAGTCGTTTCCTCCGGATTCCTCGCCAACAGCGGCATTGTTGTTGGACAAGGAGGATGAGCGGGAGTTATCTGTCGTGGAGGAAGAATCGAGGATGGTGGTCAGGCCTTCGGTGGCCGGTGGAGGGAGCCTCTTTGTCCCGTTCACAAACACGCTGTCTTCCCCAAAGTCGGGCGACGGAGAGGCCGAGTTTTCGTGGCTGGTCTTCGGGGAGTCAAAGTAACATGGCTCCTCTCCATCGTCGTCGGACTCCGACTCCATGTGACTGTACTCCCTGTCTTCTTCCTCCGAGTATTCCCCGTCTGAGATTTCGTCTGCGTCGGGGCTCTTCCCGTTCATGGCACACAGGAGCAGTTTGCGGATGGGTCCCGTCTTTGCCACGTCGTACGCCGTCTGCTGGGACTCGTTCTTGAGGTGCATGTCGGCCCCATGACTAAGGAGGTAGCGAACTACTTCGATTTTTCCAGACATGGCAGCGGCATGAAGTGGGGTCCAGAGCTCGCAGTCAGTGCAGTTGATGTTTGCACCGCTCGCTACGAGCGCCTTGGCACACTCGAGGTGCCCGTCTATTGCACTCTGGTGTAGGGCAGTGAGACCTGCTGGACTCAGTTTGTTGATGTCCTCCAGTGTCCCTGAGTCGAGGATTTTCTTCACTGCTAGCAAGTCTCCGTCGAGGATCATCTCTTGGAGAAGGACTTCTGGCTGGAAGGTGACGCTGCGTCGTCTGTAGGACGCTCCTCCTCCGCTCGCTGCGGGTACGCCTTCCGCGGAGCTCCGCCGACGCTGCTCGGGGAAGATGATGCTTGGTTTACGTGGGAGTCGCTTCAAGTTGGCGATTGCGATTCCTCTCGAGACGGCGATGTCGTGGTCGTCGGCATCGGGCTCGTCCATCACTCTCTCGCCCACCCCGGTCCCCTTCAGCTCTTGCAGCTCTCGCCGCTCCGCGTCGCACAGGTGACCCGCAGCGCGCTCCTTCGCCGCGGAGGCAACGGAGCTGGGGCCAAGCTTGGTCCGCGCCATCGCTGCGTACACACTCTGTTCGCAGAAGCTGATCTTTCTCGTGCGATTCGTAAAGTCGTCCGTCGCTCCCGCTCCTGCCGGAGTACTGTCGGCCGTAGAACTCGTAGGATCGTCGGGGGATAAGTCTTCGTCAGCGGGACTATCTCCACCGTCGAAGGTCGTCGCTACGGAATCGAAACACACGCCCAGTGCCGCAGAGAGGGTCGCCGAGGAACGGAAGGCGCCCAGTTCGGCTCGTTTCTCTCGGCGATGCAAACTCCTGACGTTACTGTTGGCGGCACTCCCACGAATGCCGGAGGGATTAGCACGGCCTCCGCCCGCAACACCTGCAGAAGCTACAACTATACTGCTTGGCCTTGGCTGGCGAGGTGCATTTATACTCCCGGAAGACCTATAATATTGGTGGTGACGTCCCGTGTCGTGGAGTAGGTGGTGGCCACTGCAGTGCATCGGCGGGTCAATTACGGCTTCCTGTAGCTTCGTGTGGTGCCGAAGATCGTTACCGGTCGCGGCTTCCGGGCGATTTTCTCGCGGTTTTTCCTCCGCCTCTTCCTCCTCAATGAAAGCGACGGTCCTTTTCAATTTTGATGGACCATGGTGCTGATGGCCCACAGTAGTGGTGGGTCTATGAAGTGATATGGGGAGCACTGGTGAAGAGTGCCTCCTTTGTAGTTGCATCTTGTTTGGTAGAGGGGAAAAGCGAGCGTAGGCAGCCGCATGGCTGTTTGTGAAACACATGGGCAGTGGGCCCCGATGTGACATGGGAAAAATCACACGGTTTTCGTCGGTCACATGTCCGAGGCCGAGATACTCTTCGTAGTCCCTCGCCAGCTTTTCCTCCCCAGCGAGAGCCATCTGTGCGCACAGGGTCCTCTCCATGTCAACACTCGCTGCCACATCGATGGGTAGTTCACCCAGATCAGTGGTCGCAGTGACACCACACCCCTTTGACACCAGTTTTCTCACCAGCCCCTTCATGTCCATCTGGGCAGCGTCGTGCAGAGCAGTCCAGCCTTGCGAGTCTATTGAGTGAATGTTGGCTCCCCTCTGTATGATAAACTCGGCCAGCTTTGTATGGCCTCCTATTATGGCCAACTGCAAACAACTCAAGCCGTACGTGTTCACAGTGCACACGTCGGCACCGCTCTTGTCCACCAGTCTCCGAACGGCCGTCAACTCGCCGCGTCTCACGGCTTCCATCAGTTGCTCGCTTTTGCTGAGCATCGTCTTTTTCCCGCCATGTTCCCCACCACCTGGAAACGACTGCTGATCTCCGCGGTTCTGTCCGCCGCGTCGATCGCGGGCAGTAGGAGGTGGAAGACCGTCGGCTGTGACAGCTGACCCGGCCATTCCCTCGTTCAAAGTGCCGGTGTAACGAGGTTTAATTTCCTGCAACGAGATATGACAGAGAATGAACACGATCGCCTACTTACGGTGGTGTGGGGGCTGGGTTAAAAATTCACACGCCTGAAGACTCACTTTTGAACGCGTGACTTTCTCTGGATAGGATCACAGAAGTAGGCAGTAGTGAAACGGATCGCTAGTACACAGTCACCGCGGGGTCTCCAGGCCTGCTCTCTCAAGAACTTGGCAACAACCCCATCTCTCGCTCACAACTAATCCGATTCAAATTCTGGCACTGCCGTTGCGGTCCAGGACTTAATTAGCAGTCAGGCCGATTTGCCATTCATAGATCTGCCGGGTGACGAGATTCAAAACCAGGGCCAGTGGATTTCTTGTGTTTGGACAAGTTTGCATAACCATGCGGCCGGTCCACACCGTTGCCTAGCACCATAGGGGGCGCGCGCTGAAAGAGGCGTGGTCACGCATGCGCACTGTACGCGACTGTCACAAAATGGCAACTGTCCGAGAGGCTGGGAGAGAGAACGGCAAGGGCGAGGCTCAGGACGAGGACTTGTGGTAAGAAAACCTCTCACACGTGGCGCTTAACGTATGGATATTCCGCTGAGTGTAAATCGCGGCTCTGAGGCGGTCGTATACGATTGTACGCTTCTGTTTTCCTCGACAGGTCGGCAATCCTCAACGATGTCGCCGCATCAAGTTCGAGGAACGGACCCCAAGTGACAAAGACGCTGCTCGTTTTAGGTATGCGCTAGCGGTGTACCCATATCGACCGTTCTTCTGTAACTAACGGGGCTCACTGAAGATAAAACAGAGGCTGGTTATTGGTGGAGGGCTGATGCGTTCTTATTGACAGGAAGTGTTGTCAACCCTGTGCATCACTATGTGACTCCCTCAAACCACATCTTTCCTCTCTCTCTATTTTTATTCCTCTACCTTTCTCTCTCTTTGCTGCTCTATTCCAGCCACATGAGCAAACTGTAATGACTGAGTTTATAAGTTACGTAGGTGTGCTTTAAATGAGGTTTGTACGCCATCAATATCCCAAATACTGACTGTGTGCAGGTGATGTTAGCTCGGGAAAGTCGACACTGATAGACAGACTCTGCCAGAGAGCAAGGTCTCACCCAATAGGGGCAAAATTCCCTCTCAGCGGATGCAGTTTGGAGTACAGATTCATAGACGTTCAGGACGAGGACACTGATGGTACGTAGAGAGAGAGTAGAGGGTGGGGAGGGAGGGGGAGAAGGATTAGTGAGGGGGTGAGAGGGTTAACGGGGATGGTAGGGAGTTGGTGAAAGAGATGAATTATGTCATGCTCAATAGTCTTGTTTGTCAGAAATTTGTGTATAATATGTTTGGTTTACGTGTGGTCCAGTTCTCTATAATAATTATAGCACTACTCACAGGTTACATGTGTCCTATGTATCTACTACTTTCCCCTGTGAGCATGCTGTTTACACAGGTCCATATAATGGGATAGGACACTCGTGTGTACGTAGCATTAAATTTGTACTGCATCAATCTCTTCATGTCAGAACTAAGTATACATACACTAATACTTCACCCTTGTTGCAGCACGTGGACCATTATGCATACACAGTTGATTCATTATCGAGGCTTGCCTCGTTTTATTCTACTTATGCACTGCACATATACACACACTCACTCATTGGCTGGCTAAGTGCCATTTATCCAGGTGACAATGGCTTGGGTCAATATTTAGTGCTGTGGCCTTAGGTGTTCAGTTATGAATTTGGCCAAATGTTATGCCACACATTAGGGGTTGGCGTTCTAGGTATTCAGCATAATGTCAGTCAGTATGGTATGTATGTATGTGCCTAGATAGACAGAAATTCTATGCATTGTTCCTGCCAATGTCTATACGAACACCCCTGTAATGGCAGTCTATGGGCGGTGTGTGTGAGTGGTAGAGAGAAGATAGAGACAAATTAATCGCCTCTGCCAAAGGACTACTGGTGAAGTCATTCCCACAGACGGCTATATATAACAGAGTATGGCCAAGTGGACTACTTTGCATGCTGGAGTATGTATACTTTGGATCATGCAGTAGTGTCTGATTTGGAGGGCCGTTTGTATCTCGCAGGCAAGGTTGTGGTGCGCGCGTGTGTGTGTGTACACATGAGTGGGTCGTCCCTTGGCACGTTGAGTCTTTCTGATTTGGGCCATGAGACACACATGTACTCCCATTAGCCGACTCATTAGTGGAGCTTCCCCTCTGCACACTCCCAGGCACGTACAGCATACTGTATAGATCAGTGAGTGTATGGCAGAGTGGGGCCGGGGCATGTTGCCCCCTTCCTTCGCCTCTGTTATTGCCAGACACTTTCCAAGGAGATCTCTGTCTTTATACGTGATCTAGACGGTGAATATTCATAGTTGACCTGGTAGATGATTGACGGAAGAATAGTAGAAACATACATAGGCCAGGATGGAAAGGGAAAGCACCAACTTCTGTCAGAAGTAGAACTCAGGGGTCGTGACTGGAAGTCCTGGTGCACTATGCACCGAGCTACAACTCCCTGACAACAACTGGTCTTCCCCCCCATTCCCTAAAGTACCACTATGACTGCTGTGTTTAACACCTTGACCTTCCAGTGAAGTGTAGTGCTGTTTAATTTGTTTAACCCTGCCCTTATGAAGTGTATACCATAGTGAATGTGACACAGGAAGAGGGGTCTATACCACTGCAGCTATGGTTGCTCTTCATGTGGTTTTGTGAACAATAGTGTCTGTGTTCCCAGCTACTCAAAAGCAGGGCGCAGGAAATGGCAATCAGAGGGTAGTGAACTCTCTTTCAGTGAGGTTGCCTCCAACCCTTGAGCATCTCAGTTCACATGTAACCTACACACACATTATATAGTGGTGGTATTCTTCAATACAACTATAGACCGCACACCAGCAGCCGGACACTGGGCTAGGGCTACATAGAAACGTGAAGATTTGCTACTTATAGTACCGTCCTTACTACCAAATCCATCAACCCCCCACACACATACACACCTACCCTGCAGTTACCCCAGTCACGATAATGAGACTGGGACTATTAAGAACGCTGCTTTCCTTCGCAAAACTAGCACTTCGTTTGTGTGTTTGTGTTATTCATAATTACGAGAAGGATATCCTACTAGACCTGCTCTCCTGAGGTCATTTTCCTGTGTCCATGGTCCTGGGTGTATAGTAGAGGAGGAGGATGTTTTGTTAAGTGGAGGTTGGCCCTTAATTGATTGTTATTCACTGGAGAGAGACTAATGCAACTGCAGTTCAACTAACTGCCTGTGGTGAGAGTGTGTGGGTGTTATGCTCTCTTGCTTCCCCCTATTCCTTCCTCCCTCCTCTCTCTCTCTCTCTCTCTTCCTTTCTTCCTTCTCCCTCCCTCTCCTACAACCTTCCTCCCTCCCCAAGATTTCCTGGACCGTATGGGAGTCTGGGTCTTGGACGGGGTGGTGTGGCACAGCCAGCTACTCCCATTTGTCCTCAAGAAAGAGACGGTGGGCCAGACTATGGTAATGATTGTGGTCGACCTCTCCCAGCCGTGGGCCATTATGGAGAGTCTCCAGCGATGGGCCGAGGTAGTCCTCAAACACGTCAACTCACTCCACATCAGCCCCCAAGACAGGAAGGACATGGAAGAAAATTGTAAGTTTCGTTCCGTAAAAATGTCTACCATCTGCTCACATCCCAGAGTATGTGCACATGTTCTCCCAGACGCTCCTTTACCTACGGGTGTATAGACTAGACTTACTCCTAGGTCCCAAGGGTCTATACTTTGTTTACATCTCCACATTCTTTCACATTCTTTCCCTATGTCGCTAGCTATAGCACGCGAGAGTCTAGTCATATCGTCGTGAGTTCTACTGACCTGGTTTTACAGCTAGGCGTGCGTTTTATGATGATGTGTACGATGAATTTCCTCACGCGAGACGGCAATCTCTCGAGTTTTTGGGAGGTACCTCATTAGCGTGCAATCCGACGGGCAGAATGTCTCACTAAAATACTGCTTTGTCCTATAATGAAGGCTCGTTTGTAAGAGATCGATTACACGTACTAATTTGCATTCCTTTTTTAATTGATACTTTATAGATGACCAATGGACGGAATAATTTTCCGTGTGCAGGTTACAAACGATTCTCAAAACTGCTGCTCTATACTATGCAGTATGCGTATACATTGAGCACAGAGTTCTATAATACGAAAGCTAAATGATGGGTGGCTATATACTGTACTTAGTAACTAATACTGATGTGTGTATTGAGTATGTAATATTCTTAGACGGTGTGTAATTATATATCTGTGTGCATTGCAACCAATGTATCATGTGCAATTCTTGGCCGAATTCCTACCTTAATGTGGTGGGATAGATACCCATACTCTGCGTGCGTACTCTCGTTTGTGCTTTGCTTCTCCTGAACTGTACTATAAGTCTGGGTCTTTGCGGGATGTTGGAATGAAATGTCGGTCACGTTCTAAGACCCCCCACTCTACTGAGAGATTGTGTTACCCCGTCACTCGTGTTACTCACAGGAGGCCCCGTCACTTGGATCAATGTTTGTTTCGCTACACACAGTTTTTGTCTTTGATCCACTCGACTGGTTCTTTAGATCGTTGTGCGCTCCATATGGTACCTCCGTATGCCCTGTGTACAAGGACCGGACAGTCCGTATGTTGTATATGATATCCTTTGTGCTTTTACGCTTAGAACGACGTGCATAAAGACCTTTTTCCTGCACGTCGACACTCTTTTAAGTGCTGAAGGGCGCTATTGCAAAACAGCGCTCTCTGTACCCCTGACGGAGGGGGGCTTGTCTCCTATAGTGCTTGTGTACGTACGTGTGGGAGGTATTGGACCGGTCTTTACGGAGGCTTGTTTCACACCCCTGTCCCTCCACCGACCTTGCCTGCCCACAGAAAACACACCATTCATCGGGTACAAGTTGTCTTCAAAACCTGGTGTTAACCATATTATGTACTTCCCCCTAATTCTCCATCTAACGGGGATTGACTCAAAGAGCGGTCCAGCTGTACGTATCAGCTACCCCAAGTCCACTTTAGAGTCAGGTTTTTGATTAACCAGCCTCAGTGGGGAGCCATTTGAAGGGGAAAATCTTTTGCTAAAAGGGAAAAACGGTCTCGTCTGCAAATTTTTGGTTGCCCCTATATTTCTCAATGTACGATGAGGAGAATGATGTGCCAGCTACAAACTTGTCCTATTAACCCTTAGCAAGCCACGGGCTATGCCCCCAGAGCCTCCATAAGTGCATGAGTGCATAATATATGGCTATAATACTAGGAGTTAATATGTCAATTTCTGCTTATTTGTACAAATGGCATCCAAAGGGTTAAGGCAGCCATCCATACAAGCCTCCGTTAGAGAGATAAGGCCTGCAGGGGTGAAAACACTTCCTGTTTGTTACGAAGTTCAAGGAAATGTCGAGTTTCACTTCTCACAATCACTCCCTAATTCTCATGCCTACACTTCCTCCGTAATATCCTACAGTGGTAGAATGTGGCCGAATGCTGTGACTGTGTGGCCAGTCCAGATAATACCCACGTAAACGAAGTAACATTACGTAACCACGTCTTGTTTTCCACTCTCAAAACTGCCCAAAGTTCTCACAGACTGCTGTGTGTGACACAGAGTATTGGAGTTAGGGAGTGGGGTGGGAGAGAAACAGGACGTGCAGAAAGCAAAACTGTTGTGTCCATTTGTACTGGCTGTGCCCACAGTCTCTGTATGTACAGGTGGCGGTTGCATCTGGTGAGAGCCGAGGGCAATTTCTTAGCTGTCAACTCTCAATGGGTAATCTCTCTCAGAGTGTGTGAAATGGGGTGCTAAGTTGGTGGTGTTACTAGCGCCACTAGTCCTCGTACCTGCCCATCCGCCATTGTCTGTCGCTAGAGCTCTGCCAGCTTGTGGCGTGGGTGTTCTTTTTGCCTGTGGGAAATGGTTTGGCCTTGGGTGACACTGCAATAGTAGGCCCTTCCTTGTCCTAACTGGTTCCTGCCCTTCCCTTATGTTTCTATCCTCATCCTATACGCACCCTTTCCCCTCATACCTTTCCTTATGCTTCTAGCCCTCTACCTCTCTACCCTCAAAAACCCTTCTCTTACGCTCACACTAGTGCTGGTCACATGACTTCTCACCAATCAGAGGTGTGGAAACATAATTGCAGTTCTCAACAACGACCATTTTTTTGCACAGCGAAACAAGCACATCTAAGAAAGTGAACTAAGCAGACTTCTGATTCCCCACCAAATCAAGTTTTCCCCTCACGACTTTCCTGGCAGTTGTCGTACGTACTTGCCAAAGGACACTAGGCACCGGTGCACACACGTGCACCGGTGCCACTGTTCTGTACTGTCTCTCATGTCGTCGTGTTCGGATTGGCTCTCGTAGTGTTGCACCAGCAATCTCGGGCCAATCCCATTGTCTGAATGAGAGATATCCGCTCTGCCGCTGCATCAGCTGGCCAGCAGATTACTGTATGCTCTGACTACTGCTGGGTACGTATGTATGTATATAGTGGGGAGTTCAGCCGTGCCAACTGGATGGCCCGTCATTCGATAATCGCTCGCAAATTGAGCGTCTGGTGTGTGCAGTGGCCGTTTTGCGCCGAATGGGATTACTGCACCAGTAGCACTGCCATAGATGTGCTGTGAGGGCCTGACCTACATGTGTTGTCGATGGGAGGGTGACAATCAGCTCCACAGCTTCACAAGATGACTCGCATGGTTTTTCGGAGTGAGTTCTGTTTGTGCTCTCACCTGATCAACACCTTGCCTCTCCCAGCTTCCACCCTCTTTTCCCACATCATTCACCTTCACAAGCTGCCGTCCAGCCTCGTCTATTGTCAGCCTTTGTGCAGTTAATGCAGCATCAAAACAGTCCCACAGTTGATGCATTCCTCGGCGAATTACTGAATTATTCCATCCATTGTCATTATGTTTATATCTTGGATTCCACCAGCACTAGCTTCCCTCTCTCTCAGAATTATGACTCCCTTACTCTCTCTTTACCTCAGGCAGCCACAACCCCAATACGGGCCAAATTCCACCGTTTTTGTGAACAAACAGAACCTCTCTGTTGGTTATTAACGTGTGTGTTTATCCTATTGTACGTACGTATAATGTCTCCTTTTGCCTTTGGCGATGTAACGGTATTATGTCACACATGTGTTCTGGGAAACACTTCTTTGTGACTGAAGTGCATAGTTTCCCTAGGATTTCTATTAAACTTATAGCACTGGGGGGGTATCTGGAAACTGATAGTAAGATGTCCGTGGTGTGGGTATGCTAGGCAGCAGGGCAGGTGGGAATGAAAAAACACGGTGTGTGCGTGTTTTGAAGGCTGTCCGCGAGGTACATAGTGAGTTATTTCAACTATGGACTATGGAAACTTCTATTGTAGGGTGAGCTAGTCTATATACACTAAACGGACAGGGAAGGACACACTGGGAAAACAGGGCCAGTGTATATGATAACACGGTGCATTTTTAACCCATTGTGCACGAAGCAGTGCATGTGTATATATAGCTAATACCTGTTTTGTGAACCCTACTGCTCTGCTGTCAGATATAGTGTATGGCGACTATTGATTATTGTATATATTATAATGAAGCCTTCGATGGCAATTGACACATCGTCATAGGCATGCAAACAGCTCAGACAGGTAATGTAGAGATGAGGTCCAATGAAGTGCGGCGGCATGTAAGCCTATAAAAGAGGGCGGTGCAATCAGGGACAGAAACAACAACAACAACAACAACAATGTACTTCAGGAGTTATTATACAGTCTTTCCGTGGACCCCCAGACGTAGTCCAACGTAGCCCGGTTAGTGTGTGTGCCGATAAACAACGTGATCACTAATTGTTTCGCGGGGACAATTCGATGAGTCACCGGCTGTGTTTTACTGCCGTTCTAATCTCCATCGATTGCTTCAGGAAATGCTCTGCGTACACCACAGTCTGTTGGTGCGTATTGTTGCTCATCTGGAGCAGCCTCAATATGCACTAAGGACCCGCCAGACCACTTTGATTCCAACGTCCTAACATCGTTCATTACACTCACACCATCTGCACACGTGGTTTACGTTACGATGTACCAGCTACAGCTGTTCTGAGCCGCTCTCACTGAGTGTGTGGCTGGTGGTTGGGGTCGCGACATACTTGACGGAAATTGTGATTGGTCATTTGGCCGAGTACCTGTAACAGGTCGCCCTTGTACCAGAACGCTGATCAAATGATCAAATTGCATTAAGTATTGCCTTTCTATGCTCACTTGCGTTCACTCCTTGTCTTTCATTCTCTCCAGACACCTGTAGCATCTTGTCTACGTACCTTTCGTTTCTCCCTCTCACTCTGGTGCATATGCCATTATGTCACTAATTGCTCACAATATGTGTGTATTATACCTTCCTACTCCACCTACATAATATATCTGATCATTTATTCCGTCATTCTGTCTCTCTCCCTCATGAGATTCTGGCACTATCCTCCCTCGTGTCTTCTTTCGTCCCTCTCACTACGCAATATACTCGCATTAACACACGTACCTTCACCACATCTATTGCTTACCTTTTGTTCCCTCCATTTTTCCTTCTTCCCCCTCCCCATCCTCCCCATCCTCCCCCCGCAACACACCCACACCCACAGTGGTGAAGCAGTTCCAGAGCTACTCCGACCCAGAGGAGCCGACCATCACCACCAGCTCCGAGGAAGAAGGAGTGGTCCTACCTCTCGGGGACACCACACTCACCTGTAACCTCGGTCTCCCTCTCGTAGTCGTCTGCTGCAAGGTGAGCAGCACAAAAATTTTTTCGAGACACCTCTTTATCAGCAAAAATATCTGAATTCTGTGAGAGAGGGGACCCAGATTTTATCCAAAAATTAACTACTGCCCTGCTAATTTAGTGGTGACATTAATACAATTATTAATTGCCAAATGGACTATGATAGTGAACTGGAAAAGCTTGAAAACTGTACTTTGAATACACATTTGATGCAGTAATGCAGCGCTGGTGTTGCTATCTGCATTGATTGATAGACAAAAAAACCTGGGAAAATCCTGGACTTGATTGGGGATCAATCGGAAGCCCTTCCCAATCCCCCGGCAGGTGTCCTTACCACTGAGCCACCAAAGTCTAATTCTTAATCTTCCACAAAAATGAAGTTTTACTGAACCAAAGGAACCGTCTATTCAAGTACTGTAAAATGAGACCAGGGGGCGGTAGCCATAGGGAGAACCAGAGAGCCCAGAGTTATTTGAGAAGTCTGTTCTCTCAGCAGGTTGAATAATAGAACTATCACAATGTTGTTCCTCTCTCTGCCATCTTTGTGTTGGCGGGGCCAGAGACCTGTTAAAGGGGTTAAATACGTTTGCCTAGAAGCAGAGCCTGTTGTATCTACGTATGTACCTCACCCCGTCAACCTTGCATGTGTATATTGATTCGGCCAACTGCTAAAGAAGTTAGTACTATAGTCTGTTTGCTTACAGAAGAAAAGATTCTTCTGTTTCCCTGTCATCTTTGTGTGCACAGCAGTCGATCCTTGTGTTTGTACAATAAATCACTTCCACCGGCCAAATGGTAAAGGTTTGGCTTACAGAAGCAAAAACTCCTGTTCCCTATCGTCATTCCATTTTGTCTGTCTGTTGTCTGAAAAAAGAACGCTCCCCAGCCAAGCTGGGCCGCCCAGGAAATGACATGACTGGCATACTGTTTTCTCTGTGAATCCGATACCTAGTACATTGCTTTAGTTACATCGCCAGTGAGCAGTGTGCGGGACATTTGCCTCGCAGCCTTGTCAATGTTAGCAAGATGGGCTGGACTCAAGACTACATGTACTTGTGGCTACGTTTGGTTTTTTAATGCTAGGGCACAACCCCTCTCATTATTGGATCATGCCTTCCGCTCGCTTCCCCGAATTGTAGCAAGGATTCCTGCGAAGTGTGTTCCCAGCTATCTGCGGCCAGCGTTTTGGCTGATCTTGGCCGGGCAGACTCCGAGTCTAGCGGGCCATTCAACTGTACTGTACTGTGACTAGCATGTCAGCAGTCAATGGAAATGTGGGCTATAGTCTGGTTTCGAGGCACTCGAGTGTGGCCTTATCCAGCGCATAAGCTGCCGACTCAAACCAGTCGGTGGAGCCAGCAGTATACAATGTGCTTGTAGTTTATGGTGTATTGGGGATTGAATTGATGCTCTCTCACCATACATTGCGCAGTGTTAGCTGCAGAGCGTATATACTGGTATTACCCTATGACCATTTATGCCTGGTGTTATGTGTTTATTTTGGAGATTGGTTAGCACGTGGACAAAGGACTTTTTGTTTGTCAAACTATTTCGGCTCATGTGTGTGACCGTCTACTAAACAGAGATTGTTTTCGCTCCCTCCAAACCTCTCTCTCTCTCTCTCTCCATCCATTTTCCTCAGTCCGACTCAGTGTCAGAATTGGAGAAGGTTCACGGCTACAGAGACGAACACCTGGACTTCATACAGCAAGCGATTAGGAAATTCTGCCTCAACTGTATCCAAACTCCCTCCTCTGTCACTCTCTCTCTCTCTCTGTGTCATTCTCTCCCCCACTCTCTCTCTCCCTCTCTCTCTACCTCATCACACAAACCACGTCCGAAGCAAACCAATCAACTACACCCAAAGAGTACAACACACAAAAAGGGGACTCCAACCTGCGACACACTCTGCTCCGAGCAAAGACCATACAACTATACACGAGGGAGATAGCCACCTGGAGCAGGTGTCCTTCAGCAGATTCACAACAGCCACTGCCTCCAACCTCTCAGATTCACAGGAGGTGCGGGTGTCCTCATGTGTTCACGGCTGACTATTCACCGCCGCTGCCCGCTATTCACAGAGCATTACAGCAGCGTCCGCCCATGGCCCTCTCGATCGGCATCATTCATGAGATTCTGGCACTATTCACACGTGGAGCATACAAATCCCTTACTACAATGCCAACACCTTTCCTTTAGTCAACACACGCTTTAATGAGACACTCTTTAATGGGACACACTTATTTCAATTGACATAGCTCTCTCTCTCTCTCTCTCTCTCTCTCTGATCTTTTACCATTATACCCATGTATGTAGCAGTAGTTATGTGTCCTCCTCCTCTCTTCATGAATGAGCAGCAGTCAGTGACACCCATGAATCATCGAAATCCACGATCGATTGTTCTGCATGTGTGTGTGTTGGATATCCAATGATGTAATGTCATCTCCAGGGTATTCCTTCCGCTGAGTTGTGTGGTGTGTCATTGTACCCCTGAGTTTACTCTGAACTAATAGATAACTGATACATTAGCACTACGTAGTGCTGTGAACCTATACCCTAGTGCTGTCTTAGAGAGTATATTATTTCTTGTGTGGTAAAGTATAGTGCAAGTTTTCTCACTCTCAAAGGCCCTACGTCACCCACACACACACACACACACACACACATTCACTCTAGAAGGATTCACACACAGTATGCCAGTCACCTTACACACACCCATACCTTTACACCAGCAACAAGAGCTGACTGTGAAGTGGATGCGGTACATTGGCAAGACTTAAATTTTCCTCCTAAACTACACAAGACATGCATACACACATCAACTCTATGTTAATCTCCATGTACGTTCTCATGGACCTTGACTGCGTGTGTTAGACGGAGCGGCTCTATTTTATGCCTCCACAAAGGAGGACAAGAACGTGTCTCTACTGCACAAGTACCTCCTCCACAGAGCCTACGGACTCCCCTTCAAGGAACCCGCCTGCGTCGTCGACAAAGACGCCATCTTCATGTGAGTATATACCGTGTTCGTTTTACTGGCTCTGCGGCTGTTCAGTAGAACCAGGGGTGGCCCAGAGACGTTTCTCCCTCGTCTTTACCTCTCTCTCCTTCCTCCCCTCCTCCTCGTCCTCGTTTTTCTCTCCTCTTTTCCAACCCCAACCTCTCCCCCCTTCTCCAGCCCCTCTCTCGTCTTTACTTCTCTCTAATCCTCTCCACCCCTCTCTCTCTCTCTACTCCTCTCCAGTCCTCTCTCATATTTACTTCTGTCTACTCCTCTCCACCCCTCTCTCTCTCTCTCTCTACTCCTCTCCAGTCCTCTCTCATATTTACTTCTCTCTAATCCTCTCCACCCCCCTCTCTCTCTCTACTCCTCTCCAGTCCTCTCTCATATTTACTTCTGTCTACTCCTCTCCACCCCTCTCTCTCTCTCTCTACTCCTCTCCACCCCTCTCTCATATTTACCTCTCTCCCTCTCCAGCCCCTCAGGTTGGGACACACAAAAGAAAATCAGCATCCTGTACGACCACATGAAGGGAATTCGACCGGGAGACCCCTACCAATCTGTGATAATCCCACCAAAGACCTCGTCAGTAAGTCAATAAACCCTCTCGTTTTGCATCGACACACGTGTTGTTGTTGTAAAACTTCCCTTCACAAATTTCTGTGTAAAGGGGAGGGAAGTTTTAAAATAGCAGCACGTGTGTCCCTCTATACCGATGTTTCCTTTTGTTCGTGATACACGAAAGTATTAGCACCCATGTCACATGAAATTGGGCAATAAGCAGATGTGTAGAAGTCGTAAATAGAAAACAACGGGAGTGATTGTCTGTACACGTTGTGGTTTTCGGTAAACGTTACGTCAAAATACGTGAGTTTGGCCCGCACCAACTCTGATGACGTATGGAATGCATGCGGCGACCTGTACCAACATTATATCACACTGTGGGCTCGTCCTAATATGGAGTTCGATCATTTCCGTCCGATACAGAAATAGTATCACAACTCCTATTAAGGAAAAACCACGCGCTCGGAAAAATTGGCTCCACCAAAGTGCTGTATGCGAGTGAAGCTCCGGTTACAGATGATGTCACTAATTATCTGTCCCAGCTAGCTTCCAGGGACCACTTATGTACGTGGTTTGATTTTACAAAACAGCAATAGGCCGCGCATGGGAGACGACATTCTGGTAATCTTGTACATTAATACAGGGGCGAGAGTCGTCTCACTGGATAAGGTTACAAGTTTTACATGTTTTACATGATGGTTGTAGATGTTAGGGGAGATAAGTAGTGGAAAAAAACATGTCCTGATTGAGTCAGGTGTCCTATTTCCTTGGCAGAAAGTATGCACAGAATTAGGACGAGGAAAAATGCCACAAGCCCACGAGGGCGCACCTGGTCTCTTCTCCCGTCGTAAGAGGTTCACATTGGTGGCATTCTTAGAACAATGGAGGATTAGATGACCATGCCTTTACCGTAATTCCGATGGTTTTTAAGATTCTTGTCGACGGACTCATCATCACATATTCAGAAAAGACGGCGCACACACACACACACACCGCGGCACTGTTTTTCTTGCAATTAGAACAGGTGTTGGGAATTTATGATGATTTCGTCGGTGCAGAGCGTGTGTGTCAGTGACGGTATTCACCATCTGTGCCGAGGTAGTGATCGCAGACACATCAATACCGCGATAATGTACACAATGCGAGGTGATTGTGTGCGATAGGGGAAAGGAAATTGGCTTTTGTTGCAGTCAATAGCCGCCTGTTTTTGATTGCTGAGGTATGAAATAACACCGCTTGTGGTTTCAAAACAACAAAACTGAAATGTTGGCAATAGAGAGAGAGAGAGAGAGGCAAACAAGCAAAACAAAGTGTCATAGATTTGTGTGTTATGGTGAGCACACAAAGAATGTTGGTAATGCCATTTTCGTCTGTGAGTTTGGTGTTGTGGCATACAAAGGGGTTTCTTGTACAAAAGCGTAGATGTTGTTTGTTTTACATTCGTCCATCTCGTTCGTGCGGTGTCTGATGCCAGTTTCAAGTTCTACAACTTAAACTGGGGGGACTTTGCAGTGTAACAGTATCTATGCTACTGTTCCTGTAAGAGAGCCCGCGAGTATCCGCAGCGCGGGAAGCAGTATGTGGTATATATATATAACACTGCAGTTTCCTTCAGTACGGGCCACCTGTTTCTTTTCCTCTTCTGAAGCCTCCATACACACATTTCACTAAGTCTTCCCATACATTTTACCTGTACATTTCACCCCATTCAATATAGCCCCCTTTCATTATCACTGCTTTAAAATTATGGCAGCCCTCCCTGGAATGGGCAGTGGGGACATAGTTTTCTATGAGTTCAGAAGGAAGCATCCGTTTGTATGGTGTGGCGACAGTGTGTGTGATACAGTAGATGTTTGAAATGGGTTTTCTTCCTGAAATAGGATAGTGATGAAATAGGATAGTGATGTTGTGTGTGAGAATTTCCTGTAACACCGCTTTGTTGAGAAATGGCTGAGTATTATTATGGAGTGTGTAGAGATGTGCTCGCTTGGCGACCGAGATGTGCTCCATTAGTCGCGACAGCAGTCAGTCCTGGAGAGCTAATGACCCGAGAAGTCTCCAAATACCACGGCACTGTATGTTTCCTACTGCGTCAGGTTGTTGATTTTTGTAAAGTATGATAATGGGTTGCCCTGGGTAACATTCTTGCAGCTCTTTCTTTGTTGATTAATTCTTTCCCCCTTTACTTTCTCCCTCGCTTCTCTTTACCCCTCTCCTCTCCTCTCCTCTCCTCTCCCTCTCAGACTGATACAGAGGCACGTCCCACAATGGCTGAAGACGACCAAGTCTACCTCCTTGCCCTACAGGTCAGTTGTCACGTGACACGTCATCTGATGTCACATGATCCACTATGATGTAATGCACCCTCTCTTCTGACGATGTAGGTTCACTTGGTCCGGAGTCCCAAGGCGGGCGGAGGAACAGTAAGACAAACTGACAGTGTGTGTGTGTGCCTTTGATGTAGTGTTAAATCAGGCAGTCTGCCAGATGGCCAGGAAAGGGAGAGCGAAGGGAGGGACAGGGGGACGTGTTCGATATTTAGCCCCCTACACGTCGTGTTTGTGTGTGCCTCAAGTGGCAGTGTTTTCGTCGTTTGGCAGAAGCGGGGGAGTTGCGTGCGTACACATACGTATAGTTGCCACAGGTTTTTCCTGGCCCTGCGGTGTGTAGTATGTACACACATTGTGTCCTTTCTTCACGCATCGTGCTAAGAGTCTGCTAATGGCATTAATGTATGTTTGTGGGCTGAAGTGTGTGTGTGTGTGCTGGAGTGTTTCACAAGACTACTCCCCTCCTCCCCCTCACTCTGTGTTCCTTCCTAAGCTCCCAAATCTGTATATTATTATTCGGCAAATAAAACAAAATGTATACCCTCCCCTCTTCTTCTTCCGACCCAAGCCTACCAGTGCCGCAGCTCAAGTGAAGCCCACCACCACCACCCCCACCAGACCAGGCTCAGCTGCCACCGGAGCCAAGACCGAGGGGGTACGTCAACCATCTTTTGTATCAGGGGAAACGTGTTCCTTATCATCATTTATTATACCAGGGGTTATAGTAATATCTTTTGCCCTGTGCTCTTCAGCTCCGTTGAGACGTATACATTTACTTAGCTAGCCTAATAACAAGATACTTGTCTCTTACTCTTGTCTATCATTATCTTCCGGGCACACGACTGTGTTTTTGGCACTTAAACTAACAGCCCTTGTCTGGACATGATAATTAAGTTAATGGCACACCTTTGCATGTGAAAACTACGAGGTACAAAGGCACAACAAACCAGTCAACTACACCCAAACAGTTGTTTCAACCCCCTCCCTCCCTCCCTCCCCTCCTCTCCAGGCTGAAGGGAAGCAGACAGGGGAGACCGTCCTCGCTAATTTCTTCAACAGTCTACTGAGCAAGAAGCAGACGGGCGGGGGAAAGGGCGGAGGCAGAACTGCAGCCGCTGCCGAGCTGGACAAACTCCAGAGCAGAAGATAGAGGACCACGCCCACCTATGACATCACTACCATTCATACAGCTAGCGGTGGGAAACTTTTTCAGATCAATGATAATTAATTATTATTATTGCAAGCAACAGACACATGCGTTGTTTATATTGCACTATTTGATTGGCAAAACGCAACTTTAATACGAGTGTGTATAAATGTGATGCAATTCAACATGTCATGATTTATAGTGTGTGTGTTAATATACCTGTTGTAAATTTTTGTTCTAGGTGTAAAAATTTCCAATTTTCGCAACTATAGTGAGGGAATTTTCCGCAATAAATGTAATGGACGTATTTTTTCGAAGTGTTATGTGGGAGGGGTGGTTGCTAGGGGGAGTCCGTCGAGCCCTAGCAATGGCTGAGTCAGCAGACGTGGGCCGTCACCAACAGAGGTACGGATGATGTATTGCAGTAGCCCAGGGGTGGGGTCAAAGGTCAGCTTCAACTACAGCAGCCAGAACACAAGGGGTTAACGGTGAAACTCTTATAATGGTCATTTTACTATGGCCAGAACATGAGGGGTTAAAAATGAAACTCATCTGCCGTACATGATGCTTAAGCCGACCTTTTTGGTAAAGTCAGAGTCCGTCCGACAATCTTCAGATGAAATTCCTCTGATGTAATTCCTAAAATGGGCATTCCAGTGGTGAAGAGTTGGAAATTTTTCTCCTAGTGACATCATCAAACTTTACACCACAAGGCGTATCTTCATACACACTACCAAATGCCATACATTTATGATGACGAGCTCTCTAAGGACACTCCTGAAATAGGGAGACACTTTATACTGTCCCATTGGTGTCTGGATTAGCCGATGTCCATACATACCGTTCATTTCCTGGTGTTGGAGGAAAGTAGTGAGTCACCAGTGAGATCAGTTCAGACATTGTTTCTCTGAGACAGTAGAGGACGGCGTTTGGTCCAGCGTCAAACGTGTAGGCCACCTGCATAAAGTGGAGAAGAGGGAGGGAGGGGGAGGGAGAGATATATATAAAGATGTCTAAGTGCATGAATCATGGGTGTAAACACAAGGCAAATGCATGTCACCCAGGACAACGCGATATCCTAAGAAATTGCCGCCACCGGTAAAGAGAGAGGGACAGAGACAGACAGATAGAGAAGAAGAAAGAGAAGGAGTCTTAACCGAACCCTCTCTTCTTGGTGCAGTTTGTTGTAGGCGGTGACCAGCTGCATGACCCTCTTTGAGGTGTCGTTGAGATAGAGAATGGGCGGATAGCTGTCGAGACACACGGCGTGAAATTGGTTACTGTCTTGCATGGTGAGTCTGGCAAAGGACGGGAAATCCCGTTCCACAATGGCTCTCTCCATGGTCTCCATTCTCTGGGGAACCACCGTCTCACACCGGTACTGAAACACGGGAATCAGACACACAATATAACAATAGGACAGTGGGGTTTCTAGCAGACCTTCATGAGAGGGCTGGTCTTGACCGTGGTCTGCATGCCTCGTGTGCTGCTCACAGCCTTCTTCTCACTACTCACCACCAGGATCAGAACCTCCAGTTCCAGCCAGTGGCTCTCAGGTGCTACCTGCAGGACACGAAATTTATCGGCAGTAGAAACTTTTTTCAACGGTGCCTTCAAATGATGCTCCACTTTACGAGTGGCTGGATCAAATATCTTTCGACTCAATTCAATCACAAATTGCTCACAACAATGCGGGAAATGGGCTGCATATATACAATGCTAAAATGGTCGAAACTATTTCCTCGTACCTGCACAGCGATGCTGTCACTCCCATCCTCTCTCTCCCCCATCTCCCACTTGACAAACCCGCCATACACGCTCCTGCATGCACTGCCTGAGCCCTGTCTGAGAGTCAGAAAAAGTAGAGTCACCAGACGATGCGATTTGTAATCAAGAATCAACGCTCAGAAAATGTGCTGTGTTTCCAAATAGTATGCAGTTCTGTCACACTCATCACTCTGCTAAGTCTTATATACAAAGCCCTACCTCGCAAGGAGAGATACATCGACTTGGAGGTGATACAGTTGGCATAGAGTGTAAGCTAGAACGAGGAGGACAAGACAAAAGCAAAAAGTGAGCGAGGAGAGAGATGGGGAAAGGCGGTAGGCTTACCGAGACAGGCGTAGCCAGCTGCCGAGGATGCTAGCCCAGCTGCCGTCGGGAAATTGTTCTCGGAGCAGATGTGCATGTGACAGTCATGTGACGGCGGTCGAGTGCCGTTTCCAGACATGCTCCCCTGTTCCTTGGTCAATCTTCTCACTGACGAGGAGAAGAGCACAGCGAAATATAAGAGTTCTGAAAATCCTACAATTTCTACTCTTAAACTAAGCTGAGTGGGTGAGATGATGCAGTTTGCATTACTTTGCTGTTTTTACCTTCAGCTAGCAGTCTCTTCAACCTTGGGTTCTCCATACTTTCCTCCCTGCAGTGGAGGGAGTGGGGAGTTGGGGGAGTGGAGAGATATGGGAGTATACAGGGATGACACTCTCTTTGAGTTTTAGCCTCACCTGTTGTTAACCCAAATTCTGTCCTTTTGAAACTTTCGACTCACACTGACTGTGGTCACCGTGCGTAGCTGCAGTGGTACACATCGACACATACAAAACTCAATATTGCTGGCATCGTGCTACAGATTTCACTTGGCTCCAGTGTTATAGTCCCACACAACTATTATTATTATACCCCTCTATGGAGGCACTGGATTTATGTGTGCAGGCCATCAGACCTGGTCTTGGTTCAAAGTCACACTCAGCGATGAGTTGACAGGCAGCACCAGTTCCTCGTCTCGCTTGCCCCCTTAGAAGAATGGAAACGACTGCATCATAGCAGCCCCACCCACTTTTCCGAGCAGCCGGGCTCTTTAGAGCTTACAGTACTTGATGACGGCGATGTTGACCGGTGCCGAGCACGTCACTGTGTGCGTCTCGTTCTCCATCTTCTCCTTCTACGAGCCGGAGGCTCAGACTCTGGTCGATCTCTCCTCCCTGGCCTGTGCCACGCAGGCGAGCATCGCGCCACCTCCCAACACGTGGTTTTGCCATTCCGTTACACTCCGAGATTACGGGGAAAAGCGGTAGGGAAAACCCCTATTCCACGTGTAGCCGTACACGATGATGCCGAAGCTTTCCCTACCGACTGTCTCCATTCCTACAGAGCTACAGAGCACCCTGAAAAGAGTACTAGATGGTACACTCGCGCTACTCGGCGTAGCCCCGACTGCACGCATTGTTTCTCTTATGCGTATAGGTCATCCCAGGAAGAAGCTGGTTGCCGACGGCCGCGTGTTGTACAAGTACCTCATCTCTCGCAAGACAGTCTCTCGTGTCCAGGAGAGCAGGCGGAGGCGAGGACTCCTCAGAATGGTCCCTGGTATATACCCCCTAGAAACACACTACTTGCCAGTGGGTGGGGCTGCTAACTTTGCTCTCTCTCTCTCTCTCTCTCTCTGTGTGCTCTGTAGTAAAACTCTGGAGTGAAAAGCAGAAAAATTCCTCAGTCAAAGAAACGGCAGAATCAGTTCTGAGGTAATCCAGCAACGGGCAACACTTGCAGTACTTGTCTTACACCAGTTAGTTCTGCAGTAAGTGTACCGTGATGTCTCTCCTGTAGGTATGGAAGTCGTGAGGCAGTGGCCTATGCTGCAAGTAGACTGAATGCCACATATGGTTCCACTCTCAGGGTCCTCAATGAGGTATATTGTAGCTATATATGCATAAACCTCACTATACTATAGTGTGAAACTTCCTTGGAAAACGCTAAGTAGCGAAAGAATTCCGTGAGCATTTCTCAACATTTCTGTGGCCTCCTGCATGTAGATTGCAGTCCGTGACTCAAAGTTTCATCCAGAGACCATGCTGGATTTCGGGTCTGGTCTGGGGACAGCTGTATGGTATGTGGACCAGTCAAAGACTAATCCGGCTCTTTCGTTGTGAAATACGAGGGCCTCTGATTTGTCTCGTTACTCAGGGCTGCCCACAATCTGTGGGGGGAGTCACTGTACGAGGTACAGACCGTGGACACGTCTGGGGAGATGGGAGAGATGGCTCGCCTACTGCGCCAGGCAGAGGAGGAGGAGGAGGGAGGGAGGGAAGCGATTACCGGCGTGTACTTCCGACAGTACCTGCCGACTTCAAACAAGGTGAGCGAGAAAGGTGAAGAGCGGGAGAGAGGTAATATTTCCTCCAGGTACAATATGATCTGGTGACGTCGTGCTATGTCCTGGGGGACATTGCGTCACACGGCATCAAGAAACTCTCCCTCGCTGCTCTATGGAGAAAGACAAAGAACTACCTCGTACGCGTCTGCCACTCCTTCTGGGTGTGTGTTGACCGTGATGATGCTATGAGCGCAGGTATTGGTGGAGCTAGGCAACGACACAGGCTTCCGGAACATTCTTGAAGCGAGAGACATGATTCTAGATGTGAGTACACTATCGTCCCATCTTGCAGAAACGTTTTGTGCGAATTCCGCAGTTTATGAGCATGGGACGGAACCACGGTGTTCTTTATAGAGAGGTGTCCTTTATTTGGAGTCCCCTTTAAAGATGTGAGATGTGTTAACTGGTTCAACAGGCCCCCAACTGGATTACCAATGACTCCGCCTCCGCCTCGACTGACCACGACATAGAGGACACTCTCGAAGGCCACGTCTTTGCACCAGTGAGTAAGTCACTCCCAAAACTCCCCACCCACGCGCTACTCCCTTTTGGAACTGTGTCTGCTGTGTCATCTCTGTTCCCTCACTTCTCCCCCAGTGTCCCCATAGTCACAGATGTCCCCTAATGACAGCTGCTGGTGCTACAGACGAGGGAGCTACCAAGGCAACGATGGGTGGACCCTGTCGTTTCGGACAGAGAGTGGCACTCGACCTTTCAAATGTAAAACCATGATAATTATGTGTCATACAGAAACCAAGTGAACCAACCATTCCTTTAATAAGAGAGAAATTTTGAAGCACAAGGGACACAACATTGAGGCTTTCTCATACGTTATTCTCAAGAAAGGCAGACACGACCCTTCCAATGGTAATACACACAGAGAGCAATGAATTTCAATATTTCACGAGAAGTTGCGTTTCCTATAAATAGAGCGGTATTCCCGGCTGCTGTCTCCGGTAAAGAAAAGATCAAGGCATGTCCTGACACAACAGTGCTGTCCAGACGGTAAGACAAGAGTCTGTAACAGTATTTCTCAGAAACAATGTTTGGGCATAATTGCAATTTGACTTGGCATAATGTACGTACAAATAGTTAACAAACTGGAATGTCTAATTGGGGAAATCTTTTTTCAGCTTCTCGTTCTCCAAGATAATTATACCCTGTGTCATTCAGAATTGATTCGTCGCTCGATTTCCTCTCCGTAGGCTCAGCGAGGCAGGTTATATACACCAAGTCGAAAGACGGGTGAGAGCAGTAGCTTCAGTAGCTTTACTCTTTACTCCATCTGTTGTTGTTGCGTGTGTGTCCTTGCTGCAGGACTGTGTACAGACTGGCAAGAGAGGGCAACTGGGGAGACATGCTACCTTACAGTGAAGATGGAGAACACTCTGACACACATACTCCTGCTGCAGACTAGCTTCTCGTTTGTCGGTTTGTGTATTTGTAACTTATTGTACCAGCCATTCATTGTTCCATTTGCTGGTGTGCAAAACGTGTTTACGTGGTGTTTTTTACATTTGCTGTCATTTCCACCGAGCTGTATGTTATATTGACGGAGACTAATTTCTTTTACGAGTGGTATCTGAAGATTGTGACTGGGTGACCTGTGAGGGTGTGAGAGGTGTGGGTGTGTCTTGTGAGGGTGTGAGAGGTGTGAGGGAGTGAGAGGTGATGATTCTGGTGAGAGTAGAGACATTGATGACGAAGAAGAGAAGTCCAGCCAACCACAGTAAGAGTGAAGTGTGTTGTAGCCTTTGAACTCCAGACAGTAGGCCAGAAACAGCCAAACACCCTGCACAACATTCAGAGAACAGAACACCAAACAGCCGAAAAGTGAACAATAATGCTTATACTGTCATAATTGAGGGCTTGAGAAAGTAGGAATCTACGTCGCACACGGCATGTCCAACGTGTAATAAAAAAACAATTTCTCTCTCATAGTGCACGTATATACAGTACGTACTTGTCCAGTAAACCAGAGGGTGGTTATGGCTGTCCACTGTCTGAGGCCCATGTTGGAGAATGGAAGAAGGAGTGGCAGGAGACACAGGTACCACAGGAAATACTGTAAGAAAATTCAAATCTCACCCAGCTGGAAATTTAACCCGTGCAACTGTTCCCAGTAAAAAAATTTGGGCAAAAAAATTTTTTTTGCACTTGAGATCTCAGGTCCAACATAGCAAGTCTACACGCAGTTCCCCCTTATATGGTATACACATAATATCTATATAATATACCTGTGAAGTACAGACTTTGTTGAAAGTGACAAAGACAAAAGTCTGGACGAAGCAGCAGAACACAATGTCTCTGTGAAGGCTGATGGCAGCTGCCAGGAGGAGACCGACCTGCGGTAAGAAGGCCAGGAGGCCCACCGGCAGAGAGAGGCTGGTACCCTGGATGAGGTAGAGGAGATAGAAGTAGGGAGAGAAGTTGTGCTTTATGTCGCGTCTTGTCACGTGGTAGAGGTAGGCCTCGTGTACGAATTCACTGCCATATCTGGAGAGGGGGGAAATAATTATAACGGCGATGATGTGTTCTCAGAAAACATAAGGACACCACTAAAATGAATCCTCTATACATAAACAGGAATGCCCGCTTAATTCCTGAATAAAGGACACCTCATTTAGTAAGGACACGTCTAAGACTCTGAGCTATATACACAGTAATGAGGATGTACATATATTATACATACACTGTATTCAGCCCCTAAATGAGACCCTCTCCTGTCCCATTGGTATCGAGATGAGAAGTATTGCGCCATACTACCCACGACCCCCACTAAAGAACTCACAGCAGGTAAAAGATCCCAGTGAGGGAGAAAAACACTGCAGACGACACCACTACATATCTCAATTGTTGAACATTAGGAAACCCCCTCGTCCTTTTCAGTAGTAAAGACACCACCGAACTGCTCGGTTTGAACAGACGTTTGTGACAGGAGCTTCCGGCTCCAGGGTTGTCTCTGTCTTGCAGGTAGAGGAGGATTGGGAGCGAATAGATGGCAGGGAATATCTTGACGTGAACTGCTGCACCGTACGTGACGGCAGAGAGAGTGACACGACCGCGGAGGAGACACAGGAGGGAGAGGAGGACCAACACTGCCAGGAAAGACTCGGCGTTTCCACGAGCAGAAACGGTTGCCGTGAGAGGATTGAGGAGCCAGACGGATACCGACAGGAGTCTGGAGTGTCGTTTAACCCCTTTCAGACGGAGTATTTCGTTGATTATCAACCCCACAAGCAAGTCACAGAGGATGAAGAGGACCTTTCCAAACGAGAAGAACAGGAGATGGTTGGGGACTAGCATGAAGGCCAGGAGCGGTGTGTACCTGTATGTAGCCCTCAGGAAGGGTGACTCCCCGTGGATCACGTGACGAGAGGCGTCGCTGAAGACGTGATAGTCGATGTCGGTGAATTTGACCGCGAAACGCGAGTCCTGCCATTCTCCGTAGAGCAGTAGAGCCAGTCGGAAAACCAGACTCACGAGCAGGAGGACACGCAGTGTAATTCTCTCTCTAAAAGCGGCCACAGCACGCAAAAACATCAGCGTTTTATTGTTCTAAATATTGCACACCTTAGTCACGTGCGACCTTCGACCTTAAAGAAAACACCTGCGATGGTTTTGTCTGTGACGATGTGTGTCCGGATCGTCTGCAGTTCTCTCTGGAGCGCTATTTGTCTCCTCTTCTCGTGCCTCTGGCCATTCAGACCAAGGGTACCGGACCTGAGCGCCGACATTTGCCTGGTGACGGGCGCGGCGCAGGGACTGGGCAGGCACCTTGCCCTCCAACTGGCTACCGAGTGGGGAGCCACGCTCGTTCTCTGGGACATCGACGAAGAGAAGGTTCGCGCCGTGGAGAGGGAGATCAGGGACGCCGGTGGGACCGCTCACGCTTATGTGGTGGACTGCTCCGAGCGAGAGGCGGTGTACCGCGCCGCGGAGTGCGTCCGGGACGAGGTCGGAGACGTTGCGGTTCTAATCAACAACGCTGGAGTCGGAGGGTTCCGCGGGAGTTTCATAGACGGAGAGCTTACGGACGAGACGATCGTCAAGATGTTCTCTGTCAATGCTCTGGCCCACTTCTGGACGTTGCGCGCCTTCCTGCCGTGGATGATGGATAACGATTACGGATACGTCGTCAACGTAGCCTCCTTCGCAGCATACGTACCAGGACCGCACGTCGCTGCGTACGCCGCCGCGAAGGCTTCGGTGCGCAGCTTCTCCGATTCGCTCCGTTGCGAACTGTCGCTCGCGGGAAAACGAGGCATCAGCGTCACGTGCGTCTACCCATCCTTCATCAACACGGGGATAATGTCAACGCTGAACTAGAAGCTATCAGGGAGAGAAATATCGGCTTGCTTGAGCCTGACCGTGTTGCAAGTGTCATCCTGTACGGAATGGGAGAGAAGAAAGCGGAAGTATTTCTCCCGGCGTCGACAAAGTTTGTTCTCTTTCTCAAATCGGTCCTTCCTCAACGGACTTTCGAAATGTTGATATCAAGGATCATGGGTGACCTGGCCGAGCTGATCAAGAAGAAGAAAGAGTAGAACGGAAAATAACACTTGTGCCGTGCTGTGTACAAATCAAGAGTTGCGCATTATAGATATAAATGTACGTGAAATTTCATGTTCTTCTGCATTTTTTACCCAATGATAAATTTTTTTTTTTTATACAAGTTGAAAATTGATTGGTCATGCAGGTGTACAGAAATACGCAGTGGGCAAATGTGTAGAAAATGGAAAAAAAGAAGTATATAACAGTACTTATAAATGCACTGTTTGACATTAATTAATATTTCACAATGATATATAAACCGTCTGTACAGCTGAACAATATAATATATATAGGTTGTCAGTACAGGATGACAGAAGGGATGTGTATAATACATATGCCAAGGTTCTTGAAAAAGGTTAGTTCCAGGGCGTCTTATTCAAGATTCTCTCAAAATTCTCCTAAAATGTCAAAAGACGAAATCTTCGTCTGCCATATCGATTGCCCAGGCAAACTTCTCCCGCTGCGTCTTGTTGTAAATCTTCTCAATTTGGACGTCCCATTTTCTGCACCAGGCGACCGAGATTCGTGGATCGAGGTAGTTCAGTTTGGACGTCCCGAGTGCTATCTCTTTGTTTTCTTGCTGTGTTAGTGGAGGAGACAAAAAACGCAACGCTTCACAGCAAGAAATCGAAACACATATGCCCCCCTCCCCTCCCCTTCACAGTTGGAAGGAATTTAACAGCTCTCCATTAGAACAGTGGTATATATATATATATATACGAAAGAACACTACTCTATGCTGAGAACACCCAAGAGCGATAGAACAACAAACTAGCAACATAAACAAAAATGAGCTAAAATTCTACAAAGTCCTCCCCAACATTACAAACATTTTCTACACTGACTTTGTCGGTTGCCTGAACTTCCAGTTTCTGCAGCTGCTCCTCCAGTTGCCCCAGTCGCTTCTTCTTCGACTCCAACTTCCTGTTCGACAGCAGATACACAACACTGTAAACTGATATCCAGTCGATCTTCGCTGCACTTAGTACTACTACAGGCCACTTCAAAAACAGAGTGAAGTCATGCAAAGAACGGGAAATTTCATATGGTTAGTAACCGAATGCTCTTTCTTACCACACCAAACTTCCTTGTGTAAAAAACCTAGTCTTGTGTGAGAGAACCAACCCCAAACTTTAACCACAGTTTGATTGCTTAGCTACGTGATATGATCGGTCAAGTTCCTAGGGTATTACGGAAAATATATTTTATGGAATAGTTGGCACCCACCAAAGTAACAAGTCACACTCACTTTACAACTTTTGGGTCTCTGGAGGCCTTTGCCTCCTTCTTGAGAGCCTTCACTTCAGCCTTGACCTCCAGAATTGTCTCCTCCTTTGCACTCACCTTGCCCTGCAGGTTACTCAACTGCTGGTCAAACGTCTTCGGAGGAGCTCGCTGCCAGGGGGGAGGAGAGGGGGAAATACGAAATGTACGATAAAAGACTTTGGAGGGTGAGAACGATTCTTACTTCATAATTATATATCATAGACAATGAAACACGAGAAGGGGGCGGGGCTAGGGGTTAGACTAGACAATGAACAAGACAATGGAAACATGTACTACTTTTATGAGATAAACATGAAGTAATGACCGCGAAAATATTCAAGAATTTCTAGGTTTGATGTATGGGGCAACCCGGCGAAAATATTCATATGCCACCAAATTGGAAAGTTCTATTATTGCATAAGTGCCAAACCACACAAACCTGGTGGTTGCAGAGAATGGCGACTGCTCTATTGGCCCTATTGTAAGAGAGGATCTTTGACGGCACAGTTTCCTCTTCTGAAACAAATCAATGATGTCATTATGATGTAATGGTATACGACGTCGCACCGTGTGACTTACCGACTGTGAGTTCTTCCAGCTGCTCCTGGAGGGTGATCGAGGCGTTGTAGGTTCGGAACACTTTCGCCGTCAACCCTTCCATTTGCTCTTGGAGGTACTTGTTGAGCACCGTCGTCTGTGAGCAAGGAGAGAGAGGGAGAGAGAGAGAGAGAGAGAGAGAAGAGAGAAGAGAGAGAGAGAGAGAGAGGGAGAAAAAGAGAGAGAGATAGAAGAGAGAGAGATAGATAGAAAGAGAGAGAGAGAGAGAGAGAGAGAGTGTGTGTGTTGTGTGGGGAGGGAAGGGTGGAGCAGATGACCCGCAAAACACGCAATTTGCATTTGTGATGATGTTGCCAAAATTCTATCACTGTGAAAAAGTAAGCATGTACACGTGCAATTTGTAGTGTGATGAGTAGCGTGCAGCATCAAACAGCGAAACCCACACAGGTCTACTGAGTTTAGTAACTCTGCCAATAGACGGAAATTCCTGCAGATGTCCAACTTACCGTGAGTCTGTCGAAGAGATCGTCCGACGGCTGCTTGTCTTTCACAAACAGTTTCAGGTTCTTGAACGCCTGCTTCTCCACCGGGACTCTGTTGTAGTATCGAATGGAGTCCTTCCCGAGGAAATCGAACTCCACGACAAACTCTTTGCCGTCCAACTCTTCATGGAGTGCTGTGGGTGGTAGAAAAGGTAGAGTATACTATAGTATAGAGCAGGGAAGGTTAGTAAGAGGGAAGGAGGGTGTATAGGAGAAGGAGTGTGTGAGATTTACTGATGTGTTCCACTCGCAACGAGCAGCAACCGACGGTGTCTGCCGTTTCATCGGAATCTTTTTCGTTTCCAGCTCTCAGGGCCAGCTGGACGAGGGAGGGAGAAGGGGGGGCATTAAGTAGAACATATTGCTTACAGATTTAGCAATTTACATTGTTCGTACCTTGTCAATGAAGTACATCGCCACACCTCTGCAGAAGGCAAAAAGGCATAAGTAGTTAAAAAGACAACCTACATATACTTTATGAAAATAATAACATTTGCTAAACTAAAGACAGTGTAGGTCAACCCAGTAAGGGAAAAAAACACTAACATTTGTCGGACTTTCATTTCCTTAGATTTCCAGTCTTCCGCGTATTGAGTTCGTAAGTCGTCGACTTTCGTTTTCAGCTTCCTTGACGTCTCGTACTTTTGCCAGTCTTTCTCTCCCTTGATCTTGGAGGTGGGGTTCAGCATGACGTACTTTATGGCCCCCTGTATGTTCTCTGTCCAGGAGGCCAGCCACGTCACCTGCAGCAACAGGTCAGAGGGAGAGGAGGGAGGGAGAGGAGGGAGGTAGAAAGAGGGGCAGAGGAAGGAGTTAACGATAGTTAGTGGAGAAGGGAAGGGGGGATCATGTAGAGCTTGGCAAGGCCTCTGAAACAAGTGCAAAGCACAGTCTTGTAGGGTTTTGCATAGAAGTGTAGGAAGTATCCTTGCCTTGTTGTCATGTTGAACTGACTTCCACTGATGGCCTTCTGGAGGTTCAGGGACTGAAACACCTCTGTATGTACACATACACAGACAGAGAGTATCTACAGTTGACACACACACACACACACACACACAAGTAACTATTCACAAGTCACTAGTAGCAAAAACAGACAGACACCTATCAATTTACACTGTGTCCACATCGACCCATGCACACAACGAAGGACTCACTTTCCAATGTTGATGGTGACATCTTCGGCCTCAATCCTCCGCTGTATACAAACACTCCATAACAACAATAAATAATTGATGTGCTTCTGTGGCACAGCACAGAGTTTGCCATTTGCCTTCGCCTATAATTGAGCCCCGTCTTCTAAGCTGCCCTGATAGATAGACGATAGCTCAGTAGAGATTGAGAGTCTGTCCCACCCAGACCAATGCTGTGTAGGCATAATGTGTCCCTGTGTCTACACCCCACCATTCATACGCACACACAGTTGGCAGTATTGGCCAAGGAACTGCTGAAACAGAGGTTCAACTATCGGGTATCTGGTACACAGCCAGGCAGCTGTGTGTGGCTGGGTGTTCCTATACCTTTATCCTGCCTTGCTTGGGGTGGTCTCCTCTACCTCGGAACAGACCTGGAGGCTCCGTCTTAAAGTTACCAATCTTCTGCCTGCACACACACACACACACACACACACACACATACCCCACGGATTAGTCTAATGCGGACAAAAGCCACTCAATCCCTAGCACTCTCCTTTCTTTTTCTTCTACACACACAAAAGTGATGTTCATTCCGCTCTTAGTATTGAATGTGGTATTGTGGACAAGTGCCCTATCTACTGCATCTACAGCACCTGCTGACTTGCACTACACTATCAGACACACATCTTCACCAGCAGCAACCTGTACAAGTTGCCACCCATTCACAAAAACACCAAAAGGCCACCTCCTGTAAGAGGTTCAAAAAGTTCACTAACCGGTGACCATCGACAACGGCCCAGCCGTATTCCTCCGCTATCTTGTCGTTTTCCTCCTTTAGTTTCTTCTTCTCCTCCTTGGTCATGGCTTTGCGAGCCTCCGACCGCTCTTTGTAGTGCTCGTGGATCTGAGTGAAGTCACACTTTTGCAAATCTTTGATTCGTGCAGCCTCCTCTCTCGTCATCTCCTATAGTCATGTGACATGTGGTATTGGTCACATGACAATCACGTGATGAAGAATTCTATGGGCTGCTGCATGACCACACACCTTCCTCCAATCGGCAAAGAAGTTGTCGCAGAAGATGTCCTTCTTGGTGTAGTCGTGGTCCAACATCTTGGCAAAGAAACCTGCGGCCTCTTCGGCCCCCTCGGAGAGCTCCATCTGATTCCCATTGTACATTAGTTGGACCCCTCGTGGTAGCCGCTCGTACGCAGGGGCGAAATAGGGACCCTAGTTTTACGAGAAACGGAGATGAAACACCGGGCTAACTTGCCAAATTATGCCTAATGAAGGCCCACCAAAACACTTCCTTTGCCACAAACTCTGTGGAACACATGTTGTACATGTTGTACAATGTTATGTAGATCGACTTGTACAGTTGTACATTCTGTTCTCAAATTACATGCCTGTATACATGAAGATATTATTAGACCATGTGATGTAAACGTATGCAGCAGCTCTTGTACATCACATACATTCAAAACAAATCCTACAAGTGAACGTGTACTATTCTTGTAGCAGTGAACATGAAACATGTACAATGTACATGCATACCTACATGTGTACATGTACCTTGTGTTCTAGCGTGACCCATTTGACACCCTCAGGGTGTTTGTCTTCCAGCCACCATTTCCACACCTCCTGCGCCTCCTCCTTTTTCCTCCGACCACCTCCCTTCTGGGGACTCTTAGAGAGAGAGAATGGAGAGAGAGAGAGAGAGAGACAGAGGAGATATAGGTGGTAAATGAGGTTTGTTGCGATGAAGCCAAGGACGGTAACACTCACAGCTTCGGTTGATTTTGGGGTGGCTTTCTTCCCTGTCGCTCTGGGCGACTTTGATTCCTTTTTCTCCGAGGTGGGTGTGGCTTTAGCCTTGGCCTTTGGGGTGGGTGTGGCTTTTGATTTTGAGGCCATCTTACTCTTTTTGGGCTGAAAAAAGAGGGGAAATGATGTCATTTTGAATCCATCTGTGGCCGTTTGAGAGCTCACCGTGAAATCCTCAACATCATCATTTAAGTCACTTGGCGACTTTTTCCTCTTTCTCTGAGGGACGAAAAAAAGAAAGAGAGAGAGAGAAAAACATAAACCAAGAGGTGCACAGTTTGTGTATGTATGTATGGTAGAACAGTAACTAACAGCAGAGGGTGGTTTGCTGGGGCTGGCTGTCACAGGCTCCTCTTTTGCCTGCGAGAGGGGCAGGACAGAACGGACACTCAAATAAAGATGCAGACAGAATGGGTCAGCATTGTGCTAATATGTCAAGCAGCATTTTGCTAACATTATTTACAGCATGAAACAGCACGCATTTTGTATGTAGTATTATGAAGCATTTGCTAGTAAACTTGTTGGGTTGACTTCTGGTTTTCTTTCTTTTCTTTCTTGCTATTCTCTATGGCTAGTATGCTAAACACATACTTTTATATATACTCACCTTGACAGTGGGTGCTGGTTGTGACTTTTTCTTGGCTAGCGGTCCTCCGTTTTCGTCTGCAGAGCTCTCTCTCTTTACCATCTGGATATAGAGTGAAATAGGCAGCATCACCTTTAGCACGTGGACTGGTGGTGTGTGTGTGGTAAAGTACCGGTACAACTTTTGGTTTTGGGTCGGCCGTAGAGCGATTGACTTCCTCTTTGACAGGAAGTGGGTGTGGCCGACTGGATGTGGGCGGAGTCATCTGTGCTGCTGCTACCACCGCCGGGGCCTCCTTTGGTGCCTTTACTCTGGAGACGGCCTGTTAGTACGTGAACATAAATAAAACGTCAAAACACACGGTGAATGTTTTCCACTCACCAGTGGAATCATATCATCATCATCCGATTCGGAAATCATGGGCTTTCTCTGCTTAAAAATAAGCAAAAAATGCACTTGAATTCCTCAAAATTTTTTTCATACAAACCTTGACAGGCGTAACTGGTTCCTTCTTGACTGAAGAGGAGACTTTCCCGTTTGGCCTGCTACCGTCGACCGGTTTGACGGGTTTTGATTCGCTGCCGGAGTGTTTGTGGTGATGGTGGTCTTTGTTCTTGTGTTTGTGTTTGTGCTTCTCCTTCTTGTTCTTTGGCTTGGCACTACGGGTGACAGAGAGATAGAGGGGAGGGGGACACACAATGGATGAAGGTCTAACGAGTAGGAGAGGGAGTTAATTTACCCGTCCAAACGTGGTCTTTTGGTTGGCGATGACTCTGCTGTTAAGGAGTGAGTGTGTGTGAGGTGGGATGGGAGGGGTGTGAGGGGGTGAGTAAGAGGAAACACGTTATTTCTGGCAAAGAAATATGCGCACCATAACCTACTCCAGTGAATGACATTATCCTATGTATCATGCATATTATGTGTGTTGTATGATGGTTGGTTGATGGTATGAATAAACAGTTTGATGGGTCGAATTCTGCGAGGTTGCTGCGACCACGAATTACCTGCATCAAGAGTCGGTGGCAAGTGGACGGCTTTGGCTCCAACCTGAACAAATTTTCAGTCAAAAAGCACACATAACAATCGCAAGCAATCCGATTGCGAGAATATGAAAATGGCATATCACATCGTAGTCAAAAATAAAGATTTTGCCCACAAAAATATATTTCTCACCGGTTTCTGCTCTGCCTCCATTTCCCCCTTCTTTGATACGACTGGAATAAATAAGACATACACACGTACGAAAAATCAAAATTCCTAGTGTCCCGAACGGCCTGTACTCATGCATACATATTGCAGCTGATCGCCGGCGAGGTACGTATGAATTCAATACAGCAACAAAGCCAGGATATCAGTGGCCTTCAGCGTAGGGCCCCCCGTATGCTGTATCTCTCTTCTCCCCCGCGCCCCGGCGTCCCTTCTACCCGCCGAGTTTTCACCGCTCAACTTACCCCCACCGTCGCCTAGAGTTGTTGAAACGGTGTCGGAAGTGTGTCGGAAAAAAAACGGTCGGCCAAAAACTATGTCCCAACTTCTCGTGGACTTCAACTTTCTCGCGACCAACTCTTCCGTAGGATCGAGCGACAAAATGACAAAGTCCTTTCTTTCTCTAGTGCGCATGCGCATCTATCTATCGCTCACACGCAACACTGCACTCTCAGCAATCATTCGGGGTCATCCTCCCTTTTCACTGAAACTGTCACACATCCAGCGCTTTGCCGGCGGAAGAGAAGCTCCGTCCAGCGATGCCTTACTTTTCCAGGCGAGTGCTCGTCTCCCTGAGCCCGCTCGTGAACCTGGATCTCTTCAAGAAGGGCTACTATCACGTCACGTGCCAACTCATCGACGAACAAGCCCCGCAGAACCTTTCCCGGATAACCTGCATGGGAGTCAAGGACTTTCTGGGCCCGAAACTCAGCTCATTCGCCTACCCGGGCGCCTGCGTCGACGGAGACTGCTTCGTGACGCAGACGGTGGTCGTGGAGTACGCGGACCAGTCGTACCACATGGGCGAATGGGCCGTTTTCTCTTCCGAGGTGCCCATCTTACGAGACCACACGGAGGCGTTCGTGGCCAGCAACTTCACCCTCCAGCTGGATCTGCGGCACTGTCCGGGGGACGAAATGCCCGAGGGACTGTCACAGTTTTCGCACATGTCCACGCGAAACGTTTCGCTCCGCGTCGACTGGCGCAAGGGACTCCACGACCACTTTCCCGTCGTGTTCGACTACTTTCACATGGCCGCCGTGGGCCTCACGGTCCACGCTTCGCTGGTGGAGGTCATACCAGAGGATTTCACCGTTGAATCAGCGCCGGTTCAGCAGAAGAAGTGGCCGTTCCAGGCGTCGCAGCCCGCGCGGTTAGCACCCCATCTTCCCGACTTGGCTAACGTGTTGTTTGGTCAGCCGAGCTCCAAAGAAACTCCGGTTTTGGCGGCGGTTGTGAGCTTTCCCTCTAACACGGCCACCGAGGACCAGCAGTCTCCCCACCACTCATCGTCCCTGGCTACAGCAGTCTCAGTCTCCCCTGCCGTGAGATCCCTCAGAGCGGCAAAGTACTCTGTCCCCACTTCCCTCATCCAGCGCGGGCAAGAGGCGCACCAGATGTTCTGCGACATCATGCACAGTGCCCGCGACTCCCTGTGCATCGGCTACGCAGCCATGAACGGGGAGACAAACGGCGTGCGAGAAGACGGCTCCACGCCCCCCGATCCGTTTGTGCGGACAGAGAAACTGAGCCGTGCCACTAGTCTCGACGAGGCGGAGGACATCTGTCAGGAGGAGCTCCACGAGATGAACAGGAACCTCGCGGCCACCTGGGAGTGGTTCTGCTCGTCCGCCATCACCCACCCAAACATGATAAATTTTCTCGCCACCCGTCTCCTCTCTCTCCGACTGTCCTTCCTCAAACAGACCTTTGTGGGGCCCGGAATGCCCCACTACAGTCACACCGCCGACCTCATGGATCCCGTTCGACAGGCCACCGTTGCACACCGCGTTCGACAGTCTCTTCAATTCCACATCCCCACATTCTGCCGAGAAAACGTGGAGACTCTGTCGAACACCAGTGTCATATTTATCGAGCCGTGTCCCTGGCCCACCGTAGCTGAGCTCAGTAGTAGCAGCAGCAGTAGTAGGCATCGATCATCATCATCTCATCCAGAAGATTCCCTGCCTTTCGGTTTCACCCGGCACATCCAGCCCTATCTCCTGAGCGTCTTTCCTCACCTTCGGAAACGGCGGAGACGGAGCGTACACTTGGTCGTGTGCGTCCACGGACTCCAGGGGAACCAGTTCGATCTTCGTCTCTATCGCATCTACCTCTCGCTCGCCCTCCCCCAGTTGAGACTGGAGTTTCTCATGGCGCAGTCCAACCAGGGAGACACATTCTGCGACTTCAACCTCATGACGGACCGACTCCTCGAGGAGGTCAGCGGGTACATCGCAGACATGCCGACTCCGCCGTCGAAAATCAGTTTCATCGGACACTCGCTGGGAAACATTATCGTCCGCTCTCTGGTGACGCGGCAAGAGTTTTCCCGCTATCTCCCGCGACTCCACCTGTTTTTCTCAATCTGTGCGCCCCATCTCGGGACCCGGCTCCAGAACGGGATCGTGAGCATGGGAATGTGGGCCGTCCGCAAGTGGTACAACTCCACCTCTCTCCTCCAGCTCTCGCTCAAAGACGCGCCCAACCCCCGCGACTCGTTCCTCTACCATCTGAGCGAGGCGCCAACCTTGGAGTCATTCAAACACGTCGTCCTTCTCTCTTCTTCGCAGGACAAGTACGTTCCCCACCACTCTGCCAAGCTGTCCTGTCTATCAAAAGACGGCTCGCTGCAGAGCACTCTGAGTCTGGAGATGATGCAGAACATCTTGGAGCCTCTGCGCGAGCGGAAAATCAACTTAGTTCGCATCAGCGTGGACCACTGCATACCAACTTCACCCAACTCCATCATTGGTAGAGCGGCCCACATAGCCATGTTAGACTCTGAACTCTTCATTGAAAAGCTAGTGCTGCTTCACTTGGTACAATACTTTGTCGATTAGTCATCTTCCGGATATCATCATTATGTCATCACTCTCTCTCTCTCATGCTATACTTCACCACTCTTTGTGTACTGAATTGCACAATAAACAATAATCATCACTGAATGCAAAACCAAACTCTTTCCGGTGTGTATATATACAGTGTTTGTTTTTCAACATTATGTCGTGTCACAATGTGCTGTGGTGGATAGACAGACGTAATACACCACTCAGCAACACCTGCACCATTCACTAGGGCCTTTAGTGAGAGAAAAAGAACAGCAGTTTAGACCAGCGGCGCCCATGCATTAGAGCTCATTAAGGTGTTTATAGCGTGCAATTATGCAGATCAGCAGTGCACAGGTGTGTGTTTTGGCCAGTACCCAGTGACACTCTTTGCACTATTTACTACACATTTACTACGGCCTTTATGTGCATCGTGTGTTTGGATTAGGATCAGCGATGCACAGGTATACTAGCGAGAAAGTGCTTAAGGGAGAGAAGGTTTTTGACTTTGCCACCTGCGAAAATAGTGGACAGGAGAAAAAACAATCATGTTCCCCAGTTCTTCTCTAAACTGTTGTATATATACGTCATTAAACTGGGTATCCAGTACCATAATTATCACGCATGGAGCTGGCTGGCTCCGAGGCAGGATGTGATTGGCTGACCTCCTCAGGACTCCATTTCCAAGAAGAGTTTCCCACAACTGTGGCTTGGAGCGCTTCAGACAGAACGGCACTTTCCCCCCTGGGGGCAAGGATGGACAATCACCTGTGCAGTGGTGGGCCAGAGGAAAAAGAGTAGAGATAGGGGGAGAGGTGGAGAGACAAAATCAACCAATACTGTTTTTACAGTCCCCAAAATTTCGTGTGCACTTTGAATTGCACGATTCTGGTGTTCCAAATGCCACTGCACACAAAACATACTCACCAAGTTGGAGGGCTAAGTCCCTACATTTTTGTGCTGCAGGTTCCACATCAGTCAACGAGGACACCATTATTTCAACTTCCCCCACTCCATACGTCCCTCCTCCTCCCTCACCACACTCACACTCATCCAAGTCAACCCTCACCTCCTCACACTCTCCCCCCTTCTCCCCTACCCCCTCCAAATTTCGCGGTATCCTGACAATGTAACACTCCCTCACACAACGAACTTCAACTAATGGTACCAGAATACCACATTCCAGTAGTGTATCCATGGTGACGACTACCCCAGGCTTCATTTCCATGGTTTTCGTTCTTATTTGAAAAACTTCTTCCAAGTGCGCCAAGATTAAGTGCTCATTTGTTTCTTCTCTGTAGTGATCGGTGTGTTTTAGGACATTATTACGTTCGGCGTTGTTTTTGAAGACACTTTTGATGTCACTGGTGTCCTGTAGGACACCTTTGCGGTCACTGGTGTCCTGTAGGACACCTTTCTGCTCAAGTGTACTACACCCAGGCCTGCCGAGTGAGGCTCCTTCCTCCTTCTCCTGCCCTCCGTAAAGACGGTGTCGGTACTTCAACTCCCAACGTTCACCTCGCTTTCTCAGCCAGTGGTCTTGCTGTACCATCCTGTGGTCTACTGTGTCATAGTATGTGTCGTGGAGGTGTTTTCTAGCCAGCAGGGAGCCTCCCAGGGACGAAATACGGTCTCTCGTTTCAGGAGTTATCAAGAATTTCCTTTCCACCTCTATCATGATGAGAGTGTACACTACAACTGCGCGTGCGCAATTTGCAACGGAAGTATACGGACGTGCACGGTAGAGGGGGCGGGTATAGTAGCGCGCGATCGGGGAAGAAGCAGTAGATATGGAGGTTGAAAAGGTTGGGAGCTGTGTGGTGATACACATGAAGCTGGGGGAAAACAGGCTCAACCCAGCTTTCATTTCGGCCTTTCACGATGCACTAGACGAAGCCGAGGCGTAAGTTTACTTGAGTGAGGCATTCAGCAAGTGTGCACTGTGCAACCCAATAGTTACGAGGATGCCACGTCGTTGGTGACTATGGGAGAAGGCAAGTTCTATTCTCTGGGGTTGGATCTGACTGCTCTGGGCGCGCTCTCTGCGATGGAGATGCAGCAGTTTGCATACGACTTGCAGAAACTTCTTCTGAGGCTTTTGACGTTTCCCCTCGTTACTGTGGCTGCAATCAACGGTCAGTGGCTGAGCTTGGGGGATTTCTATTATGCTCCTATGTATGCGTACGACATGTACTATACATGCACACATACAGGCAGGCTCTCAACTGCAGTTAGCATGAGTAAGACTGGCATTAGCACAAAATCTGTGGTCAGACTAAGAGGTTCTCTATCTCTTTTTTTCCGTTACAGGACACGTCTATGCAGCAGGAGTCTTTATTGCTCTGGCCCACGACCACAAGGTTATGCGCTCCGAGCGTGGTTGGTGGTGCCTCAATGAGATCCACATCCGACGAAATTTCACAGTCGGTGTACTTGAGATGGCCAAGTTAGTCACTGTGCCACCTTCAGTTTTAAAGTGTAACTCCTCTAATCCAGACACCAATGGGACAGAAAAAAGTGTCCACATAAGTGAGATGTCCTTATTTTGTTAAATTGCTTGCAAGAACTGTTCTTGGGGGAAAGAAAAGTGTTCTCATTAGAGAGACGTCCTCATTTCAGGGGTGTCATTTAGATAGGTGTCCCTGCTATCATGTTTGGCTTTTATATACCCATGTTTCTGCTTTATAGCTAGTTGATGCAACATCTAAAGTATGTTTCCATATCTCTCCACAGAGCTCTGCTCCCCCAGAGTGAACTGAGGTACAGCGTGGTTCTGGGCAGACGGTACACGGGAGAGGAGGCCAGAGCTGCTGGGATCGTGGACGAGGTGTGTCCGCTGGCCCAGCTGAAGAGTGTCGCCATGGCGGCAGCAGTGAGACTGGCCGGTAAAGACGGACTGGACAGGAAGACTCTCTCCGCAATCAAACACGATCTCTATAGAGATGTTGTACGGGTATTGAGTGAACCTACTAGGACATATTCTTTACTCTGATGGATCACTAAGTACGGTAGTACTTAGTATATAGGGATGACACAGAATCATTCCATATATTCACGTTTCACTTTTAAGTACTTTATGGTGTGAAATTGATATGAGTTTTACACTCAGTGATAGTGAATCTTTGTACAAGTGTCAAAATCACGTGACCTGTATTCCACACTTACAGCTACCTAATGATACAGCTGGGGTCGTGAATCGTTGGTAGAACTTGTATATAATACCAAATGTGTGTCAGTTTATATACTGCAGCAGTTTCTTCTGTGAGTGTGCCTGTACGATGAGCTCTGCCCAGCTGCGGCCTTCGTAGACACCGCAAGAACCACCCAACTCTCTCGGCAGGGTATCAGTCTTGAAATGTGACCTCAGAGTCCTCACATCTCTACCCAATATATTCACCTGCAAAATTTTCTTTTAGCTTCACTTGCAATTTTAAAGGGAATTTGGCAGTGTATAAGGGCTAAATTACTAAAAACGGAACTCGCATTCTTTCACTCTGCCCCTATTGCTTTGTTTTTAATTTCTAAATTTATCCCTTAATTATACTGCCACATTCCCATTAAAATTTTTCTTGCTTCACTTACTCTTGTCTTGATTTTTTCAGAGAGAAAAGGTCTGATAATGGAGAGTGGTACACTCATGTACCACGGTTGGTTGATAATGTAGACTCCCTTGAAACGAGCTGGAAATGCATTCTGCACAAACATAACAATTGTTCTGTTCCTACATAGCAAGACAAACACACGTCTCATGCTGCATTAGAGACACGTGCGGTGTCCACACATCTGGATGTAGGTCATTCGGACAATGGCAGTGTATTGGTACATATATATGAAGTGCCGTGCAACTGAGGTTAATGAAAATGTGAGCGTGTAGAGTCGTCATGAGCTAAGTTGTTGGCAGTTTTGTAATCTTTTCAGGGGCTGTGTTGTTCCTACATGCTTCAGATTGTGCACTAGAACACGAAGAACTATGGTCTACCCTAACATTAGACCTACAAGCCATGGCTACTGCAGCAAACGGCAATGATTCCCCATTAGTTGTATATACCTGCATGAGTGTCGACATGGTTTGAAAGTACCACGGCTTGAGGGACCTCATCTGGTAGAGGGAGAAATCGGTGAAGTCTGCCACCAGTACGAACCCGCGGACTTGCGTCTCCTCGCTAGCGATCATGAATTCGAGCTGCAGAACTAGCGCCCGTAGCACGTCCTCCAGCGAATGTAAAGCCGGATCCCAGCGTCCTGGAAACGTCAGTAGCACTCCGCGACCGTGCGCGTCTCTCTCCTTCAGGCCGCCCACAACTCCTGCGTCCCATACGTGACGAATTTTCTCGATGTCATCCAGGCCGAGCGAGAGCTCCGGATGGTCGCGGAAGAACTGATGGTAGTTTTTGTACATGGCGTAGCTCCTCTGCACGTCGAACTTCTTGCTCCGTAGAAACCGCAGGAGGAACCTGTCGTCGGGAACTCCCTCTTCGCTACTAGCGCTCGACTCTGCAGAGTAGTAGCCATCTTCCTCTCCTCCGTCATCGCTGCACGTTCCGTAACAGAGCGCGTTTCGCGTGAGTCTGCGGCGGAATTGGATAAGGCATTCCGTCCGAGCCGCCGGCGTCTCGTTGAGTTCCCGCCGCGCCACTTCGGCCAGATCTGGCGGCAAGGAATGGTCGCCAAGATCTGCAGTCATCTTCCCTCAGTTAGTTCGCAGCAGCGCTCCAATCCGAGTCCTTTACGCATGCGCATTAGAATTGTGCGCGCGCAGCAACTAACTCTCGTAGCACGCACATGCGCAAACCATTCGTACGCGCGTGCGGTTATGTCTAAGGCCACAAAGAGACCAGGAGAAGATGCTCTGCAGGAGGCGGAGCCCAGGAGAAAGAAGGTGGCCATTTTCTCAACAGCAACCTCTCCCACATGACATGTTTCTCCCTCACACAGGGCCGTAAACACAGGCCGGGCTTTGACGACGAAATATTTGCCGAAACTAGCTACGAAATCAGAAACGGTAACCTAAAACTACCTCCAAAACCACTTTTGAGCTCTCCTCAACCCCCAGGTCTGCGACATGTGAAGCCGTACTATTTCTCGTTCACCTCTCACACCAAGGGAAGGTGGGTGGGGTCTTCGGTGTACGAGGTCTTCTGTCGAGAGTTTCAGGCCGAAAAGCCCGAGTACTATGTGAGCCAGAATGACTGACTGTTAACTGTGATAGTTTGCTGTATTTTCATACCTTGCAGGAGAAGGCAATAAGATCGGGGAAAGTGACAGGTTGGCTGTAAGCTAGTTTTTCCCTCTGTATGTGCGTGAGGTCAAGTAATCATTTGTTACTCTGTCTGTTATCATCTCTCATTGGGACAAAAAGGGCTCGCTCATTGCTTTGATAAAAGAGCAGGCCGTAGCAGCAAAAAAATACATGAAACTAGACGTTGGACAAGGTGGACAAAAATTGTTAGGTTTTGAATTGCTATACTGGCATGATAGTTTTTCTGCTATCGACCTAGAGCTTTGTTTCTTCCTCCCTCTCTCTCTCTCAGTCAATGACAAGAGGGCCACCATGGAGACTGTATTACATCATAATGACCTCATGGTGCACAGAGTACATCGCCACGAGCCACCAGTGTCAGCTGACCCTCTCACAATCCTCCACCTGGACTCTGACATCCTGGCCATCAACAAGCCTCACTCCATTCCTGTACATCTCTCCCTTTACCTTTACATGCACTCAGAGTTTTCTCTAACTACATTGTAGAAAGAGATATAGATCAACCTTTTAAAACGCCTTTTATCTGTGCAAGATAGAACTTTCTTCGTGTGGGTATATATATATATATATACCTACGTACGTATGTATATTTTTGGATTTTCTTCAAGAAGTTTAGAGTAATTTGTCTGCAGGTGCACCCTTGTGGGAGATACAGGCACAATTCAGTCGTGTTTTTACTGGGGAAAGAGCACAGTCTGAGGAACCTTCACAGTATGCTACTTCCCCATTAGTGCCACGTTTTCTTTCTCTACCACACAGTGTTCTATTTCACTTACCTGCTCTTCCTTACCCTCACCTGTCACCTTCCCCCTCTGCCCTTTCCATACATCTTCTCCTTCCCTTCTACCCCCCTCCCTCTCTCTCTCTCTCCCCAGCCATCCATAGACTGGACAGACTCACGTCGGGCCTGCTCCTCTTTGCTAGAAACCTGACAACAGCTCAACGAATGGAGCAGCAGATCCGAGAGAGACAAGTTTCAAAAGAGTACATTTGCAAGGTTCACGGAAAATTTCCAGAGCAAGTCAACAAAATTTTTAATGAATCCGTTAAAAAATTTGATGCAGCTATACATTTTTATCTGCAGTGAACCTGTGTTGTGTACAGAACCGATTGTGATAGTGACGCACAAGTTAGGGATATGTCGGGTGGACCCGGCTGGCAAAACCTGCTTGACCAGTTTCACCAGACTCTCCTACGACATACACAAAGACACCAGCATTCTCAAATGTACGTAGAGTGAGACCCTGTCAATTTACTTACGTATAACCACAAACTTTGCTGACACACCCAACAATTTTTTAACCAACATAACGTGCAATTCATAAGTACATCTGTTATACTGTGTGTCCAATTTTTCACTGATGTGCAGGTGAACCAAAGACTGGACGAATGCATCAGATCAGAGTTCATCTCCAGTGGCTTGGTATGATTACACCCAGTAGTATCTTGGCAAGTCCTTGCATGCGATGATAGCGAGCTTTGCATGCACCCAGGGCAACTCTTCTTCTTTTCTTTGAAAAGAAAGAGCTGTCCTGGGTGTAGTTGACTTGTTTGCCTTGCCTTGCCTTTCTACCTCGCTACCAAGTTGTTGAGACATGCTGTATAAATCCGCTATTGTATTCCAATAGGTCATCCAATAGTGAACGATCCCCTGTACTGTCACCCGGCCTGGGGGCCTCACAGGGGCAGGGATGGACTGGGGATCAGAGATATGGACCAGGTACATTCACAACTTTCACCAAGTTCATGGAGACCTTTCGTGGTAGTTTTACTATTCGGCTCTTGTCAGCCAACCACATTCGTGCGTGAAAAGATTCTCAAAAGATGGCTATTTATTTACTGCACAAAACCCCTCTATCCACCATAATTATTATTAGCTGTTGTTCTGTCAAAGTGTGTATTGCACCTCCACAGGTCATTAGTGACATAGTCAAATCAAACTACAACTCTCAGGAGGCGGCAGTCGAGGCCACTCCCACTGCCACTCCTTATAAGACGGTGCATTCGGTTACCCCTGCCCCCGCCATTGCGAAAGATGAAGAAAAACTCCCAGAAAAGGGCGAGGAGAGGGAAGATACCGTTGAAAAAACAGAGTTTGAAGACGGATTGACTTCTTCAGGCTCTGATGGCTCCGTCCCGGATCCAGACTGCACGGAATGTGGACTGGTGCACCCTGACCCCACCCCCGACCAGCTGATGATGTACCTCCATGCCCTCCGCTACGCAGTGAGTTGTGAAACTAACATGCTGAATGCAATAGTAGTTATATTACACGTGTCTATAATTATGTGTTATTCTCACTGACAGGGTCTGGACTGGGAATACTGTGCCGACATGCCATCATGGGCAAAGAGTGGAGATAAATCACTGACAGACAGTGGAGAAAATGACCAAAAGCCACTGGAAAAGAGTAACGACAAATCACTGGAAAAGGTAGCAGAAAATCAGGCAAAGAGTGGCGAAAAAGAACAGGCAAAGAGTGGCGAAAAAGAACGTGCAAAGAGTGGAGAAAAGGAACAGGCAAAAAGTGGAGAAACTAGCAAAAAAACTATTATATAGTTCTTGAAGACACTAAAGACTTAAGTACGTACCACTACAATTATAATACTCATCACCCCCTTTTTCAGTGTTCGGTCATAAAAATCTGGTTTTTCTTTACAAAAATTCCAGAGGAAACTGAAGATATTAGAAGTGTATATAATAGAAAGAGGGAGAAGGGAGAGAGAGAGAGAGGGAAAGTATGAGAAGTGCAGCAGTGAAAGAATGTGAGTTTTGTGGTGCACCGTGATATATACAGCAGAAGTGACGTAATTCTCAGTCTTCTCTTTTCCGTTTCCTCCGTTTCTGAACCACGTCTGATGCCTCGATGCGGTGACTCCGCCCCCTCTCCCATTTCTCCATGGCAGCCACCGACCTCTGACCTATGTGAAAGAGGACTCTCTCGGTCTCGTCCAGTCTCGTCGTGAACATTGTGACATCACTACTAAATGCGTGGTGAGAGGTGTCCATGATCCGACGGAAACGATTCAGAAAAGTTTCGAGTAGAGATTTTGCCAGGTCGCTTCTCTCCATGTGGTCGAAGAACAACAGTTTCACTCCCATGAGATAGAAATAGGGTCCCTGTTTGAAGAGATCCACGACATTAGCGTCGGCTCTGAGGATATCTCTCTGTTGTTGCCTGTACTGCTTCGGAAGGTCGATCCGGACGATGTTCCTTCTCCGTCCGCCCAGTGCCCGGGCCAGCCACAGCGGTAGCTCCATCTTTGCTCCACTCTGTATGTGCTCGCCCGAGCTCTGCGCGTCTAGGAAGCCGAGACGGTAGACCGTCTGCTCGAACTGAGCGGGGACCCTCTGCTGCGAGGCCAGAATGTCCCCCAGGTCGAAAAAGTCTCCTGCTCCTCCGGCTGCAGCCGGGGGTTGGCGGTAGTGAGCGGCACTGCTGGGAACCCCTGACGAGTAGGACGGTGTGGACGAGGACGACTGAGTAAGACTGGACATGATGCCACGTTAGCTCAGGAGCCCGTCCATCTACGTGTGGAAAACCAGTGCGTGCGTTCGGTAGTTTTGTGAGTCTTTAGAGTATGAGGAACCAGAGGTACGTACCGTTTCAACTGATGACCCATCTTGTTTCGTGTTCTTCGATTTTGAAAAGCGCGCGACGTCTGTTGTAATTGGAGCGCACCAGTCGATCGCCGGCGCCGAGACATGGGTGGTGGTACAGATCGCGAGCTCCTCTTCTGCGAGACATTCAACCACCAGGGAAGTCAGGTTAGTTTTAGCACCCAAACGCCTCCTGACTCCCGCTAGTGCAACAACTTGACCGGCGCGAGGGAGAATCGCTGCGGGATTCCATTTAGTGCGCACTGCTACTCCGTCTCGTCGCCCTCCTCCGCAGGCCCTCCACGTGGACCTGATGCGCTTTCCTCTGCCGGTGGTAGTGAGGGAAGTCCGCATCGTGGCCCCTGACATCACTGTGTGCTCTGAGCTCCCTATGAAGATAGGGCAAGTCCTCCATCCCTGACCCCTGACCCCTGAAGTCTCTTATCATATTATCTTGTTTACATGTTCCATTTCCAGACGTACGTCTCCGCCGTCTTTCACACTGGACGTGTTTTGCAATGACAGCAGCAATCCGCTCGCTCCCACCTTTGACCCCCTTGGAAAGTGAGTTGTGTATACACCTCCTTCAGAAATTTTTAACGAGACTCAAAATTTTTTCCAGCCTAGAGTATAATGAGGAGTCTACTGCTCTCGTAATAAAAGCCAAGGTACAAAAATTTACTGCACACTAATATTTTTGTCCCCTCTATCCCTTATTTCCACCCACCATTTCGCCTCTTATAGAATTCTTCAGATTTGGTTGTCGTCAAGGGATACTATACGGTTCTGACTGTCTGTATCTATGGCAGTGTGTTCATGCCGTCGTCGGGTCAGGCTCAGTTTCAGACTGGGTCCTCTCACTCCCCTCAGTACGGAATGGGGACCTTCAACCTCTCACCTCCTCTTCATTTGATCGTTCTCCTTTCATTCTTTCTCTCTCTCTCTCTCGTTACAGAAACCCTTCAGGGAGGAACATTTGAGCAATGTGATAGCAAAAGAAAATGTTGGAAATTTGATAGCAAATATTTCATGGCCTATTTGGGTTGTTTGCCTGTCCCACGATACCATTAATAAACTCCGCCTACTAAATCCCGCATTGAAAAAACAAATTCGCAGATTGCTCTAAAAATTTCCAATCGTCTTGTCCCACGTTTCCCACCAGATCTGCTACTCAGTCTTACTCTGAGTACAGTGGGAGAGACAGCGACAGTGACAGCAACTATTCCGACACCGAGGGAGGAGGAGGAAGAGGGAGGAGAGGGAAGAACAGTGGTCTGGAGTCCCCAGAGAGAGGGGGCGAGGGGAAGGGGGAGGGAGAGGGAGGAGGGGGGAAGTACGTGGACGATTTATTTGAGCCGTTTTCACCGGTAAACTCCCCCGATCACCTGTTTGACCTGTCTGACGAGGAGGGGAAACGGGTAAGTCAGGTTTTCGCTCTAACACGAACCTTTACCCTCCCTCCCCCTCTCTTCGCCCCTCTCCCCCAGTCCAGCACAGCTGCCATGGGCTACCCTGTCGAAGATCTGTCAGACGAGGTACCGATATACAACTGCACTCTTCTTTCTTTTCAATGTTTCTCTTTACTCTGTGGTAGGAGATTGCTTTCGAAGGTGGTGACGACTTCGACATGCAGGAAGAGGTAGTCAATCTTTGTGGTCTTCCCCTCTAAATATTTGTCTTCCCTCTAATTTTTTGGTATTCTCCTAATTTTTGTCTGCCCCTCTTATATTTTTGTCTTCCCCTCTAATTTTGTCTTCACCACTCACCTACCCTTGAGTAACAACATCTCTCTCTCTCTCTCGCTGCGTATTTCCAGGGGTTTGAGTCTTACATGGACAGCGATGATTGGGCGACTAGTGGAGTCAGCTTCAACCCTTATCAGTGCTTCCTAGCCTCTCTTGAGGTGGGTCCCCGCGTGGCCGAGGGGAGAGAGCTTCGGACGATAATTCTGTGTTTAACCCCTTGTTTACAGTCGTACCCGTCACTGATCGAGACCCCTCACGAGGCACTGATGGCCAAGCTGCAGAAAACTGAATCGAGTACGTCTACTAACCAACTTTTGGATATATACAACATACAATACACACACAACACATGCCGTGGCGTACAATGTGCAAGATGTGTGGGTGAAGTTTTTAAGACTGGAGCCTTCCATATGAGCGACTTATTTGACCACTACTCGTCCACCTTCATTGTCCATACAATCCATCATACACATATCCATGTGTTTGTGTTTTTAGTTAGTAAACGAAGTATGGCCGACGAAGCTATGAAACTTCGCGATGTCGTCATCAATGCCAAAGACATTACAAACCCCACGAGGTAGGCGAGTCTGCAGCACGACGTCTAATACTTTACATCCCTGTGGGTGTGGCTGGTGGGCGTGGTTGGTGGGTGTGGTTTGTCCAGGTGGGTGGAGACGATGGAGGAAATCCCGTCTTACCTCTACCCGGGGCTGGCCCAGCTGCAGAAGAAATCCAGCTCTGAGGGAAAAGGTTTGGAGGCGACTCAAATTGGACGCCGAGTGTGTTAGTGTGTCTTTCTCTCTGCAGAGGTGATGCAGAAGTTGGCCAGTTGGACTGTGCAGTGTCTGAGTCTTGAGCTAGCCAGGCAGAGTCCCATGGCTGTGAGTTCTCTCTCTCTCTCCTCTCTCTTCTTTCTCTCTTTCATTCTCCCCTCTCCCCTCTCCTTCTTCTCTCTCACTCCTTCTCCTTCTGTCCCCTTACTATGTCTATCTGTTGCGTTGTTTCTCATCAGGTGAATATTCGTCAGCTCAAGGCAGGCCTTAGAATGGTGCCTAGCATTGCAGCCCTGGGACGCAGATGTACCCACATGCTAGTGGTTAGCACACACACGCGCACACACACACACACACGCACACACACGCACACGCACACACGCACACGCACAGACTGAAAAACACCCGACCTCCCTACAATGCCTTCTCCTCCTCCTCTCCCCCTCTCCACAGAAGCACAACGTGATGGAGGAGCTGTGTGACATAGCTCTGTCGGACCCGATGGTGTCAACCATCAAACTCCACTCGCTAAGGGCTCTGGACTCTCTTCTGGACTACCCCCAGGGTCTGGAGCGGTTCATTGGCTGGAGCAAGAGCATTTCGACATCCTCTGTCATCGTCGCTCCCCTCCCTCCAACTCCCTACCAGCACATGATTAACTTCGTCCTTAGTCAACCAGTGAGGACACCTCTCTAGTGCCTTAGTACAATGGCTGCCACGTGATCATCTTCACTCTTTTCTTGTGTGCAAATACCTTGTTTTTCGGAGACCATAGCAAAGACACCGTAAATGAAGACCCTCTCTAATAAAACATTGTGAATTTCTTGCATTCGTGCAATTTATCCCTCTACTAGGGACACCTCTATAATAATGGACACTTCTATGTCGCTAGTGTCCAGATCTGTCCACTGTATATACATACAGCTCTCTATAGATGCTCTGAAAATGATCGGTTATTTATAGAATCTGTTTCCTGTCGGCAGCCTGTTCGTGTGGTGGTTGCAGCGAGCGTTCTACTGGCAAAGGCGCACATCTACGAACTGCTCTCCAACCTCCAAGATGCCGTTGAGAAGTAAGTCTGTTTCTCTACACACCACGTCCACTTTTTTTGCACTAGATTTTAATTTTTTCCTTTTTTTTTTATGCATAGTATTCACAATCTGACTCCCTCTCTTATTACACAGAGTGTAGTCATACCCTTTAACAATTTAGCCCTTATTTACATCCACATTCCCTTCAAGTTTAAAAATATTTATATAGCTATATATGTTTGTTGTTGTGTCAGTTTACCCGTGCATTAATTAGAGTTGTGGCCTGTACGCCGGTGAAGAATGTTCCGGAAGACTACTGGTCCGGAGGGCCGGTTAGGGAAGGAGGAGAGGAGGAGAAGAAATCGGAAGAGCTTGTAGAGGGAGAAGGAGGCGGAGGAGGAGGTGAAAACATCGCTGATGAAGAAAAGCCGACAAGTGGGTACACTTGTGTTTTTGTGCGTTTGGAAAATTCAGACACGGACGACAGCTGCCTTTCGTTATTTCCAAAATAGCAAAAACTTTCAAGATGATGTTCTGCACTACAAAATCACAGAATTTTGTCACGTTATATTTCGGCTACTTGTACTTAGTATTTTTCTCATTTCTCCAGGTCCCTCACTGCACCGGGGCGACGGGGAGGAGGAGATGGATCAGGGGGTGTTGCCAGGCGACGAGGAGGACACGCCCCCTCCCGTTCCCCCGGAGCTGATAACGAGAGTTGCCCGTTGTCTGGAGGAACTCAAGAAGTGTATCAAGGAGGCCCCCCACACTACAGTCAGTTTACTTAATAGAGAGAAAGAGAGATAAGAACTCTGTTAGTGAGGGAATGTTGCAGTACTGTATATAATATACAAAGGCCGAATTTTAAAACTGAAACTTAATTGCAAGATTATTGCACTACATGAATGATGTTATGCCTAAACACCTTTAGTTTTCACCTCTCCCCATTGTGTGGACCATTATTAGGTTATAGTTGACTTGCTCTGTGTATCTTGAAGGCACAAGAAGTCACAACGAATGGCGTGTATCGACTCCCGCATGCTATCTACTACTGTAGCTAGCCCGTGTCAGACTCTCCGCGAGCTACTAGCGGGAGACCACGAGTAAACGCATACTAATAGGCCCAGCCCATCAATTAGCGGTATCGCTCATGCGCAGTTCGCCGAGGGTTTGCACTTTAGTGCTTTTCATTCGAATGTTTGTTGTTGTTGTTGTTGTTGTTAGAGACATGTTGTGTGTTGTTGGCAGGTGCAGCCTCCACCAAAGTCGTTCCCCACTCGAGTGACGTACAGTCCAGAATCACCAAAAGACTATTTCCCTGCACTCATGAGGATGTTCCAGTCCAGGTGGGTGACTTAAATCATCTGAATCAAACAGTGTCAATGTAGTGTTAAGCAGTATCAGTATCATGTTAGGTGTGTCAATGAGTGTTAGTAGTAATTATATCAAGTTGAATAAAACTGATCATAAAATCGTGTTAAGTGGTGTCACCGGTATCACGCGGTATCACTGGTATCAATGGTGTCACTGGTGTCTCCACAGACGTCTGTTGGAGTGTGTGCTGGTGTTGGTGACAGCTCCCGCCACGTCACTAGACGAGAGGGTCTTTGGTGGCGTCAGAGACCTGTTGCTCCTCTTCCTCACCTCCCAAGAAGGTCCCTTTATCTCTCCCTCCTTCATCTTCCTCTCTCCTCTTTCTCTCTCCTTGTCTCATTTCTCTCTCTCTCTCTCTCCTCGTCTCATCTCTCTCTCTCTCTCTCTCTCTCTCTGTGTTCGTTTCATGGTACGGGCATGATCTGTAAATAAAATGTCATGTGTCTCGTGAATGTGATTGGCTGATATGCATGGTGCGCTTAAATCAAGCATTCAAGTTTTAATTAGGGAGACAAGGTTAAGACTTGTCCCTCCCCCCTCCTCTGTCTGTTCAGGAGTCTTGTTCCTGTCCAGTAACGTCCCGGTCATGAATACCATTGTCAGGACCCTCACGCAGGCCTCGGTGAGTCATGTGACTGTCACGTGATCGCCGATCTATCTCTCTCAGTGTTTCAGGAGAATCAACTAGCTCTGATGCAGTCATTCACAGTGAGTCTTGTCAAAATATGACTCCTATGTAATTCTCTCCATCTTCTCCATCTTTCTCGTCGTCTTCTAACTGCTTGTCCCCACCCCCTCCTTTCTTTCCCTCGCAGGAGCTAGTAAGTGGAGGTGAGAGGGAATCTTGCACACCACAGAACCTTGGAGTCCTACTCATCTACCATCTTCAGGTCACCACACGCACACACACACACACGCACACTGAATCGCAGCTAGAAGTCCAAAGTGTTGCACAGTGTGCAGTTGTAGTTTTGCTGTCTCGAGCCACAATTTTCCAGACCTGACTGACTGGTATGACTGGTTCATGAAACAGGTTCTGCAGTCGCTGGACCAGCTGCGCAGGGCCCCCAAGTCAAACATGAGTGAACTTGAGTCGACCGAGTGTGTCTCTGCTCTTCACACTCTCTACACCATGACCCTCACTCCCATTGGTCAGTCTCCTAGTCATGTGACTCTCACATGATGTCCACATGACCTTGTGTGATGTCACCCCATGTTCATACTTCACTTATGATTCCTGTACGTTACATGATAAGCGTCACATTAAGGAGCACGTGATCTTGTTGATGGTCACATGACACTCATGTGAGATCACATGATCTGGTTTGTTCCAACAGGTAAGAGTGCACTGACGTACATGATGTCGTTGAAGGACAATATATCGGCTCTCTTCCCTTTTATTGAATCTCGAGGTAACCAGAACACAAGTGGGAAAATTGCACTGATCTCTCTGCTCGCCAACTTGTGTATGTTGTCATGGCTACAGGTCAAAAGGAGCACGATTCGAAACTCACTCGCTCAAGTGTCTCCAGCAGATATGCGGCTGTCATCTTTCTACAACTCCTCCAGAGTAAGTAGTTTCAGATCACGTAAAATCCACTTTTCGTAAAGAAAAGAAAAAGTTTCGAGTTTCGTTACATGGTTGGTCTGTCGGCATTACAGCGGCACGCTAAAACTAAAGTATCGTGAAAATACTAAAACTTAGATCTGTGCTAAATTCACTAAGTGTCTGGTCATAAAAGTTTTTTTTCGCTGTGTCTAGAAAATGTCATTGTTGAGTAGTCTACACACACGTACAATATCCACTCTGTCGTGTGAAACCGTCTGCAGGTCCAGTGCTGGTGAGAGGTGACTTCATCATCAGCTACAGCAGCAAGCTCCTATCAGTGGCCGAGTTTTTCAAAGGTGTCTTGTGTGGCCAATTGCCGTGCAACGAAATCTTCACGCCCTCCTCTACTCTCCCTCTCTTATTTTATTCCCTCTCCCTCTCCTCCCTCCCTCCCTCCTCCCGTCCCCCTCTCGCAGAAAACCCCAGTCCCACAATGTCCGACCTGTACAACTGGCTCTATCCCGTTCGCAACATCACTAGCGATGGCTCCTCGTCCATCCCCACGCTCGTGTCCACCGTTCAAGAGTAAGCTACACACCTCACCTTGTTCTTGTCGCATGCAAACACTTTTCTGCCGTTTGAAAATTGCGTGTTTTAACTCTCGCACCTTTACTTCCTTCTCCTCCAGATTGTTGCCTCAGATCAGTTCAACTAAACCCAACAGGATCCTGGCTCCTATTCTCTCGTCTCTTCGTATCCTCCTCACCTTCATCGTCCCTCCTCCCACCCAGCACTCCAGCAAAGGTGTAAGCTACAATTAATCAGCTCTTGGCAGAATGTTGAAGGGAAAAAGATGTGTCCAAAAAGCTTCGGTTTAAACCAAATGATATAATGCTTGTCTGTTTACAGGAGGATAGGAGGACAAGTAATAGAAAAACATAATTGTTTGTTTACAGGAGGTCAATTAACAGAAAGACATACTTGTTTGTTTGTTTGTTTACAGGAGGACAAAAGGAGTTGAAATGGTCTGAAAATACGGTCGTTCTTTTCTCCACGGGTGCCATGGAAACGCTGCAGAACCTCTTACAGAAGATATCTGACTTGCTCCTCCCACTGTGGAGCCAGCGACAGATCATCCCTGTCGCCCTTAGCAACAACGTTTCCATGGTGGCGACCTTTGCCCTCCGACTGATGCGGGCGATGCTGGGACTGCTGGTGGAGGGAGAGGACTCGTTCCAGTACCGAGATATGAGGGTCGTGACTGTCCTGGTCACAGTCCATGCAGTGTTCTGTTCCATTCCATATTCTACAATCATATCCAGCACAGCTTCAGAGGTGGGCGGGTTTGTTTGTGCCGTCCCGTTTTGTTACGGGTCGTCCCGTTTGCCGATGGTATGTCCCAGATTCAGGCGTCGATTCTGGATATTCTGGCAATGTTCACCAAACCAGAAATCACTGAGCCCGAGGCAGCTGGCGAGGAAAAGACTGTTGGTATGTGAGGAGCCTTTCTTTTATCGTAGAGACGGATAAAATGTTTGTGATTCAGTGGCAAAAAGAAAATGGACCATCTCGGATTTCTTTTTCTCACTGTACAGTGGTTCCCACAATAAGTATTGGTGGAAATGATTGGCCCTCATCTCCCGTTCCTCTCTCTCTCTCTCTCTCTCTCCCTCTCTCCTCCCTCCCTCCCTCCAGATGCCTCCACAAGTTGCTGGTGTCTAATGTTACAGGAACTCTTCAACTTAACACTAACTTCACCAAACGTATGTATAATTATTATACCTACCTTATAACTATGCCCAAATTTTGAGGTTTCCGTATACTTTAATTTTTGAGTGTGGCTAACACAAAATACTCTCTGTCTGGGATATTTTGAGCTTTTACGAAGCATGGCAGATTAAGCCGGAATCTTCATTTGTGCTAATTTTCGCTATGTGCATGTGTATAGTTTTTTTCCTTCTTGGTCCAGTATTTTCTGAGTGGTTTGATGCTTCTGTCAGAACTGCTGCCTCTGCCTCTACCTGTCCATGCCGTGCAGGTAAATATGTATATATGTACGTCTTCACGGGAGAAATAATAATAATTCGCTAATTTCACGATTTTTGACCCGTCTGCGAATGTTTTTTCCAAATTTTGAGCAAACAACATCAAAATCTCCAATCATGGATTTTTGCTGTTCGTGTGTCTCTCAACGCAGCCATGTTCAGACAGTGACATTGTAAACATCGGTCGACACCACACCCTGTGGGCGCTACACCTCGACCCGTTCGTCGATACCGTGTCCGAGATTGTCTCCGCCCTCCTGCGAAGCAGCTGCCCGGAACTGCTGGGGGTTCTGAGGAGAGTCTGCGCCCAGCTCTCCGACCTCAGTCCCCCTCTCGCCACCCTGGTTGCCAGGTAACACCGACTCCTGCCGTTACTTTCTAGAGACGATTTCATGTACATGATTGTGTGCGTCTGCGTTAGGTGCCGTTCCTATGTCAGTGTACATATTTACCCAGAGTGCAGAGAAACATTTATAGATGGAGTGATGTGACAGTCTCTGCTAACCTAAAATCTTCCCTGTGGCTTTTTAGGATTAACCCTTTCCCTCTGAACCCTGTATGATTAACCCTTTCCCACTGCTTTTGTATGTTTAACTCCTTTCCCTCACCTCCTTCCCACTGGCTCTGTATGATGATTAATTAAGACCTTTTCCCTCCTGGCTCCCCACAGGTATGTGATAAAGGCGATAATTGGTGAGATTGAGAGGCAGCTGGAAGCGCCGGAGGAGGAGTCAAGGGGGGAGGGGGGAGAGGGGGGAGGGAGGACCGTGGTCGAGGGGGAGGGGGAGGGAGGAGGGGAGGAAGAGAGGATGGACGAGAGAAAAACTTGTCTAGTGAGTTGCAATGTAACTATAGCGGCCAACCAGCAGCGGTTGAACCACAGTTAATCGGCAAATGATGCGAGCCTTTCTAATCTGAATTATCTATTACATCATCAATGAACACGTGTAAACACCACTTTAGTTCTGGGGACACACTTGGCAATATGTATATACGTATGTGTATCCCTATGACTTGCTTGCATTCGTCCACCAAAACTGAAATGTGATTTGTGAGGAAGACGTGTGGTTTTTTTCGTGTGTGTGATTCAGTTCTTGTCTGCTGAGAATGCTGACGACGTGTGCCGTGCTGAGTCAGCAGGTGGCCTTCAAGATTGCACTGTTGGACCTCCTCAGACAGAAGTACGTATATGTGAGAGTAGTGCGGAGGGTTAACTGTGAGATACAAGGAAATCTTGCTGGAACGTTTCCAGTTCATCCAGGGGGGGAGGGGAGAAGTTAGACAGTCCCAGAGAAAAAATAAAATCTAGCTCGGATTTTTCCAGTCGCTCTGAGAAGAGTGTGACGTGATGAAAGGCTATAAATCAAAGCTATAATAGAATGTATTCTCAATAGCCAACATCAAAATCACAACAATACAAATAACAACAAATATGTGTAGCCTCAGGCACTTTTCTTTAAATTTACTTCTTCACTTCTCAAACTTTCCAGGTGGGGGAATAATATGGCTGTGTTGTATAATTATAGCTACATAATTATATATGGCTGTGTTGTATATAGCTACATATATTATTATGGCTGTGTTGTATATAGCTACACGTATCCACATTTCCAGAGAGACGGATGACACGAAGAGCTTCTCTCGGTTCATTCCTCTCCTACTGTTCCTGATGCAGAAGAAAGAGACAATTTCTCCGCTCAAAATCTGCATCATTACAATACTCAACAGTCTCTGTAGCGTATACATCGCCTTGTCTTCGTCGGGAGATGACGCAATGGGCGGTGCCGAGCCGTCCGAGCAGCAGCAAGCGGATTGCCTCCCCGGGCAATCCCAATTGGAGCACATCACCTCGGCCGTCGTGGGTCACGTGATTTCCCCCGATAACCCTCTCACCACTGTGATGCAGGGGTTAAAGGTGGTTTTGTCTGTAGCGCAGTACAATGCCGGTCAAGTCCAACTACTGAGGTTAGTCTGCGTTGTGTCTCTCTTTCACAAATTGTGATGTGGGTTAATTGGTGCAATACTTTCTGTTGCAAATGCTTGCTGGTCTTCGTTAGTGTCGCGATTTCAATCTGTGAAATTTACACGAGTTGTTTGTTGTTTGTTGTTTGTTGTTGGTTGTTTATCCTCAAACATACGGTTGAGTTTCTTATCAACATGCATAGTAATGTGTGTCTCCCCTTCACACACACACACACATTCTCCCTCCCCAGTCTGATGAAATCGGGAGTCACAGGATTTTCACAGCTGCTGGTCAAACTAATGGACTCGCTGAGAAAAGGAGGAACTCAGTGAGTCACACCTCTCCTTCTCTCTCCTCTTTACTCTGTCCCTTTTCTCCCCTGTTTCTCTCTCTGTCCAGGTCCTCTGTGTCCCTGGAATGTCTCTCTCTCCTCCTCTCCGTCTACCGCTGCCTCCTCTCCGCGTCCCTCGCCGGGAAGATAGAGGTCAAAGGTCACAGGGGGTCGTCCACGGAGTCGGTGAGTCTGCCGTTCCCCCGGTCGCTGTTGAGAGCCGTCCTGAGGAGAGATGTGGGAGAGTACCTATTGGTGGAACTCAGGGAGATGGTACAGGTATGTCACAATGAACTGACAATGTGTACAGTATATGGTGTACCGTAAATTTTCAGGTGGTCTGTATTTAGAGAACCATTTTTTGCTTCAGTTCAGCAGTTATAGATATGGGTAACTATCTGTCCATCCGTGAAAATTTGTGCACACAGACACATATATATACGCCCATGCTAGAGTAGGCCTGCAAAATTAAATGATTGGTATATAGAATGTAAGTGTGATGTCTCTCCTCAGGAGCTGTACAAGGAGGACAGCAGTCTGCTGGACGAGCTGCTGGCTCCGATATCGCTTCTCACGGAGGCCGTTGAGGTGGAGGAGGCCCAGCCGTCCGACGTCTCTCTCACAGGTCTGCTCCTGTGGTCAATACTGTCCCCAAACTCTCCGTATTTATCCACATGTCGGGATATTCAATACTGCGTGTCAAAAACTTTCGCATGCACATCGATTTTTAACGAAAAGTTTTACGAATGCGATTGGCGAATGTGCACTATTGTTTGACATGTATTTCATTATTACTACTATTATGGTTGCGGTACCGTACTAGAAGAAAACTTATTGAATACCAGCAATATTCTCTCTCTCTCACCAGACCTGCCCGGTCTGGACCAGGAGGCGTGGCCTGACATGAGGTCACTGAAGACTCAGTTTGAACAGAGGAGCACTGTCATGGTTACGGAGGACCTGGACAGAAGGTCAGAGAGGGAGGGAGGGAGGGAGCGTTTGATTTTTGTGTTACTCCATTTCAGCCCAGAGTTCTGGTTGGCCACGCCCCCTCATGATGAGTCGGACTTCAAACCAGACACAGTGAGTTTTCTCCCTCCCTCCCTCCCTCTCTCTCCCTCCCTCCCTCCCTGTACATATGATGTAACTCTATCTCTCACACACACACGCAGACGACCATCAATCTCACCAAGTTGGCGTATGAGACAATCCCAGGCCTCAACCTCGAGGAGGAGCTGAAGAAACGCCTCCTTCCTTCTCCTCCTCCCTCCCCGATCGGAAAGAGGTAAGCCACTCTCGATACACCCACCTTCCATGTGGATCTGGGTGGGATTACTCGTGAAATGCGGCGCTGACTCGAGTACAAAGCAAGATAGTAACATAGGGCCATGATGTCATGTATGAATCGCATGTGAGAAGTAATGTAATCTAAATCGAGCTTGAACTAACTTGCAACCCACGATTCGCATTTACTGCTGATGATCTCCATGAGATAGGTTTCAATAGACGTCACAATTCATGCTCATGTGCCCCAATGTGCGATTCGACCACATACATGCACGACTGCGATTTGTAATGAATTCAGAACCAATTTCAGGCCTTTGACCTCACCACTCTTTCAGTGTGTGTATCTCCCTTTCTCTTGCAGGAAGAGAAAGATCATTCTGAGTGGGCCCGAGGCTCAAAAGAAGCTGAGAGAAGGTACCCTTTTTCGGCGACTTCAAGATTTAGAGCGTGCATTATTTAGAGAGACCATTTTTGTTTTTCATTTCGTGTCTCCAGCCATCCGTCTGCGGCAGGCGTCCGGGCGAGGCAAGGACCTGTTCCGGGCACGCAAACAGAACACGAGTCGACCTCCGTCGATGCACGTCGACGACTTCATGGCCATGGGTGCTCGCGGAGTCGGACACAGACAGGTAGGTCTCCTGTCTCTCTCTCTTTCCCATTGGTAGTTTGATGGACGCTCTTGAATACAGTGTTGCAGAGAATGCCCACTAAATTTATATACTCTTTACGCGTGAGACAAAATTGCCAAATTTTTAAGATTGCGCAATTATAGTGACACCTGAGCATGTTGAAGGCGTCAGTATTCAGAGGCTTGTCCCTTAATACAATACACTAATGTACAAGTATGGGGCAGAACCAAGTGTCCCCAGAATTGTCAAAGACTTGCACTATTACTAATGTCTCTCTTCTCCAATGCAGCTGCCGTCGCGGAATTCTCGCAGCAGTACCATGGGTGGCGGTCTCCCCTACCTCCCGCTCACCACGCTCACCACGGGCACCAGACCCACCATCCTCACTCCCACACCCATCACCCTGGCAGCAGCTTCATGCACCAGCTGGGCGGTCGATGGCAGATGAGCTCACTCCCGACCAGCAGCCTTCACTACCCCAGACGAGACCTTGGTAAGACCCTGTTATTAAAGTTCTAAGAGGTATACATACTGTAAGATACTGTCATAATTAATTGGTTACACCAAATTCACGAATTTTAACAGATGCTTTTGGTGGAAAATGTTCACAATGTGTGTTCACAGCATGCTAAAAATTCACGAAGTAGATATTTTTATCAAGTCTGCTGAGAAATTGTGAAGACTTTGTTTGTCTCTGCAGGTGGGCTAAATCTTCGTGACTGGGAATCGGCGAGATTGAGTTCGTTCATGATGTCTATGAAGCCGCCACCTCTTAGAGCGGCACCGCTGTGGCCCCCGCAGCTCACCGGTCTGTACCTCCCCCCTCTCTCTTTCTGATTTGCTCCCTCCCACACAAACACACTGTATGTGGCTCTGTACAAACTTTGCCAACACAAAGTTGTCCTCGACTTTTTCACGAAAAATTGCCGGAATTGACTGTTTAGTTCACCTTTTCTAGGCCTTCATCATTAATTCTCCCTCTTACTTCTTTTTTCTGGCACTCCCTCTACTTCTTACCTATCTCCCTCCCTCCCTCCAGAAGCCTATCGCACTCGCAGCCGTCTCCTCCCCTGGCCGGAGAGTTCCTCTCGCTCCCTCTCCTCTGACCCCTCAGGCGCCGGCAGCTCCACCAGCAGAATGGCCGACTTGGCCTGGAAGGCCAGACACTCTAGTCTCTACAAAAGACTCCTCTGATGCTTCATGGGCCTTTTGCAAAAACTATACACATTTCCCCCTTTTCAGAGTAAGATTGCAATTTTGGTATCATTCTCAGTTAAAAATAATATGATGGCAAAAAACTTCATTGGGTGCATAAATATGCGATTTGTGAAGATGACAATATTATGCCGAGTCCAATTTCCTGAAAGATCATTGAGAGTTTACTGCCAGTTTCCAGAGAGAATTTACTGGCTAGTTTCCTGAGAGATTACTGAGCCAGTTTCCTGAGAATGTACTGGTCAGTTTCCTGAGGGATTACTGGGAAATCCTGGCTCTGGCAGCAGTCAGAATGGCCTCCTTCCACTGCAGGTAGTCCTTGCTCTCTGGACAACTGACCATTCTACTCCACAGGCTCTCCCTCGTGAACTTTGACCTTGCCAACCTTCTCGACCCCCTGCCGTCTTGCCGTGACGAGACCCCCTCCTCTCTCGTCTCAGGCTGTTCTTTTTGTTGAGTTGGTCCAGTGGCATCTGCTGCCTTATCTCCTTCCTTCCTCTTTCTGGTTTTCTTTCCACCTGCTGCCACCTCTGGAAAACACTCAATTAAACCTGTATCTCCCTAAACAAGCAAAAAGCTCCCCACACAAGCTTATCTTCCCTAACAAAACAAAAGGCACATTAAGGCCCATATAGGTATACTCGAAGCAGCGGTCCACCATCCATGGAGTAAAGTAGACACGCATAATAATTATAGCTGAAAACTGAGTTGGAATTTTACATTTGGGACGTCTGTTGCAAACCTGTGTCAATGGACTAGCAGAGATAGGATAGGAGTTAATTAGATCCCCGCCCACCTATCTTAGGGACGCAATCCTTCATTTGGTCGAGGACACTCTGGAAGACTGCTCTGCTGGGACAGTTGGCCACTGACTGGAACTCTGATCTGTCGCTACGAAACTTCATTGCCCTGCAGCAGTACTATAACATTGGTCATTCCTTACACAATTGGGTGAACCTCTCTAATCTATATAGACACCAATGGGAGAGTATAATAATATAGAAAGTGTCTTTATTAGAGGGGTGTCCTCATTTCAGGGGTGTCCACTGTAAGTGGAGAGGTTAAGGAGGCATTCTAGTAGTATGGGTGGACCAAACAAGGCCAGACACTGTCGTCCCTCCCCCTTCGCCTCTCGCTGACCTGCAGGCAGCGTAGAGGGCGGCAGCTGCATACAGAGGTTCCGTCAGGTCCAGCCACTCCTTCTGCGTCTCACTGTACATGGACTCCGTCTTATCTCTGTAGCTGAAGGATAATTATTATCATTTTGTCTGAGTCCACTGCAGACATCATTATAAATTTAACAATGCATTTTTCATGTTCATTATCCATGTATTAGCAAAAGAAAATAATTCTGCCCTTTTGCTTCACAACCACAGCACTTCGTAAATTCTTATGAGAGCTAACAACAGGCAGTGAAATTGTATAAAACCAAGTGAAAAGCTGATGGAAATGAAAATTTCAAACTCACTTCCTGAGAGTGTCTATGGCCAACTGCTCGGCCTCGAGGGCACCAAACCTAACGGCCAGCTCTCGGAGACTCACGGAGGTCGTAAGGTTCAGGATCTTCCCCACGCTCCGGACGACGCTGGCGTAGGCTCGCTGCGGGAGGCCCGACATCTTCTGTGCCTGCGTCTGGAAGAGGGATTTATGTTGAGCGCTCATGACATCAAAATCTCTATATTACCAATGGTTCGACCAAGAGACACCTGGTTTCAGATGCAATCTGTTGAGTTGTCAAGCCCTCACGGGCAGTTTCTATGCACTCTACGTGGTCATATTGCCGTGTCGAAACACAACAAGAGGCGCACATCTTTGGGGTCAACTTCTAAACCCCAGTTAGATACCGAGTCTTCAGGTAGGTAACGGTGTCATGGTTAGTGGTGGTGCCCTGTTTGTTATTAGGCTAAAGGGTGTCTGTTTGTCTCCCTGCAGTCTCTCTTACAGGTGTCACCTTGTCAAAGGTCTCTCCCAGCTGGCCCGCGGAGACCTCCAGACAGGCGAGAGCCAGACCTGCCGAGGTCACCCCCCTCACTCCCAGCACCCCCTTCACCTCCGCCAGCCGGTACAACTCCGCTGCTCTTGACGAGACGGCTTTGCCAAGCTGGAACCTCCCTGCTAGCCCAGACACGTGCTCCATTTTGTGTGTGCTCCTGTTTCTGCACAGTATATACAGTGCTATCAGTGCAACGTCATGTGTTGTCATCACACACCAGTGCTATGGGCGATTTGCGCATGCGTTAAAAGGTCGAAGGTCGTAAAAAGATGCGCTCCAGATAGAATAACATGGCGCATCACCCGCCGCGAGCTGCTCACGAAGACGGCAGCCCAAAGTTCTGGCTTTTGTTCTTCCTCGGTCTCGCTATAGTGCTCGTGCTGTTCAGAGCGTTCGGTGCAGCCGTGGAGGGGACGGGGAGAGGGTTCCGCGGCGGGAGGAAGACAAAACGAAAGAGAAGTGACGAAAGTGGGGTGGTTGGGGCGAGAAAAGACGCGAGGAAGAGTGAATTAGAGCACATACACATCGAGTAATAGTTTGGAGGGTCAAGAACGAAGACCTAGTCTCTCGATGGAGTCACTTCAAACACCAGGAGGAACAGAAAAGACATGATGATAATAGGTTTTTGGTGCATTGTGCAGTGTGTATGAGTGCTAGTTGAAGGTTTTTATTGCTAGTACGGACAAGGCCAGTTTGTCGGTTGACAGTTTTTCGGCGTTGACCAGCAGACGGTGTGGTTCTGTGCACCGGACACTGCAGAAATCTACCTGTGGTATACATATATACATACTCATGTGAGTGAGAGTAGACTTTGGGACGGAAATGAAATATATTTCCAACTATCGTTTCTGGACTAAAATTCTAACTCGCCAGTATTTTGGAACAGACCATGCAGTAACTTGTTGCTTTATGGCATCAATGCTTGCTAACGCCTTTTCTACTTGTCTGTGGTGTGCACTACGATGATTGGGCACCTTGTCAGCGTCCAGCTGGACTTTCTTGAAGTGAGGGTCGGGAATTGTGATGATGTCACCGATATTAAAGTGGGCGGAGTCTGCCAGATTGTAGACGGTTAGTCCAACGTGTGACCCAGAGCCGTCTACCAGGGCACAGGCACTGTGGCAGAAGAAAGAAAGAAAGACAATGGGGAGAGAAACGGGGGCAAAACAGATTTAAGGAGGGAGAAAATAATATCCACTTAGCCTATGTGTGAGTAAACCATTGGGTTTTTGGGAGTTTCAGACAGTAGGCATGAACGTGACTTGAACTCGTGCACATTTGACAATTCTTACTATGGGACTCGACTTGCTGTAGGAACAACGGCTGAAACTCCGCCCACAAACACTGCTCCTGGGTTGCCTCCTGGTCTCAGGTCGCTGACAGAGACAAGAGTCTTTGACTGCGAGAGGGGACCGGTGAACTTGTCGGGAGTCGAGAGAGAGGCAGAGAGAGAGGCCGCCTTCTTCGGCTTCATCTTCCCCTGTGATGTCGTGGATATATATATACAGTGTGAAATAATCAGTCGCTTGTCTTTCTAGCCACCGTGAACTGGTAAATTGACAAACGTCAATCCCAAGCTGATGAGATTTTTCACTGACCAACAGGCTGAATTTTTTAAAGACTTGCCTAATTTCCACTGAAATGTGGTCTAAGGAAAATTTTCCTCATGATAGCAAATAGCACACACACAGAGAGAGATATTTCCATACTTTAGCTGAGAGGCTGTGGGTCATGGCCTGTAGGAAGGCGGTTGTCTCTGTGATCTTGAGTGTCGGGGCGTCCCAGCCAGGGTCCAGGGCCGAGGCCCTCCTGAATCCAGTCAGAGCGTCATCGTAGTTCTCCTCATAGAGACACAGCTGGGTGGAGGGAGAAGAAAGAAGACGAACAGTGAGATAGTGCAGGTAGACCTCGATTAAATCTTCCACTTATGTGCCTACAAGCAATGCCAAACCCTTACTGGGTGGAAAGGGAAGAAACATGTAAATTTCTCAACTTATTAACAACCCAAGAATGGAAGTGTATAGTAATTAACGACCTAATTCGTACATGAGGTAAAAAAGTCAACCATTCAGAACTTGTGTTGGAAAATATGAAACAGGGACTAATTCTGACCGATGCCATGTTGAAGTGGAGATCTGGGTTGTTGGCCACTCCGCTGTCCCTCTCCTGCACTCACAACATCAGTAGAGAGGAATATAATTGGAGGGTTCAACTCACTGCTTGATGGTAGGCTGACATGCTCTGTTTAAGTAGCTTGGGCTCTGAGCTTGTGGTGAAAAACTGCGACAAGTAGGCATTTCCCAATATCACTGTATGCATTGAGGGAGGTGGATGACAGGTTAAGCAGGAAATTCAGAGCTACTAACTCCACGAAGTTCCGTCCTTGACGTCTTCAGCCACAGCCTCTTTTGCCCTCTCAACACTCTCTCTCACCCTCTCCCCTCGCTCTGCCGGGGCTGGGGGGGTCACATGACTGTCACACGTCTGTCACAGACTCTTAAAACTCACTAGTGCCCATCTGTCGCAGGACCATTGACAGAGACCGCAGAGCTTCCTTTGTTTTGGCCTGCAAGAGAGAATCAACACCAACTGTCCATTGATCTTGAAGACTGCAAAAAATAGTGGGCAGTTAGGTTTGTGCATCTTCACCCAGGTGCTCATTTTTTTTAAAATTCTGACCGACATTTTCACCCTCAAGGACATTCTGGTAATACGAACAATTAGAGAAACGTGGGGGAAAATTAGGCAAAGTCACAAATACATGTATATACATTTGAGAACAAAGGACAAATAATCAGAGATTCAGGACCAACGTGGGTGATGGAAGAGGTGAAGCAGTCGTGGGCCTGTTGTATGTTTCCTTTCTTCCAGTAGCTCTCCCCGGCACAGACCCAGGCCCCGGCCAGAGTCGGGTCTCTCTTGACTGCCGACACCAGGAGTGTCTCTGCCTCAGGGCTGTGCTCTGGGACGACGTTCAGCGTCCGTCCTCTCAGGTACGCAAACTGCTCCCTTGGCAGCAGGTCTGCGGGGGGAGGGAAATGTGTATCAGTGCAACCACTCTGATCCAGACACTGATGGACAAAAGAAAGCGCTCATATTATTGAGGTGTCCTATTTGGGTGGTTGAATGGCACACAAGCAACTGTTCTTGGGGAAAGAAAGTGTGTCTTATTAGAAAGTGGTCCTCGTTTCAGGAGCGTCAGTATATAAGGGGGTGTGGTGTGTGTGTGTGATGGATAATATTGAGAGCCACCTTGCAGTGTGTCTAAGAGAGAGAGAGTCTCTTTCATCTTCTCCCGCACGTCGCTATCCTTTCTCTCCGCACTCTCCACGTCGTGACTCTCGAAGTAGTGTGTGTTCAGCCAATACAGTTGCTCAACTGCCTCCTGCATTATGTTTTAGGGAAGACCAAAGGTCGATCGTCGTACTAGGGATCTTTTATAACTCGCCTGTGCTTGCTTCAACGCTGCATCTCTCGTTGCTTTAGCCTCTTCTGCTGTCTGGGTATCGCTGCTTCCCTCGATGTCCGTCATACTGTCAAAGAAAGTGGTAACGCGTAGGCTCAGCTGCGCTGCTGAGCTAGCTCTTAATTCACACACTACGCATTCGACCGTTTGCGCAGGCGCAAATGGGAGTGGCTGGCTAGCTAGCTACTAGCTGCAGTCCTGCCATGGAGACTTCAGCAACAAGAACAAGACTGGTTCTGCCGCAGTTAGAGATGTCTCCGGCCCCTCGTGCCGGCCACGGAACGTGTAGAGAGGGGGTTGTGCCTTCTGGACTTAGAAAAGCACGGCATGGAGGTACGAAAGTTACCACAATTTTTGTGTTTACATTTGACCAACTTGCTGCAGAGACGAGAAGAGAACAGCAGAGGGTGGAAATCGACTACGATAAGCTGCGGGAGCTATGTTTGCAAGTAGGAGATGAACGAGACGGCGGTGGAGAGCACACTGGTCCCGCAAACAGAGAACAGCGGTGAGTCCCTACAGCAGCTGAGTGCTCAACGCGCCATTAGCTGGCCTCCTATGTTCCGCTTCAGCCACCGGCAGTTCATGTCGAACTACCGACTTTTGCTGCGAGAAACGCCTGCAGACGGAGGCAGGACTGCAGCAAAAGCCCCACCTCCAGACAGGCAGTGTGACACTTCTTGCAGCAGCAGCAGCAGTAAGGGTCAATTAACCTGAATAAGTTTGTGACACATTTCCACACAGTTTCAGTGGACTGCTCGCACCAAGTGGATGTGGAGGCCATCCACGGTCGCAGAGCCACATCAGTGCAGAAGAGTACAGTTGAAACCAATACTAGGCTCAAGGCCATGCTAAACATACTGAGAAAACTGTTAGTTTTTTCCCCTCTCAGTCTCGATTCAATTCAGTGCTGTACAATACAAATAGACCACTACAGAGAGACGTTGGTGAAGTAAAACAACTATCAAATCATCTGTCTCGCTTCCCGTCCCTCCTCCCTCCTTCCGACAAAGACAGACCCAGTGTGTTGGTCGGTGTGGCAGCTCGCTGTCTTCTCGAGACAATCCCAAAGAAGGGATTCTCCCGTAAGGGAAATTAGGCACACCCCTATAATATCTAGAGTTGATTTTTTGTATGTAGTACCAGACAAAGGAGGCGTGTACCTCATTCTCCAGGGGAGTGTGCAGAGAAAGACGAAAGATGAGGCTACCCAGGAGATCATCTCTACCCAGGTGCCCGGGTCTCGTGATAGCATAAACACCTAATAGGCCATGGCGACAATGAGTCAGTGTAAATGTGGCAAAGTAGTGAAATCTTACGCAACAGCGTGTGTAGCTGGCTCCAATCACACAGTTACACGAAGGAGACAGCTTTGGCGCAATGGAGGAAAATTTCATCACAAACCAAGGCAAAGTACCTCACTCAATGTTACCTTTTTGTTCACGTGTGACCATCTTATAGTTACCCAATGTACGTGACAAGCTCAAGATGTGCCCTGATGAGAATAACTGTCTTTGACTATCAGAGAGTGCTGCAGGTTCTTTATATACTGGGGGAAATAACAAAGCGAACCAAACATACAGAGTTTATGTAAATATATAGAACTGTGAGGCGGCTGAGAGGAGGGAGAGACTGTCTCTGATCAGCTCCTGTCCAGCTCTGAGTGGTGTCAGTAGTTCTGTCACTGGAGCTATGGCCAGTGACATCACTGGGAGACAATTCCTCCTAACACCAGTCAGTATGTATAGCTAGCAAGTAGCAACATAGCTACTTATTGTGTGTTGATGTTTGCTAACAGTTCTCATGGACGAAGGAGAGAGGATTGCGAGGGTTGGGTTCATCCAGACAGGCAGCTGCACAGCCTCAATGGCGGTTCCTCAGGCATAGACCAGGGCCCAGGTCTGTGTGCAAAATTATCTGGATTTACTACAATCTAGCTTTCTCCATTACTTGATGTGGATGTTGCACATGTAAAATTATCATGCGCAATGATTATTCCACGTATCAAACATACATACTCATACTGCTAATGTATACTCATTTTTCTGTCCACAGGTGATGATAGGGAGGCTGGGTCCAGGATTGTGTGTGGGAGAGGCTCTGTTGAGAGGGTCGGAGAGGCAGCCGTACAAGGTCCAGACTGGCTCCAGAGTCAGGATTGGCTGGGTGCCCTCGACTACTGTCACAAGTTGGTTTACCACACACCCTCTATGTTCCTGGAGTGTGTCATTCATACACACTCCAGCGATGGATATTATACAACCAATAATATTATGCGTGCAGTGAATGAAGTTGGTAAACTGATTCCAGCAGACAAGGACCTCTCTATCCCAGTTCCAACCAAAGTAAGAACACAACATTTGAAGTAAAAATGAAAAGAGCTATACAATTATTTTGTAGGATACGGTTCGCCACCAGTATGCCAAGGAACTAATGGCTCTACACTGGAGACAGATCAAGGTATTCATGCAATTAGGTCATACACTACTTCTATATTGACACCGAAACACTACATAGAGTGACATTCTGAGTGAAGCAAAAGGTGACCAGGTACCACAACCTGAACCAGTCGGCAGATGGAAGATATGAGCACCCAATTAAACTATAGTTCATTGTGATTGTGAGAATAATAATAGATCTTTACACAACAAAACGGTAGCTATATATTCAAGAAGGTTTGTCTCTATTTCTCTCGATAAGAGGAATTCCGAGAGCAGTTCTAACAGACGGTCTCCTCAGGAGCAACATCTGCACTGAGACTAGCATAGTGTTGGGTATCCAGTACATGAAGACAGCCTGTAAGATACGATGAGAGAGGGAGGGGGTATATTGTAGATTAGAACACAGTCATCGTGGCCGGCTACAACTGACAGTGGGGAAAGAGATGGTTATGGGGATGAAAAGGACGGAGGCGGCTGTGAGAATCCTCCTCACTTTCTTCTCCATTGCATTCGTCTCTCCCACCTCCCCTCCCAACTAAAGACAACACGACCACACACACACCACACATCGTACATTAGAGGTTAGCCATGGAAAAAATAACGCATAAAAACGGGTAAGAAATGGATAGAAATTTTTGGGTTTCGCACAAATTGGGTGGAGAAAACTTCTACTGACAGCTCTCACTACGTACACTTGTAAATATTGACGGCCTATATCGCTGGGTGAGGCTACAGCGCAACAGACCTGTATGTTCATCACGAAGAGTCCGCAGGCAATGACAGGCAGACTGTAGGTGGGGTCAGGGATAGTCAGGTCACCAAACCACAGCATCCCACCACTCTTCATCTCCTCGACCGGTGCCAACGCCATCTTTCGCAGACCGACGAAGAAAGACATGAAGAAGGGAAGTTGCATAAACGGTAGAGCCATCATGGTCAGCGGGGAACAGTTATGTGCCTTGTACAGATCTGCAACCTTCATCTGCTCCTTCTGAACCAGCTCAGTGGCTCCGATTTTGGTATAGTGTTGCACTTTCTTCATGATCTCGGCTAGTTCTGGCTGAATCTTTGCCATCTTTGTGGCGTTCTTGGCAAACTTTACGCTCAGCGGGAAGAGAAGTATTCTCATCACTACAGTCGCTATTGCCACGGTGCCCCACCACGGGAGGCCCGTACTAGCGTGCAGGGAGTCCAACAGTATCTGAGCAAGGCCAACTGGTGTATAAAGAGCCCCAAGACCCAGGCTGGCCAGGTCTTGCCCGGTGTGAGCCGCGTCCGACACGACTTGAAGGACATCCCCCTGAGATACTTCAGACACCCCGCCACCTGGGTCAAGCTGCAGGGTTTCGTCGCTCCAACTGTCTTTAGCGCCGGCCCCGGGTACTTTTGACACACCTCCACTGACAGTCGGGGTCGAGGAAAACGCTCTGAATGAAGCACCTCTGCACTTCTGGACAGTTTTTCTGCTAGTGAACCCATGCACACAGCCAGCAGATCTAGTGACGCTAGCCTTCAGGACCAGTAGAAGCCCTCGCCTGCTGCACAGGACGTTCATCGCTGTGTCTCCACCACGCGTGCGCGGTGTCTGGCCAACTTTATTTTTATATCAAAATTTCTTTTCGGAACGCTGAATTAGAGATAGAGTCCGCACTGCAACATACCGACGAAAAAGCAGCAGCAGCGAGAGAGGTAGGTTTACATTGTACAGAAACGAACGCAGGTGTAGTCAGAATATCCATTCAACAGTGACCAAGCGGGTTGGCCAAGGCCAGTTCTGACTACTGGTAGCCACCGTAGCCGCCATAAGCTCTACCTCCTCTGCCGTACCCATCAGACTGGGCTCCTCCACCTCCTCCATAGCTTCCATAGCCCTTCCCAGTGTACCCTGACTGCTGTGGGTAGCCAACCGAGCCAGCCCCTCGCCCAGAGAGAGATCCGTAGCTCCCACCTACTGGCTTGCTGACTGCAGAGGCAGATGTGGGGGAAGAGGAGGGGACAACTGCACTGGAGCCGAGAAGATTGAGGATCTTGGCCTGGAGGTCTGCCTGCTGGCGCTGGATGTCCTCAGGGGTGTCTGTCTCCATCACATTCTCCGTCACTGGGGCAATTAGAGGAGGGAGGGGGACATTGGGTTAAGCATTTCTCCAAAAACACACGCCGTCTACAAAATGGCTTCTGTAAACTTGACTCTTTCTCTCGCAAAAGAGACAGTGGTAGACATTTGGAAGGGAGAATGCAGAGTAAATTTGACAGGTTGAGAGGCACCGCAAAAGTTTTATCCATGAAACTAGTCGACAAGGTGCATTTCCATAGACTGGGAAAACAAACATTTTCTCATTGAAATGCAAAAGTAATTTCCCGAAACTTATACCGTTGTGGGATGATGACGCAATATTGTCGTCCTGTTTCTGTTTCTGGAGTGCAGAGATGACGGCCGAGAGCTCCGAGGAGGAGAGAGACGCTCCCGACGCGGCCTTCCCCAGGAGGTGGGACACGTCGGGAGCCGCTGGGGGCGGGGCCAACCTCCGCAGACCCCCAGCGCGACGACCGCTCAGCATGAAGTGGTCGAAATCCTTTGAGACGAGACTTAGGGCGTCTTCCAGTGGCATGTTCTTGTGCTCTGGTTAGGGAGTGAGACAGACGAGAGGAAGAGAGAGGTGAGAGGGAAAAGATTGAACTTCATCGTCTTTCGTTGTAAAAGTTCCATGCACGTGCATAAAAGGTTTTTTGACAAGTGCTTCGTAGAGAGCACTTTTTACACTGGATGCATCTGGATTGACTAACTAGGCATACATTTGGCAAAATCATAGGGAGAGAGAGAGGGAGGGGGGGAGCAGTGGGATATACAGAGTCTGGTAGCTAGCTCAAATCCCTATGAATGGTTAGTGGTTCCCTATGTTAGTGCAAGTACCCTGAGGGTTTCGCCCGTGGAGGATGGTGAGAGTGACCGAGCGATGCATTTCGTGCTGACTGGTGATGATGACGGCATACAGGAGACCTTCCTGGGCCGCAGAGTCGAGGGCATCGGCCAGTGACACGGTGGGACTCAGCTGCTGGATCTGCACAATCAGACCCAGTTCCCTGACATGTCCGGCCACCAGCGACGCATAGTCCCTGCAGACGTGAACACACACATACACAACACACTGCAATAAACCACTCAAAGTGACGCTAATCTGACAGGATTTGTGCAACGAGTTTACACTGAAATTCGTATCAATGTTCCGAAAAATGAGGACCGTTGAAAGTGAGTCGCATTAAAAACGAAAAAAAATGCCGCTTAATAGTTGTGTAACTTGTAAAAAAAACGTGAATGCCATTGTTTTTCTCCTGTATAAAACAGCGCCATAAATTCAGCCTTCATACCTCTGCTGTCTATTGATCACAATTATTTCCATGTCTACGCTCCTGCCCTCCCCTCCTCCACCTTCTGCCTTTGCTGGAGCTGCAGACACCACAGCCCTCTTCTCTCTCTCCCATTCATCGTTGCCAGAAAAACGGTCCCTCTCGGGGGGACCCCCGCGATCATAGCTCGTCGGCGGAGGGGACCCCCTCACTCCACCACGTGGGGGAGGGTAATCGTAAGAGTAGCGGTCGTGGGGGGGAGGTGGTGGGGGGTAGCTGTCTCGCGGGGAACCATAGAAATCACGTGAGTGGCCGAAACGCTCTCGATCACGTGGCGGTGGGTAACGCTCATATGGATCATCGCGTGGTCGGCCATAGGGCTCGCCCCGCACGTGCGGCAGTGGAGGAAACGGGTCAAAATCTCGTTCTCGGTCGTGGTGGTGGTATGGATTCCCACCCATGGGGGGTGGGGAGCCACGCCAACCCATTCTGTCCCGCTCCCACCACAGGGGGGGTGGGTGGTCCACGTCGTAACGGTTGTGGCGAGGCGGCCTGAAAGGCGGGGAGGGGGATCTGCGGCCTCTGGGGCCGCCACCTCTTCCCCCACGTGGAGAAGGACGCTCTGACCCCATCTCCTTACGACGCTCGGTGGCTATGTTGACATCTGAAAAACAGTGGGATGATGGGCAAAGTAAGTTCCAGGCAAGGAAAGGGGAAAACACGTCCAGACATACTGCGTAACACTACCACAGAAAAGACGCTACAAAACAGTGTGCCGTCCTTGCTTGCAAAGAGAGAGAAAAAGGGGACTCTGACAAGTGGCGCTGGTCCAAAAACACGTGTTCTTTACCAAGATTCAAACGTGAAAAAAGTGAACGGCACACAAAATCGTATTGTTGACACACAGAGCTACTGTAGGTATATAGGTAGGTATAGGTAGCTAGCTAGCACCTCTTTACTCTAATTAATGCTCACCTATTCGGAGTCCCTCCAGGTTGATTCCGTTGGTGGCTTTCACGGCCGCCTTTGCATCCTTTTCGTTATCGAACTGGACGAAGCCGTAGCTCTTGTGGAGGGAGACGCCCAGCACCTTTCCGTGCGGCTCGAACAGTTTCATTATGTCTTGCCGGGACAACTTGTCCGAGGCGAGGTTGCCGATGAAAACGCGTGCGTTCATCATCTTCGGCTCGTTGCTGCTCGTGTTGCGACCCTCGCGGTCGTAGACCTGTTGAATACGCGACCCCTTTCCAGACATGCAGCGTTCAAAAGAACGCAGTCACTCTCACCACCCCCACTTGCACTGTATTACTTCTCAACACGTGGTACGCATGCGCAGAAGTATGTGCTGGAAGTTAATCGAACACTGGAGACATTATACACACAAACACTGAAAAATGTTTGCACTCCTGCTGTCGTCAAAAGTCCACGATAAAAGTCAGGTTCACCTAATTCTTGGTCCTGAACCTATGCAAATCAGCAGCCGAAAGTCAATCACTTTTCCTCCGGACAGCTAGCCAAGTAGGCTGCTATCTCTGCTTCAAAAGGCTTCTGTAACTGTTGAATCAGTTCAGCACGAAACTCCTGCTGGGCAAAGAGGGACAATGACACAATTCCTTCAACATTAGTGACAGGGAAGACACAAAGAGAGTCACATAATATACTATACCTTGTATGCTTGAACTTTTCGCTGGACAGCCTCGTAGTCTGAGAGTGTCTGCTCCAACTGGTGTCTGGTAAAGAGCTCAGGATTCCGTCCTGTGTCTATGTAGCTGCATTTAGGATGAAACATCTCAATCTCTGTTGAGTATTGCGCCTACTTGAGAACTGAAAGAGGTATTTGTACTCCAGCATATTCCTCTTTCATTCGGTCCAGATTCCTCATGTCTTCAACCACTCGATTCCTGTTTCGAAACAGTAAAATAATAGTGTTCTGGTGGTGCACGTGATGTGCTGTCTCACAGTCTATCGTTGAGAACAATTTGTCCGTTGTGTTGAAAGTCCCCTGCTATCACTCCCACACTCCGAAGATTCTCTATGAACGACTCAAGCTTGTCTTGCAACGTTCCCAGCTTCCGCTGCGTCTGGAGCTCATCCGCAGCCTCGCTTTTCGACGCCATTTTTGCCGCAGATCACGCGATATTTGCGTGGTTGTCATGTGATGCTAAAATGCGCATGCGCAATCGAGCCAACGGCACATGTTTTCACGCTAGAACTGCAGGGGTGTATTTCTCTCTAGCCTTTTTCGACGTAAATAAGCTATGGCAGAGGAAGAAAAGAGTGTGGAAGTAAAGCAAGAGTCTTCGGAAGGCAACGCTAAACATCGGCGTCGATCAAGAAGTCCAGTACACCCGCCAGGACGGCGCGGGCGCGGAGGACGCGGCCCCGGGGGTCGTGGAGGTGGTCGAAGGTTCGGTGGCTACAGCGGTTATAGAGGCTTCGATCGCTCTGCAGACGATATCGACAACACGACCAACAGCGAGGACCCTCACTTGAAGCGTGCGCGGCTGTTTGTCGGGAACATCACGACCGAGAACGTCACTAGGCGGGATCTTGCTCAGCTCTTTGGGCAGTACGGTGGGGTCCTGGGCGTCTCCATACACGGCGGCTTCGCCTTCGTCCAGATGGAACGAGAAAGGGACGCAAACCGTGCCATCATTTGCGAGGACGGCCAGCAGTTCAAGGGAAGTAAAATTCGTAAGTTCATTTTTCACCTCTTACGAAATATCACACCTTTATAATGCTTTATGTAGTGTGCGCTAACTCCTTGTCTTTACTGCTCTTTGCCTTTTCTTCTTGTGACTTGCTAGATGTTGAGTTCTCACAGGCTGCCAAAGAGGCTGGAGCAAGGAGAGGTACGGTATGCCCTTTCAAAAGATGTGTCCACTCAAAAAAAAGCTTGCATCTTTTCTTGCCCACTTTCAACCAACTTTTCCAGGCCATTGAGTGACCTACACACCCCTTTGTTGGTATCTTCTTTATCTGTGGTTGCATGCTTTTGGGGTTGCTTGCTTTTGTTTGCCCCCCTGTCTTGCATGAATTGGTATTGTCTCTTATATTCTTGCATGGTAAAGATGCATGATTCTTGTGTGCTTGCGCGATAGTACGTATATTTCCTTGCCTTGTGTGTGTCCTCTCTCTTCTTCTAACTATAAAACTCTCTTGGTCCTGTTTTGCATGCTTTTTACTTGTCTGTGTTTGTGATATCTACCAACACTCCTGTTTGCTTTCTTTGGAGTTGTGATGCATCTTTTTACCCACTTACTGATGACCTTCTAGCTTTTCTGTGTGTTTGTTGTGTGATAGGCCAGCCCCGCAGTCGGTCCCCGCCACCTCTGCCGAGAGAGAGGGAGAGGGACTATGCCCCGCCTCCTCCCCCTCGTCTTGACGACCATCGACTGGCCTACGAGGATAGACTTGAGCGTCTCCTGATAATAGAACGCGAGATGGCCTACATGCAGGCTCGCGAGGAGCTTTACAGCGAGGTGCTCACTAGGAGCCAGCTTGACCCACCTTCGATGTACGATCAACGTCGAGATGATGGCTATCACAGCAGGCCCCCTCTTTCCCCACCGCCACCTCCTAACCCCTACTCTTCGTCCAGGGACAGGGACTACCCTGGAGATCGCAACGACCGCGGAGGAGGGCTCGACGACAGGCGACCTTACTATAGCAGGTCCGAAGCTTCAGGCATGTCTCTTCATGGTTCAGGGCACGATTCTCGCCCCGAGCCACTCTTGTCCTACCCTCTGCCCCGAAACCGTGCCGGTAACAGTCATCGCGGGGCGGACTTGCTTGCTGGGGCCTACGGAGGTGCCGCAACCAGCGGGAAGAGCGTCGGTTACGGCAGCGGGAGCTACGGCTCGTCGAAAACCCCGGCCAGCGGAGGGTCCCTTGGAAAGTCTTCGTCGGGTGGTGGCTGGCCCGATTACGCACGAGGAGGAGGAGGAGGATCTAGTGGCGGTCGCAGTGGGCCCTACTCTGGCGGCGGTGGTGGTGGTGGATACTGGAACTGAAGAGAAATCCATTCAAAGAACGACTGATTCTAGGGTGTAAAGACGGACCCACATTGTATATAATATATAGCTTAGGTTGTAGTATATACATAGCTCTTTGCGTGCGCATGAAACTTCCCCAGTTGTACAAAGCTCTTGACTTGTGTAAGTTAGTGTACATGCACTCTATTATACGCCATTTGTTTTTGCATTATTATTATGTACACACAAATATGATGAATCTTTTATCAATGAAAAGGTGGGAATAGTACAATCTGTAAAAAATATATAGACTATGAGTGTTTCCATGGGTCAGGGGAGAGCATTTTAGTTCTCTTTAGGATGATCAGCTTTCCTTGCTGTGGGTAAAGAATGACATCACTGTAAGTTCATAAAAGCAGGGGTATATGTACGTACGTCATTACAAGACATGTTGAAGTCGTGTAGCACTGATCTGCACCTGTTAGTGATTCTGGACACGGAGACATAATGCTCAAAACCAGATGCTGTCGAAACAATGGGAAGTGCTTACATGTTGGCTGCATTCTGCCTGTCAAAGAATCCCAGTATGTAGACAAAGAAGAATACTGTGATACTCAAACAGAGGCTCTTGTTGGAGTAGAACATGTCCAGGTAGTTGTCCTGTGGATGAAGACTATAAGTACAGTGTGTGGAGGGGAGGGAGAGTGACTTACATGCTCAGAACCATCTGTCCACCAGCTCCACATGGAGACCACCACCCACAGCAACACCACAGCCACGAGAACTGCAGTAGGCGAGAGAAACATACGCCAGATCGAGAGGGGGTCGGACAGGATTGGCTTCGAATTAGAGCCAACCTCTCCACTTGATGGATCTTCTTCTCACGTGGGAAACGCAGTCAATGACACGCTGCTCGAACGCCTTGAGATCTGAGGAGCACACACGGGAGTGTCGGAAACAGATTCGGGACTTGCATACTGACACATGGGCCCCAGAAAAAAATATTCTTCACCTTCCGTCTGTTCTCTGTTCATTCTGCGACCTTTCGTCCTTTCTCCAGAGCGACATCATGTGACACCAGCGTGATAACCATTGAGACTCACGTGCACGTTGCAAAGGTCAATTCAAGTGCGGCGCGCGCAGCTAGCCAAAGAGTTCCATCTTGGAGAGGAGTTCAGTGGCAGGGCAAGTCTCACTTTCTAGGCATTTTATCACGTTGCGAAGCCGGCGAGAAGACAGCTGACATGACAACTTACTGGAGAAACGCCGGACTCAAGTAAGGAAAATTCATGATAATTATGATGCATTTTCTACCCCTTTTCTCTACACATCAAGATTGTTTTACCAGCACTAGCAACTTCTCCCTTACCTGCAGTTACCTACAATATTCTTCCATCTGTGCTCGACTTCTGCGGAGGGCACTGAAGCCTGATCTTCGTGCAGCTGCTCTACTGCGGGAAGAGAGCACTCTCAAACTGACGAGATGGAAGGCCGGCAAGCCAGAACCAGCTGGTAAACCACCCAGTGGCATTTCCCATGGCCATACTACTATCATTCATGCACGATTGAGTCTATCTCTTTTCTTTATCCTATCTACGCTGCAGAGTCTCTGATAGGAAAAGCACAGTGAGCGGACAGAGGCTGTCTGGAGCACACTGTTGAACTGCTTGTTTACCATCAGCTATAGCTTCTCTGTACCATTCTCCCAAGTTATAGGATTTGTTATCAGTCACTCAATATACAGAACTCCTTATCCGTGTTTAGTGGTTATCATAATGCATGTGTGTTATGGAATGAAAAACAAGTGAGGGTCCCTCTCGTACAGTCTAATGATGTGCTCTTCTGCCAACTTGCACAGTGTGGGGTCCTTTATGTTGAGACTGACGAAACACTGACATCCAGTTCTTTTGGCTGAAAGCATAATGCCACAATGGATACAGTATAGCATAGAAGAAAGATACTGTACCTAGTCGTTTTGAAAGGCTACTGGATGCAGCATTTATTGAATCTCCAAGCAAGTTGGTACTTACAGGATCAGATTCCTGCAACGAGAGAGAAATGTGCGATAGCTAGGTAGATGGGAAAAACATACAAATCTAGTGTTCATGGCGACCGAAAGAGTAGAAAATGAACCATCAACTCCTGCCCATAGTAGAAAGCTACGCTTCATGCACAATATGTAGAATTCCACTTTTTGTCCTGCGAAAACCTCCGAGAAGGTTCTCACTCGCACCTCGCTCTCCATCTGATGCGCACCCGAATTCTATTTGCAGCGCACCCACGTGTCGTCAAAGATGTCTTCTGGCAAAGAGAGCTCGACTAAACGCGTCAGGAACGACTACGAAGAGGAAGAGGAGGGGAAGCCGAAGAAGATCCCTCGGACTCTCGTCGAGAAAACTACGGAGAAGAGATTGATTGTCATTCTCGAGAAAGCTTCATTGGAAACGGTGAAGGTGAGAGTTGCCTCATGCACCGCAGATGCACCTTACGTCCGTAAGTCTTTTCCCGTCAGGTTGGTAGAAAGTTTGAGTTGTTGAACTGTGACGATCACAAGAAGGAACTCTCAAAGCACGGCCGCGACATAGCGGCTGCCAGACCAGACATATCTCACCAGTGTCTGATGATGTTGCTGGATAGCCCTCTCAATAGAGCTGGTCTCCTCCAGGTGTACATTCACACCACCAAGAACGTTCTGATTGAGATCAACCCTCACGTCAGAATCCCACGAACTTTCAATCGATTCTGTGGCCTCATGGGTAAGGTCACAGTAGTCAGTCGATAATAATGCGCCCAATGTTTTCTGACTGTGTTTACTGTAGTTCAGCTTTTGCATAAGCTGAGTATCCATGCTTCAGACGGACCAATGAAGCTAATGAAGGTTTGAGCATTGAGTGACCCATTTTGCCATCTTCTACTTCCCGTTTCCCTCCTGAAAGGTTATAAAGAACCCCGTGACAGACCACCTCCCGGCAGGTTGCCTCAAGATTGGCACGTCGTACCACTCTGACACACTCGTGGACGTGAGAAAGTTTGCAAAAGACAAACCGATTGTGTTTGTCGTGGGGAGCAATGGCACACGGCAAGGTGTGGGTCATAACATGACAGTGTACATCAGTGTGCTGTATTTTGTGTGTTGAACTTGTCTTGTTGTGCAACTTGTCATCAGGTTGAAGTGGATTACACAGAGCAAGAGGTGTCCATTAGTGGCTACCCTCTCTCTGCAGCACTGACTTGTGCAAAGATCTGCACAGCTTTTGAAGCAGCGTGGACCATTCAATAGACTATCAATCCTAATCTTTTGATGTCGATGTGACAGCAATAAAATGGCCACGAGCCCCCTTTTTTACATTTCTACAAGTGACATGGTTGGGTGGGTACAAGTGCGCGATAGATACAAACAAATCAAGTAGAGTTGGTGTGTGTGCAGAAGTGCAATGGAGAGGGGAGACGTTTATGCGGCTTCTGCTTCTTCCTCTTCCTCCTCGTCCATCTCTCCCTCGTCGTCGGCCGTGGCATCTTGGTACTGCTGGTACTCTGAGACAAGGTCATTCATGTTGGACTCAGCCTGTAAGATAGAGGAGAGGGAGGGAGCATTCACAAATCTGGCCACATCGCTATATATGCCGTGCATGATGAATGGAATGTGTGTGTGTGTGGAGGTAGTTGTTTTACAAAGCTGACCTCTGTGAACTCCATCTCGTCCATGCCCTCTCCGGTGTACCAGTGGAGGAAGGCCTTACGACGGAACATGGCAGTGAACTGCTCACTGATGCGCTTGAACAGCTCCTGGATGGCCGTGCTGTTCCCGATGAAGGTGGCGGCCATCTTGAGCCCACGGGGAGGAATGTCGCACACGGCAGTCTTGACGTTGTTGGGGATCCATTCGACGAAGTAGGAGCTGTTTTTGTTCTGGACGTTGAGCATCTGCTCGTCCACTTCCTTCATGGACATACGTCCACGGAACATGGCAGCCACTGTGAGGTAGCGGCCGTGACGAGGATCGCAGGCTGCCATCATGTTCTTGGCATCGAACATCTGCTGGGTGAGCTCGGGGACGGTGAGTGCTCGGTACTGCTGGGAGCCACGGCTCGTCAGCGGGGCAAACCCTGGCATGAAGAAGTGGAGACGGGGGAAGGGGACCATGTTCACGGCGAGCTTGCGGAGGTCGGCGTTGAGTTGACCAGGGAATCTGAGACAGGTGGTGACCCCGCTCATTGTGGCCGAGACGAGGTGGTTGAGATCTCCGTAGGTGGGCGTGGTGAGCTTGAGTGTGCGGAAGCAGATGTCGTACAGGGCCTCGTTGTCGATGCAGTAGTTTCGTCGGTGTTCTCCACCAGTTGGTGGACTGAGAGCGTGGCATTGTATGGCTCGACAACAGTGTCGGACACCTTGGGAGAGGGGACGACGCTGAACGTGTTCATGATCCTGTCGGGGTACTCTTCACGGATCTTGGAGATGAGGAGAGTGCCCATGCCAGAGCCGGTTCCACCACCGAGCGAGTGGGTCAGCTGGAACCCCTGGAGACAGTCACAGCTCTCGGCCTCCTTGCGGACGCAATCCAGAACAGAGTCGACCAGCTCGGCTCCCTCTGTGTAGTGACCCTTGGCCCAGTTGTTGCCTGCTCCGCTCTGACCTGGAGAAAATTTTCACAAGCAGACAGTATGAGGGGTCGTTGTTCCTGTAGTGCTCGCCCCCCTTTTTGTAAGTCCGACCGCGCCGCTTTTCACCTGCAAGAACATGGACACGCAAACCCACCGAAAACGAAGTTGTCCGGACGGAAAATCTGTCCGAAGGGTCCGGAGCGGACAGAGTCCATGGTGCCGGGCTCCAAGTCCACCAGGACGGCTCTGGGCACGTACTTTCCGCCCGTGGCCTCGTTGTAGTAGACATTGATTCTCTCCAGCTGGAGGTCCGAGTCTCCGTGGTAGGTGCCAGTCGGGTCGATGCCGTGCTCGTCCGAGATAACCTCCCAGAACTGAAACGTGAGAAGACAAAGTATATAGTACGCGGTCGCTGCAAAAAAACGGAGGCGGGGCTGCTCCGCACTCACCTTGGCTCCTATTTGGTTGCCGCACTGGCCGGCTTGCAGGTGAACTATCTCGCGCATTTTCGAGGTGTCTAGGAAGAGTGAGGGGCGAAGAAGGAGACTAAACAGGCAAGACCACAACCGTCTGCACTGGAAAAATGGGCGAAGTGAGTGCAGCCGCTTTTTTTCGAAGGCGGTTGGCGGGCAACGGTTTCCGTGCCAACACGCGTTGCTACGTCGTCGTTAAGCAACATTTGCCTAAACACGTCCTGATTGGTCGGCGACTTTCTAAAAATAGCGGCGTTGCACATTCCGTCATAATTAATTTTTGTCCGCGCAAACGCAAAGTGCGAACAACGCGCGCGCACACGCACGCAAAAACACCACACACGTGTGTAACGTAGGGGATGGAAGAAGGGGAGAGAGCAAACCCGAGGAAGAGAGCTCTCTCTAAGAACCTCTCTCAAATGAAGGTAACTTCCCGCTCCTTGCACACAAGTTAGTAAACATTTGCCCGCAGTTCATGAAGAGGCACACTCTTGGGAATGCAGAGGAAGAGGTTGATTCTGTGGGAGGTGTCCTGACAGAAAAATGGGTGGTCCCTGATGCTCCTCCTTCTGCCAAGTGGTGCATTGATGTCTCGTGATTAAAACCACATGTTTATTGTTTTTTTCCCAGCTCTACCATTAGAAAAAGGATCGACAGTTTTGTTGAATGTGAGGAACTTGACACTTTTGGACGCTACTCTTACAACGGGTGCAACAAGGAAATTGAAGTAGGAATTGAGTGTGTGTGTGTGTGTGTGTGGACTGGCATATTTTTCCAGCGATTGGCCCGGTCCCGCCTTACGGCAGGGAGTCCATCAGTCGTAGAGCCTGAAGAGGACGCTGATGTTACTGCTGAAGAAGTCGTTCAAAGGTACATGTACACATAAGGCACATACACATATAGACGCAGAGAAACTGACATGGTTTCCCAACAGAGAACTCTGTAGTCCCTGTCCTCAATTTGCCGCGGCATTCTTCTCGCGAACCGGTAAACAGCCTTTGTCATGAATACCTCTACAAGGCCGCTTTCGGTGGGCGTGTGCACATGTGAATAATCCAGCATTAGCAGTAGACGACCTCACACCGCTTAGTTTGTACACTGTACTGTGTATTCACAGTTGTACTTGGGGCATTCATGTTGACTCTACTATGTGTATATATAGGCATGAGGTAATGGGCTTGAAGAGAGGGGAGCGAAAGAGACGGAGAGAAAAACACTTTGAGAAGATTCTGGACAAAAAGTGGAGGTATAATAATTTGCCCCTATTTAAGACAGCATAATTACGTTTTTCTCATTTGGTCACTGCAGTTAACATGTTGGAACGTTTTATAAATCTGTCATTTTACAGTGTGAAGATGCCGATTTGTGATTAATTCTTGCTAAAAAGATGATAAAAATGCACTAAACTCAAAATCAAAAAATGGATGCTATATATAGTGATTATGCAATGCTCTCCTTTGCACTGGCTGGCTTTCCTGGATCCTGATTCGTCTGAGTTAGCTTTGTCAGTTCCTTTCGCGCCTTCCGAAAGACATAGACCATCAGTACGACGCTGAAGAGGACTTGTGCTATCAAAATGATGTAGCCGTCGATCTTGTTGCCCAGGACTTCCTGCATGTTGCGCACCGTACTCCCCATGTACGTGTTGATGCACTGGGTGGGTATGAGACCGATGGAGGAGCCGGCTAGGAACCGCCAGTAACTGATGCTCGTCATCTGAGGAGAGAGAGGTATGTGTTTATATATATATAGCACACCAGCAAAAGATTTTAGCTATGTGCAAGAAAAAGCCAAACAGTCACACGTACTATATACAAAACAAACAGACAAACGACACAAAAAACTTGATGCGCGCCTAGCCTTGAAAACTGGGGAGATGAGGGAACAATATGAAGGGTGGTCATGCAAAGGTGCTTGGAGACATGGGTATATACTCCATAAAATATGTAATAATACGTAAGTGTGAGAGAGGAAACAGGTTTCACAGGATCCACAGTTCAATTTATGTGGAAGATATAAAATTTAGTAGTGCAATGTTGGGAAACGAGGTGAACTCACTGAAAATAGAACATTTTGAAGACCAAAGGGGACGGGTGTTAGTCGTGTCAAGACGATCACCTTCAACCCGTTCTTCCCCTCGACCACTCTCATGATAGCCTGCATGGCGTTGGATGTCACGATGCGCTGTGCGTACTCACGGAACCATATCCGGCAGAAAAAGAAAGACACGGTCATGCCTATTGTCACTGAAACCATCACCACAAGCTGCCCTTTCATGAACCCATAGAGATACCCTGCGACCATGTTGAGGACTATATAGCCAATGCCAAAGGGGAAAGCGATGACGGTGAAGAGAAAGACAAATATCACGGTGCTCTCGAACCAAGGGAGGTGTTCTAAGAGATCGAGAAGCTGGGAGAGATGGCTCCTGGCTAACACGACAAAAACGACACCGATGAAGAGAAAGACGAGAAAGGGGCTGGAGAGCCGACCCCAGAGTAAGTACTTTTCTAAGGGAGTCCTTTGCTTCGGGGGTGAGGTGGGCGGCCTCAGTAACGTATCCTTGGTTTCCCCAGCCTCCGAGGGAGAACTGGGGAAGATCTCCTCGAGGTTTTCTGACAGGAACTCTTGAAAGTGGATCGGAGCGAAGGCGGCGTCTCCCACACAGCGTTCTATAAAGGCCAGACCGGAGTCTTCGGGGTCCTGCGAGAGATTGGTGCTGTTGACTTCGTCAGCGTTGTCCGAGTCTTCCGGACGGGCCGAGCTATCGGACGTGGCCGCGAGGCTTGAGGAACTTCCTAATAGTCTGAGGTGGGTGGGGAGTTGTAAGAACTGCCCGGCGGTAGACTGCCCGTCTTGTCCCTCGCCTTCATCCGCCATTACCACAGAGAGAGAGAGAGAGAAAAAGAGGACGTGGCGGCGAATGATCTCACACACACCCCCGAGCGATCACACCCAAACCCCGTCATGTGCTCAATTGGCAAGTTATTATAGGGACTAACTCTCGGCCGTGCGGGCTATGAGGCTGGCCACGAAACGACTTCTTCTGAGCGCTTTAGAGTCGCAGGAGACCTGTGCAAACCCCTCTCCTCCAATCTCGGAGGTGAGCATCATTTGCCTAGCCAGCCTTGGGTGCCCAGTCACGTGAGTTGATAATGAAAGTAGTACTCTATTGTCATTGCCCCCTCCCTCTCCCTCTTGTCCCTCTCATCAGGGGTATTACACGTGTGATATCAACAGACTCGGTCCACATCTAGCACCGTATTGGAGAGGCCTGGAGCTGGATCAGGAGACGAGGGGTTTTCTGAGCGAGAGCCGACGAAAGTCTGCCAACGTCTGTCTTCAACTCCTCTACGGTGCAGTGTATCTCTTCCTCTGTATGTTCCTCTCCTTCACAGATATCAATGGGTAAGCCCCTGGTTAATTGCCTAGATAATGCATGACAGCCTAAATTGGAAAATTTTCGTGATTTTGTGATTTCTCCCAATAGTCTTCTTGAGAAAGGGCGAATGTTTGTCTTTTCCGTGGCCCACCTCTCGGTCCTCCTACCTCCCTCTCTCTCTCCTCCCTCTCTCGTACTCGACGTTGGATCAGGTGACGGTCATGTGACTGACAAACTAAGAGCACACCTTGGACCCGGAACAGTCCTCCACGTGACCGAAGCCTCGGCCATAATGAGGCGAGTTCTCCAGAAGAAAGGATACAAGTGAGCCGAGCTTACACGTCGAGGGCCCCCTCCTTGATTGAGAATAATTAGGTAATGTTTCAGAGTCCTAGATGTGGAGAGGTGGCATGGAGAGGGGTTCACCTACGACCTGATATCGTGTCTGAACGTGTTGGATCGCTGCGATCGGCCGCACAGCCTGCTGCGGCAGCTACACGGGAAATTGAGAGATGGAGGAATCTTGATACTGGCAGCCGTCTTCCCCTTCAAGCCATTCGTGGAGAAAGGTGACATGCAAAATAATAGTGAAAGGATCCTGTATTAGCAATTGAGTGCTACTTACATTCTTTGCTTTGGTGCTATAAAACACCTCTCTGTAAAGGACACTTGGTTCTGCCCATACTAATAACCTCCGAATAAATGGACTTTGTGTTCCTGTATTGAGAGATTTTCCACTGTTAAAGCAAACCTTGTAGAAGATTTGATCTTTATACTTTTCTCCCAACAACCGGAATCCTCACAGGCCCTCGTCAGGCCCCGCCCACCGAGAAGCTCCCCGTGAGGTGTGAGAGGTGGGAGGAGGGGGTGAGTGACTTGGTGACTGAGGTGCTTCACCCCCTCGGATTCTCCCTCCTCTCCATCTCCAAACTCCCCTACCTCTGTGAGGGTGACCTCCACACCAACTGGTTCGCTCTGCAGGACATCATTCTAGTACTCTCCAAAGACAAAACTACAAACTAACTTTATCGTCACGTCCACATGCTGCTTCCAATGATCGACTTTCACAATTATTTTTCTTTTCAGACATTCAATTTTTGTGTGATAATAATTATGTCCGAGATTAAATCCAAGAAGTATATATTTTTTCCCAATACACAACCAGAGAACAACGTGTAATGATAGGGACAGCGAGATAAGGATAGAGATCAAGCATTCATTCTGGGATTCGTGTTCAATGCGTCAACAATAATTATTCCAGTTACAGAGAGCCAGAGAAACACACACAAGACAATTAAATAAAACCACAACATGCAGAAGAGTGTTGTTACGAGCGTTTTGCTGCTACGTTCTGCAGCTGAGGATGTTACTGGTCAGCCTTCAGCTGAGGATGTTACTGGTCAGCCTTGAGCTGTCTGCTGGAGAGTCTTATCTGCTCTCCAGGCTTGAAGGCCGGCATCCCGAGGTACGGGCAGCTAGCACAGCGAAATGCATCACCAAGGTAGCACTGCAGAAGGAATTATAAGAGACCATTTGTTTCAACAAGTTGGCCAAGTTAGAAATCTGACAAGTACTGTAAACCCCTCTTTAGCTTCTTTTACAGTACATTAATGCAATGTACAAAAGCCACCCAGAGCAAGATTAGACGTACACTTCCACAAGAAGATGTCGCTGTTCTTGTCTGGGTGACTGGGTTCTCGTTCCCCAATTCTTCCCTCAGTCCACATGTACTGCCAATGTCAGAGAGAGCGACGTGTGGGGAGGGAAGGTATACAACAAGTGAATAAAGTGATGAAAAATTGTGAAAGGAGGGAAAGATTGGGCCATGTATATACATAGAAAAAGAACGAGGGAGCTCACCAGTCTTTGCATGCTCTTTTTCTCCCACTATTTGGTCCACACTGACCTACATATATAACAATCGTAGTAATGACTAGTTCATGGAAACTGTAGTAGGACATATATACTTCTGAGAGAGTCTGGATCAGGTTTGACCAGATCTTCCTCCTCTAACAGAGTGTCAGAGTCCAGCATGTCCTGATGATCATTATCGGATGAAGGAAAGAGAGAGAGATATAGATGAAGTGGTAAGTTACTGTGTCGTAAAACGGCGCTCACCAAATTGTCATCCGCTGGATCGAGAGACCAAACGTTGGCAGTCTCAGAGCTCACTGCACATGTACACATAACCATAGTGTGTGTGGTCTACGGCTATAATGATGTAGCTACCAGGGTTTACCTTTGTTGGTCGGTTGAGGAAGTCGGTTGGCAAATGATAGTGTAGAACTAGCTCCGACTTCATAGGACGGCTTCTTGGCTGACACCTGCCAACAACAGGCTAGCTTTAGTCAACAGCCACACAGCAGCACACAGATTGATATGCACGTGAAGGCACTACATGCTGGTGTTTCGCGGCGTGTGTAAAGTTCTATTTGGTGCATGAAGCTGCAGATACTTACAAAGGCTACTGAGATTGTATCTTGTCCAGCAGTCACTCCGTTTGCCTGCAGACCAGCCAACAGACCGGAATACTCACTCGCCTCCACCTGTGTGTGTACACAATTTGCACGTGTCCACAAGAACGTCATCTACATACGTACCTCTGACACATCAACAAATCCAGAGAGTTTGAGAGCTGATGTCAGCTTCTTGACCGAACGAACACCCTCCACTGAACCTCGAGTCGATAAAAACACCACAAATCTCATTGTTTTCTCACAGACTGGATCACAAATACTTATCATTCTACCGTTTCTCACGAGTCGAAATTTAGCAATTATTCTATGTGTCTTATATCACATGTGTATATAGGAGACCAGAAATGATAGTTGTGGCAAGGTATGGAGTGGGCACAGAGCCTCCGACCTCTGCTGTGTGTGGTGTTAGTGTGGGTGTCTCACCAGAGGCAGTTGTGGTGGTGGTGATGGGCTCTCTGAGAAAGAGGAGGCCAGAAGGTTTGAGGAGCCGGGCCAACTCTCCCAGGAGAGGTGGGGAGTGGGTGAGGGAGGGGGGAGGGAGGAACCCTGTCAGTACCACTTCCACCGAGGACTCCTCGTGAGGAACTGATAGTGTGGGGAGATGGGAGAGAGACTGGTGTAGATGTCTTCTCTTTCCACTCACTGCTTTCCAGTCGGTCGGCGTTTTCCAGCATCACTCGCCCTTTCTCCCCGACTCGCTCTCTCAGTCGCTTCACGAGAGGCTGCAGCACCTCAGGCGTGGTCCCGCCATGCCACACAACCATCACCGTTCTGTTTAACAGCGCAGAGTCCGGCACAAGCTCCATCTTTAGCTCTTTTGTACACTCAGCAATCGTAGGGTGCGCATTAATTGAAACTGACCAGTGGGCACTAATTAGAGAAACCAGCAAGGAGATGAGCTCTCCCACGGGAAACAAGTACACTGTGCTTCTACCTACGTACCAAGAGCGAGACAACCTCCCCCTCATCGTGTGGCTGTTGGTCAAGCACCTCGGCGGATGGTTAGCAAGCAACAATTGCCTACATTATATGCTGACTGTTTTCATGCATGAAACAGTGGCTACAACTATGAGATCATCGTCATTGACGACAACAGTCCCGACGGGACTCTGGAGGTGGCCAAGCAGCTGCAGGAGATATACGGAGAGGACAAGATAGTATGTAGCCCTCTCTAGCTATACACCAACATGCGACTCTCCACTTTCAGGTGCTGCGTCCGCGGAAAGCTAAACTTGGCCTCGGTAAGCAACATGAGAATAAAGAAAAAAGATCTACGAAAAGGAAAATTTATCACCGTTTCTCAGGCACGGCTTATGTTCACGGGGTAAAGCATGCTACTGGGAACTTCATCATTCTAATGGACGCCGACCTTTCCCATCACGTGAGCCATGATGTGTAGTGTGTACATAATTATAGCAGGACACTATCAAGGGAGAAAAAAAGAATGTTAAAATTTTGTGAATTTCTCCAAAGAATTGCTATTTTGAGAATTGGTTTTTGTTGCAAACCCCTTTGGAGAGAATTGTCTATAGCTACACATTTGGGGAAAGCAATTCGGGAAATTTTTCTCTTTCGGCACTGCTTTCTGCCTTTTGATAGTACTGCTATACCTGTATGGGACTATTGCTCTCTCTCTCCCTCTCTACAGCCTAAGTTCATCCCGGAGTTTATCAAGTAAGTATAATTATAGCCGTGTCGTTTGTGAGGAGAAAGGTGACGTGTTATTTGTTACACCGCAGGAAGCAGAGTGAAGGTAACTATGACATCATATCTGGGACGAGGTATGCTCTGGGGGGCGGAGTTTACGGGTGGGACCTCATGAGGAAACTGATCAGGTGACTGACCACTGAGGATCTCGGAAAGAGATCGTGGTTTTGTTTCTCACTCAGTCGAGGAGCAAATTTTCTGGCCCAGACTTTGCTGAGACCAGGGGCTTCTGATCTCACTGGCAGTTTTAGGTGATTTCCTTCTTGCCCTCCTGCTCTCCCTCACTCCCCCCTTTTCTTGTGCTTGCCTAAAGGCAATTCATCTGGCACACTTTCCTTCGTTACGTGAGACGACATAAGTGTCATGTGACTTCAATGTATGAAGGGTTCACGCAACATGTTACAAGAGAATAGTGTTCAAGTGTCGTTCAACACTTTTTCTTTCTCTCTCTCTCTTCTCGATCCACTGTCTCAGAATGTATCGTAAGGACGTGTTGGAGGAACTCGTGTCACGATGCATATCTAAAGGATACGTCTTCCAGATGGAGATGATTGTCAGAGCTAGAGAGTGTGGCTATACTCTTGGAGAAGTATGAGTTTCTCCCTCCCTTTTCTCTCTCCTACTTCTATCCTGCTTTCTCCCCCTTTCTTCTCTCCTGTCTCCCTGCCTTCTCTCTCACCTTTCTCTCTTTCTCCACCCTTTGTTGTCTCTCTCTACCTTCTCTCTCTTTCTCTCTCATCTCCCTCTACCTTCTCTTTCTCCTACCCTTCCTGTCTGTCTCTCTCTACCTTCTCTTTCTCCTACCCTTCCTGTCTGTCTCTCTCTGCCTTCTCTTTCTCCTACCCTTCCTGTCTGTCTCTCTCTACCTTCTCTTTCTCCTACCCTTCCTGTCTGTCTCTCTACCTTCTCTCTCCCCTTTCTCTCTCATCTCCCTCTCCCCCTCCAACCCATCCAATATATATACCCATTTCTCTCTCTCCCACTCCATCGAATCATCACAGGTCCCAATATCGTTTGTGGATCGGCTGTATGGAGAATCAAAACTCGGGGGAATGGAAATAGTCTCATACGCCAAAGGTCTTCTCTACCTCTTTGCAACTACATGACTGATTTTGGCTGTCATTGAAAAAAAATTCTCCCATCATTTTTTTTACATCCATCACCTCTTGAATCAATGTTTTAGGATAAATTATTTGGTGAAAATGAATAGTTTTACAGGGGTAGAGGTGACATACAAAACAATCCAGTGCATGAATGTTTACAACTGCACGTGTGTGAAAATATGGGATGAGACATGTAAAAAGTCGCTACATTGTACAACAACTGCCACACCAAAACCGAAACCAGTCTAAACGAGAGGGGCACGTGTAGCATGGGGATGAAGCTAATTTTTTTCAGAAAAAAACTTGAAGTGGTCGATATTACTATATATGCGTACTGGTGAGTGGAGCGTTACATACAGTAGCTGTGCCGTATGCATGGTGTGTATTACACAACAGTGAACACTATCTTCCTATACCGTTACTGTGATTTCTAGCTCTCGTGTGCTCTCTATCGGCTCAGTCAGTTAATCCGACTCTTCGATCGCTGACTTTCTGGTTGGGCTGTCTCTTTCTCAGGCTTCTGTTCAAAGGGTTGAAAATACGTCAGCAAACGTAAAGGTGTACTCTACAATACCATGAAATTATAGTTCATAGCATACCAGCCATAGGTAGATTCCCCACGAAATTTTGAAAGTGGGAGTAACTATACTGTAAGACAAGCTACCAGCTCCATTGAAAATTGCAACCACGCCCATTACACAACATCCGACTCTATATATGATAGCAAGGGACTTACCCGTCTTTCTTGGTGAGTTTGCGGAGAGCGTCTCTCTCCTGTTGCAGCTGGCTGGAGAGCTGGTCCATGATTCTTCCGTCCTCGTCCTGTCCGCCCACCGTGGCGTCTTTCATCTGCTGAGTCAGCTGCGTGATGCTATGCTTCAGATGTCTGGAGGACAGATTTTGCAGTGTCATAATAATATGAGGGAAGAATTGGGGAACGGGAACCCAGTAACCCAGACAAGAACAGCGACATCTTCTTGTGGAAGTGTACGTCTAATCTTGCTCTGGGTGGCTTTTGTACATTGCATTAATGTACTGTAAAAGAAGCTAAAGAGGGCAGCTACACTAGCTAATGGGTTTACAGTACTTGTCTGATTACAAACTTGGCCAACTTTTTGATCTCTTAAAATTCCTTCTGCAGTGTTCCACTTCTATCTTCACGGCAGACACACTCAGAGAAGGGTCTCTGTACACAACCTTGCTCCCTCCCTCTCTCTCTCTCTCCCTCCCTCTCTCCCCCCTTCCTCCCTCCCTCCCGCAATGTCCTCACCTTACAGTTGTGTACAGCTCCTCGTCCTCTCCATAAGAGCTGCGTATCTCGACGTGAATAAGAAGACCGCTCAACTCCAGCTCCTCGTTGAGCTGGTTCCGGAGCGGAACGGAACGGAACCCGGCCCTCAGAGAGGTCACGGGGAACGTGGCCTGTCCGATGAAGTTGGGGTCGCCAAACACGTCCTCGTCCTGCGCCACGAACCGGATCAGAGCCAGCTCCGGGTTGAAGATTTCAAACTCGCAGCCCTCGTTCCAGACCGGGTTGAACCCATTGTCCTCTGTGGTGGTGGTGTGTGTGTGTGTGTGTGTGTGCGCGCGTGTGAGGAGTGTTTCTCAAGTGAAGCGAGCCCCATTAGTTGTCTGAATTGCGCAACTTTCGGTATCTCGTCGATTTATATGTACATATATAGATGGTGCTAGAAGTGAATATGGTGGGTGGGGGAAGGTGAGTTGTGGGCTGAATCACATAAAGCAGAGAACTGCACGTGCGTGAAAATAACGTCACAAAATGTCTTTCAAAAGAGTAAGCGAGAGTGGAGAGAGAGCGAGTGTGTGTGTGTGAGCTCACTGGCAGAGACAGTCTTGAATTTGGCCCAGTCGGCGTCAATGCCGCACACCTCCACCTCCACCAGAGGAGAACAGATCCCGCGACTCGGTCTCACCAGGTGGCGTGCTGCCACCACCTGTGTGTGTGGGGGAGGATGGGGAGGATGGGGAGGATGGGGAGGGGGAAGAAGGAAAAATGGAGGGAAGAAAAGAGTAAGCGATAGATGGTGGCGAAGGTACGTGTGTTCATTAACAAAAGAATGTATGGAGATGAAAGCATGGATACTAGTATTAATCTACATACCTGAATGGAGAGAGTGATGGGGCGAGAGTTGGTATGGGTGGAGACGTCCATGGGGTTGAAACCGGGGTTAAACATACAGTCTGGCATCAAGACGTAGCCACAGCGACCGTTCTGCTTGAATTTCCCGTCATTCAGGTGCATCGGCTTGTCTGTGGGATGAGAGGGAAGAAAGGACATACCTCCAGACCCTCATACTTTAACTCCCATGCCTCCATTCCCCAATTCCGTACTACCACATACTCCATACCCATTCCTCCAGTCTACATTCCCACACCCTATATTCCATACCTCAAACCCTGTACCCCGATATCTCCAGTCTCTATACCTCCAGTCCCGATACCTGTACATCCAAACCCCGTACCCCATACCTCCAGTCCCTGATACCTGTACATCCAAACCCCGTACCCCATACCTCCAGTCCCAATACCTGTACATCCAAACCCCGTACCCCATACCTCCAGTCCCGATACCTGTACATCCAAACCCCGTACCCCATACCTCCAGTCCCGATACCTGTACATCCAAACCCCGTACCCTCATACCTCCAGTCTGGTAGTTGAGGGACACCATCTGGCACCCTGCGTTCCACATGGGGAGGGGGTCGTAGTTCGAGGAGTCCATCCTCTGCCCCTTGGGGTAGACCCTGCTCATCTGCCGGCCGCTATAGGCGACAAACATCCCCGCCTGGTACTTGTTCTTGACTATCTTCTCTATTCTCGTCTCAACAAACGACGACATTTGGTAGTACTTCCCAGACTCCACTCCTGCCCGGGGGGGAGATGGTCCAGTTAAATCCACCGTTTACTAACCACAAAATGCACTGAATCACGGCTTTCTAGACATTTACAGCTCAATTTAGTTTAGGTGCACGGGTAGCTGTACTGTAGCTTTATATGAGTTAGTGGCTAGATGGTCAAGCGTGGAAAAACTAAACAGAATTCTCTACACGGATTTCCTGGGTGAGCTCCCGCCGGGCCTGGCCCACAAGGTCGTGTCCTACCTCACTATCGACGAGGCGTGCGCGTGTCTCCTGGTCAGGAAAGCTCCGTAACAACAAACACTATAGCAAGTGTAGTGCTGTGTTGTTCTGTCGTACTGAAACGATTCATTACTATAATACTGAAGCATGAGGGGGCGTTTAGTACAGGAAACTGTAATCGCCTTTCCCAAAAAGAGTTCACCCTGTAGAATCTACTGAATGGTGATAGGGACTGAAAGAGCCCCGTAGAGTGTATGCATGTACCGTTGTGGGACACTGAAAGAAGCATTTTAAGATCCCCTCTAAGACGCAGGCACAGGTCCGTGTCACTGCAGTGAAACCCACCACTCAGACTACAGCCTATTCATTACCAAGGTAACCACTTATTGCACAATAACAGGGGACCATCTTTGACAAATATCAGCGAAAAATAATGCCCACCTTTTTCGTGTGTGTGTGTGTGCATAATGCAAAGTGTAGAAATTAGTTAAGTTACTCAAATATCATTGTAAAAAAGCGGCAACTGCTTCTTCAAGCAACTATCACTGACATCATCGTAATTATGCATTACATATGAAGTAATTTACCATGATGTCATTGTTTCCAAGCTGAACATGATGTCACTCACCCTCGAGGAGGAAGGGTACTGGTCTGCAGTAGACGACGAGATCGGACATCTCCCTGGCGATCCTCTTGACCCTCTGCTGTTGATCCAGCAGCTGCTCCTTCTTCAGGTCCTCCTGCTGCTGCGTCTCCAGCTTGTACCGCACCTGGGCGGGGAGGGAGGGTGGGGAGGGGTCATTTTTGGTCGCAGCCAGCTAGGTACAGCTAATCATCCCTCTGTCTCACTTCTCCAACCTCTTCCCCCTCTCGTCCCTCCCTCCTCCCCCTCTCCCCTCTCGTTCCTCACCTCCTCAATAGCAGTCTGCCAGTCCAGAATCTCCTGCAGACTCTCAGCAGCCACCTCAAGTGCCGGTCGTCCAATCTGATCATTACCCTGTGCTTGCTGCGTACACATTAAAACATACTCTTTAACAAACTGTACATAATATAGTACATGCTCTCTAGTTTATTCTTAGTAGAGACAAATTTACAAACAGTGGATTGCTTGTACTGAGAGTTAAATCGAAAAAAAATAGAGAAGAAAAATAGGCAGAAAAATATATAATGACAAAGGTGGCTGGTGGCTGAAAGAAAGAGAGAATCAAGAGCATGAAAAAGAAGAAAGCAAGAAAGCAAGGTGGAAGAAAATTAAAAAGGTTTGCTGTAGCGGAGATGATAGTTACCCGAGGGAAGATGGAGAGGAGGTACATGTGGTTGCCGGGGAGACTGTGGGTCTCCACGAGGATGCCCGAGAGGTCGATGCTGCCCTGTTGGAGGTTCCCCAGCTGCTGCTCGTCTGACTGGCTGCTCGAGTCTTCCAACTCCTCCACGTAGTTCGCCGGGAACCTGAGGACGAGAGGAGAGGGAGAGAGAGGAAAGAAGGGGAGGACAGAGGAGAAGAGGAGAGAGGGATAATAGAACTAATGGAACGCATTGTTGGTGACCGAAAGTGGATGAGAAATCTCAGCACTTAAAAGAATTTGTTGCGTAATTCCAAATTCATCTCACAGTTCGCACCATTTTCTCTTCTTCCGCCCGTGGTTCCCCCTCCACCAGCCCCCCTCGTGTTTCTCGACGTCCGAGATGATGGCGTCTTTGATGAACGACATTTCGTCCGCTCGCATTGCGTTATAGTCGTACAGCGCCCGGCAGGCGATCCTCTCCGGCTTCTCCTCATTGAGCGTGTAGTACACCGCGTGGTAGTAGATAGAACTCTCGTCCGGGTCCTGTGACGTAATGATGACATCATTGATAAAACACCCGACAACGTGCATAATGCACGCATGCATCGCTACAAAACCCAGCATCTGTGCAATAAAACATGTAAATCAAGGTACTGTATACGCAAAATAGCGAGATAGGTGGGAAAATGAAAAGTTTGGAGCGAGAAAGGTCAGGAAAATGAAGAAGTTTAGAACAAGATGGGGGAAAAGACAGTCAATCATCTGTCAAAGATTGACCGCGCCCACTGCTAACCTCTCCAATGCTCTTCAAGACATCGTCGTTGATGGCGTATTTGAGCTTCATCCGCCGGTAGAGCGGGTTTGATTCGTAATACTGGACCAGTTCCGTGAGACTGTCGAAAGAGGCGGAGCCTATCTGGAACTGTCCCCCCTCCACTTGGATACGGCAGTGTCGGACTTTGCCACCAGCTCTGTGAGGAACGGGCGAAGAGGGGGGAGGAAGGAAGAAAGGGAAGCCGTTTGGTTGGGTTCTCGAGGATATCACTGTATGTATGTGCCAAATTTTAAGTTAAGGAAAACGCCAAATTCGCTAATGTAACGCTTTTATGGTAATGTACACACACAAACATGCACAGGCACACACACACACATACACACACACACACACTCTTCATGCACCATCTTTTTTCCGCAACTAATACATGACACATCTTTTTCTCTTTTTCAAAATCCACCCCTTCTTCACCCCACCCACCACATCTCGACACTCTTCAACCCTCCCTCCCTCCCTCTTCCCCCACAGCCAGCCAATAGAGAGGGCTGCCAGACCTGAAGGAGATGGCGTAGTTCTTCCTGCCTTGCGTCCGGTGGTCGCTGTGCCGAATGAGGAACGCGCCGTCCATCCTCACTCTCTTCAACATGTCCTCCGACTGCTGCCGCGTCAGCTTCTCGTGAAACCACGGTTTCCCGAGATGACTGTTCTGCTGGGGAACCGGAAAACCGAGGATCTGCTCGAACGCTGGACTCTTCAGAGGATTCATCTGTGGACAATTCACACGGACAGTCATTGTATTCAGAGATCCAGAGATTTCTTTTCTGGGGCCCCTCGCAACAAATAGATGGTGTCAAAAAAGGCACACCTACTATTTGGTTGTCAAAGTGTCCCCTGGGAAGCATATTCAGGGGGACAAATGAAGCGATAGAGGGACTATGTCCCCCTGGTGCACTCTGACCTTGTACAGTATTATACAGTACATGTACTACACTACTAGAATGACAATCTTGGCGGGCGATCGTGATAGTCACACACACGTGGAATATGTACATACTCTAGGGGGGTCACTGTTTATTCAGTTGTATGTGAGAGGTGTGTATTACGAAAGTGAAATTTCATAAATGTATGGGCATGATGCTGGATAACCTGTGTCACGCCTATATACACTGTGTACTACATTAATACCTTGTAGTACTCGATGAGGTCGTATATGGAATCGAAACAGGTTTGGTCAATGAGGTAGTACTTAGTTCTTCCGCCTTCCGACTTGGTGTGGATTCGACAGTGGTTGTATTTGTTGTCTCGTCTGTAGACGGAGGAAGACACAAGAAGAAGCCGCAGAAATTGCAGGGCGATCTTTTTAAATTTGAGGTTCAGATCAACAAACAACATAATATCAAAATTAGAGCTTCAAATTGCAAAAATGACAAATTCGCGAAGTGCCCCTATTCGTTGATAAGTAAAGTGCAACAATTGGCTCTGAGAACACCTCTATACTAAGTATATTATATTCATGAAGACACCTGTGTGTACTCGGAGGCTCCATGTACACACAGTAGTGGGTTTTCCTCACGTGAATGAGAGAGAATAGTCTCCGGTAAAAGTGGTGCTCTCTCTCACGAGGAACGCTCCGTTCTCCCCTTTGTAATCCTTCAGTAGTCGCTCCGCATCAAACCGTCCGTTACTCAGCTTCCCGTGAAACCACCTGCGGAAGGAGGTAAAGGGTTAATGGGCTTGTCAGTGGATAAGGGGTTAAAAGGGTTTTAATGGGCTTGTCAGTGGATAAGGGGTTAACATACTTGTATATTATAACCACAGACATTAACGGGTTCATACATTGAAAGGGGAAACACAAGATGTTGGATTTTAAGGGGTGTGTGGATTTAAAAAGGGCACTTACTTCTCTTTCAGGTGCATTTCTGTGCTCGGTATCTGTCGGATAAGAGATCACATGACTTTAAGTTGAGATCACATGACATCACAAGACATCACATGACCCACCTCAGGCTCGTCTTCCTTCTCGACCTCGATCTCCTCTCTCTCTTGCTGCTCTGTGAACATTAGTTTTCCGTTCTTTACCAGGACAAAGAAATGTTTCTGCCATTGCTGCATGGAGAAAGACGAGAGAGAGAGAAGAGGGAAGAAAGGAGAGAGGGTCGAGAAAGGAGGAGGAGACAAAAGGCAGAAAAAAGAAGATAGAGCGGATGAGATACTGACAAGAAACGTTCTCAGAGGGAGGGGAAAGACGCATTAAAAAAATTGTGGAGTCATCTTTAGCCACAACTGTTTTGGGGAGGGGAGGGGTGAATTTTCTCCCATGCCCCCTAGAAAGAAGTACAGCCATTAAGGAAATATGAACTTCACAATAAACAGATGGCAAGGAAACTGGGAGCTATACGTAGCTGGGATCGAGACCTTGCTGATGGGGTCCTGCATGAAGAGAAGACCGTTCTTGACGGAGTTACTCAAGTCTTGCAACAGACTCTCCGCATCCTGGGTCTCCTCTGTGGACAGGGGTTTAGAGATGGAGGAGAGAGAGTGAGAGAGAGAGAGAGAGGGACAACTGGTATCAGAAAAGTGAAAGAAAGTGAGAGTAGTGGCTAACCCACACACCACTACAACGAGAGGAGCGCAGACCTACATACAGTGCATAGTGTCTGTGTGTGTGTCTGTGTCTACATGCAGTCGGATTTGGGTAGGGAATCGGTGGATGTGGGGGTTGAGGGGACTTTCGTGAGAAGCAGCAGCTGCCTTACCTTCTTTGGGAACTGGAGTGAACTGCACAATCTCGGCCCCAGACTCGTCCAGTGTCAACTTCTTGTGCTGTGTGTGCGAAGAAGAAGAAGTAGAGAGTGGTTGAAATGAAGGGCAGCAGGGGAAGGAAGGAGGGTTGGTAAAAAAGAGGTTGAGATGGTGAGAAGAGGAGAGAGAGAGAGAGAAGAAGAGAAGTAGAAAGTTGAGAGAGAGAGGGGCAAGGAAGAGAAGGACGGAGGGAGATTGTGTATTTGAGCCACTCGTGTGACTGAAATTGACACCTTGATGATGACTCTTTTCTTGAGCTGGTTGGGTGAGGGTAGGCTCTGGGCGCTGGTATCAATTGGCTGCACCAATAGCATGTCTATAAGGAGCAGACAGATATATATATATGTACTTTATTGTTCATCATTGTACGTAGTATGTTTCTCCTTATAGTGTGTTTCTCAGTACACACGTATTGTGAAGGTTTATACAATACCTCCAAAGACTTCTTTGAACTGCCTGGCCATGATTCTCTGCTGAGGGATGTCGCAGTGCTGTTCTATTGACAGGATAACTGGGTAGTCTGTGGTGGCAAAGGCGTGCTCCTTGATGCACTTTATGACCTCGATGAACCGGATCTTCGAGGTGAGGGTGTGTCCGTGGTAGATGATAGGTTGACCATCAGTTCCATCCCAACAGTCCACTGGCAATAGAGAGAGGGAGTGTGTGTATGTGTGGTTCACCTTGTCATGCATTCACTACCATTTCACTTTCACTCCACATACACATACAGCTTACATGCATTTACTGTTACATCACGAGACGCCCACCGGATACAAACACAAGAAAACTGTTATTTTGCATGTTTACATCAAAACGGAGCACCAAGTTCTATAGTTCAGCCTCTCTATGTGCGCATCATGTACGTGCGTTGTATTTGTGGTTAAGAAGTCTACATGCGTAAATGTGAATCCTATACTCGAGTGGAGTCTGTAGTCTTAAAACTCTCATATAGTGAAACATTCATTCCGTCATACACCCATTCTGTCATACTCCTGTTCTGTCATACGCACATTCCGTCATACACACATTCCATTATATGCCCATTCCGTCATACTCCTGTTCTGTCATACACCCATTCTGTGATACTCACATTCTATACATCTGCACCCGGTCCTGAGGACTCTGCCGTACGCCTCCACCGACGACTCACTGGAGTACTGGTTACCTGTCAGGTATCTGTGGGGAAAGGGTTAAACAATCAATCAACGGTCAGGTACATGGATTGAGTGTGGCCAGTGGGGAGAGGGTTAATTAATCAATTAATGTACAGTCAAGTTGCACATCCTGCTTAGGGCCAGTCCGGAAAGGGTTTTTAATCAATCAATGAACAGTCGGTTAACTGTGTGGGGGTAGTGTGGAAAGGGTTAATTAATGACGAGCAGTCACGCAACAGTGTAGGGCCAGTGGGATCAATTGTGTAGGGTTAATTACTGAGCGATACCGCGAGGAATGGTTGGAATTTTAAGACAAAGGGGGTATTAACTGGGGTTAAGGGCAATTTGGACAGGGTACAGAATGGACCAATCACCATAGAACACATTTCAGAGAAAACGTTAGTCACGCACTCAGCCCTTCACCCACAAGAACCCGACATCTTTTCCAAGAAACAACCATCTAAACAACAAGGAAACCTCAGAAATGAGACTTTCTCTCGTTCCATTTGTGTCTGCATTAGAGGGGTCCTGTGTATTAGCCAGCCAATTGAGACAGTGAGAATAGGGATTATTCTTTGGGAGAGACCAAGAGAGTGGGCATTATTTGGAAGAGACAGCGAGGGTGGGGATTATTTGGGGAAACTGACGTGTTGTGTGAGGAGGCCATCCAGTAGTGGCAGAGGGGTCTGTCCATGTCCTGATAGACCACAGAGTGCTCCTCGTTAAATACACTGTTCCTTTTTGAAAACAGGAAACACACAAACTGTAGCAGGAGAGTGAGGAGGGGAGGGGAGTGAGGGGGGAGAGGTTATAGAGGAGAGAATAGAAGAAGAATCAGGGGGAGAAGCAAAATGTAGGAAGAATAATTAAGAGCAAGAGGACGAGAAAAGAGAAAAAGAAAGGGGGGAGGAGGAGAGGACGGTAAAAGGAATGGAAGAGAGTGACGGACGAGAGAGAGGGGAAGGAAGGGAGGGGGAAAGTCTGGAAGAGAACCAGAGAGAGAGAGAGGGTGTCTGACCTCTGGCAGAGTGAGTGACGGTTGTCTGGTGTCTCGGACTCGATTCGAGGATCTGATGAAGTCTCTGACTAGAGTTGCCGCGTAGCCTGGTTCTTCCATTCTCTTATCCTGCACACATCACACACACACAACATTCAATACTACTGTACCACGACCCGTAAAGCAGGAATTAAACTAGTTCCAAAGGCCGTGAAACACGCAAGCAAAGTTGCACCACGTATCATGAGCTTAATCAGACAGCACAGACAAGGATGTGTATAAGAGGCGACGTAATGCACAATTTGTTACCTTCTGCTGCTCTCTGAGGAAGTTGAGTAGTTCAGGGAAAGTGATATTTGTCTTGTCTAAGCAATAAGGATAGAACTTTTCTCCTACCTATGAAGTCATTACAACAGGGAGAGAGAGAGAGAGAGAGTGGCCAGGAATGTCGTTTACCTCTGGAATGCATGGTTGGCTGTAAAATATGTTAATGTAACATTTATCTACATGGAAACACGGCCAGGAATGTCGTTACCTCTGGAATGCATGCATGGTTGTCTTGTAAAATATGTTAATGTAACATGTACAGTGGACACATGGCCAGGAATGTCGTTACCTCTGGAATGCATGCATGGTTGTCTTGTAAATGTAACATGTACAGTGGACACATGGCCAGGAATGTCGTTACCTCTGGAATGCATGGTAATGAAACATGTAATCATTATACACATGTGCAATAGGCATTTCTGCACACATGCAGTATAAGCTATGTATATACATGTAGTATCCTAACATTGTGGAGTAGTGTTTGCTGTTCACTTACACTTTTAACGTATATCAGCATGTGGTACATGTTGACAAATTCTTCCAGGCCAATGGTTCCCGACTTCGTGTAGTCAAAGTCCTTTTTCGAGCGGAGGGGAAAGGAGAGGAGAGGGAGGAGAGGGGAGGAGAGGGGAGGGGAGGAGAGGAGAGGGGGAGAGAAGAGAGTAAGAAGAGGGAGAGATATGGGTGGGTGATGGAGTAAAAGAAGTATGGAGGTTGGGCAAGAGAGAGGTTTTGTATGTGAAAGGAAAAGAGGAGGAACTCGAAAAGTGAAAAACCAGGGGGAGGATAAACACCCATCATTTCAAACAACAACAACAACAACAACAACAACAACAACAACAACGACACCAATGAACTCAAAAGACAGTAATAGCAGCAAAAGAACTGCCAAATAACAAGTCACATAACGCAATATTTACAATCGCAGTGTGGAATTGCGTGCATTTGTGTACACGTTGTATAGGGAACGGAGAGGGGAGACATATGTCGTTTCATTTACCTAACTTTTGAAATGTACACATACACACTTAGCAAGTACAGTGTAGTTGTACTTCGTATATACGTAGGAATGGGCTGCATTATTATGTACATACATACATACATGAGACAATGTACAGTATATAGTACTTCATATAATAAAGTGATGGGAGCTATGTATATCTACAACATATTATTGGGAGCAGGAGTGGTGCCTGTACATTATGATCAAGGCCCAAACAGCAGCACAATAGTATTAGTAGGTAAACATCACAAATCAACACAAAGATTGGAATGTGTATACAGAGGAGGCTAAATGTGATCTCATCCTATAACTCTTCCTTTTGACCTTCGACTTGAGGGCAAAAAAACCAGTCAAAATGCACATACAATTCAGTGGGAGAGTTAGCCTGGAAACAAGGCTATATTATTATATGCACAACTACTGGGTTTTACCACACCTTCTTTCCCAAGAGACTGTACAGAGAGACTGTACAATGTACGCCAAGAGGCAAGGAAAGGCAAGGCAAAGCAAACAAGTCAACTACACATATGACACAAAGGGAAAAACACCATTTGGCCATCATGTGAGCTCTGAAGGCACCTAATATGAGGTGATGGTGGGCATTACCTGAAAAACCTGTCGGAACCTGCTCAGAAAGGTTCTGTTGTTGATCTTCGTCAGAAACTTCCGTAGGTCGTTGGCATTGATACTGCACATGTGTAGAGAGAAAAACACTCTTATTCACGTAATGTAGGAAAATGTGTTATACTCCCAGTACTCTCATTCTCACATACCCCAATATTCCATGCATTCTTCAATCTCTTTCCCATATCCCATACTCTCATTCTCCCATACCCCAAGTACTCTCATTCTCCCTTACCCCAATACTCTCATTCTCCCTTACCCCAATACTCTCATTCTCCCTACCCCAATACTCTCATAGACCCATACCCCAGTACTCCATACCCACGTACTATCATACCCCATACGTACGTGCCACTATTGTTGGTATCGAGCAGCCTGAACTCCTTGTGTAGCCATCTGAGGAGGGAAACACAGTCACACACTGAAACAGGCAAGGAGACAACAAAACACACATTCGGCTCGGCAGTCACAGAAGAAGGAAGAGAAACCTGGTAGTCAATTAAAGCAGGCCTTACTAATAAAACAAACTCTATGATTTACACTGGCCTACGCAATACAACACGCTATCAGTCAGACGTCTGTACATTCCCAGAAACTTGCAAAGTTGCACAGCCTTGCATGTACAATCTACCTACACAGTTGAGGTCCTATGGTATTATATACACATTCTATAATACACACCACATACACAGAGAGGTTGCATTAGTTTGGGTGGGTGAAAGAGTATATACATAGGTAATATACCTTTGGGTCATGATGTGAGAGGAAAAGTTGGCCGGATGCGTAATGTGCCTCAGTGCCTTCAGCCATGCGTCGCACTCGTCCCTGCACAGGGCTGGTGAGACACAGATTGAGAGCAGAACACGGGGAGGAAAGAGGGAGAGAAGAGAGGGGGGGGGAGTGGTTCGAAGTCTGTATAATTATACTTATATGTAAACCCAGCAAACCCACTGGCAGTTAAATAGGGGTGCAATATCAACTTAACTGTGTACCTCATACTCACTACCTCTCCACACCCATACATACACACATGACGGCTGATCATTATATATACTACTGTTCTTCACTGACATAAAGTTCTACACATAGACCCAGGAAGAACAAAAAGGGCAATCTGTGTTTGAGTTTTCTCTCGGGAAATTTTTTACGTGAAGCAAACCACCCCCCCCAAATAATTTTCACCCCAAAATTTGTTGGTATAAGGAGTGACAAGGACACTCATCCCTTTCTCTCTCCTCTCTTCTTTCTCCCTCTCATTCTCTCTCTTCTCTCCCTCTCTCTCTCTCTCCCGTTCTCTCCAAGACAAGTTACCAGCGACGCTGAGAGTCTTCAGTTTGAACTCTGCCCCGTAGTAGATGACGTAACAGCAGAACTGGTCCAGTTTCCTCAGCTCCTCCGGCTGCCGCTCAAAGTCCTTGGATCCAATCCCGTCGCGTACCTCCTTTATTTCGCGAATGTCAACTGCAATTATACACAATGGCTCGTATACATACACACATCCGCACACAGACACTGTGTCATGGTATACATTAGCACTCTGTGAGTTGGTATTAGGATGAACTGCCACAACTGGAAATGCTCAAACCCATCATCCCCAAGCTTCCCCTGCAGGGCAACTACTCCTAAGACTACTATATGCTGGACACGGACAAGCCCACTAGCAAAGTGAGCCACATAGTCCAGGACCAATCATTATAGGATATCCCTATCACTATTCGTTGCTGTGGACACATAATGCCTTCTGGCTGCCATGCCCCCCCTTTCTCCGTGTGTCTACTGTACCGCCCCCGGCTTTCTCACTAGATTCCTCGCAAAGCGTGTGTTTCCCGCGGCCCATCGGGTACTGCAGGATCTCAAACGTGTCCGTCTTCAAGCAGAACACGCGTCTCTCCGGCACTTTTCTCTTTCGGAAGAACTTTATCATGACCGTCCCCTGGTCGAGAGCGTGGAGGATCTGCGGGATCTCCGCCGAGCTGCCGACAGCCATTCGTGCCATGTCTGCAGTACCCGGACCAGCCGATCTCGACTTCGTGCTCATAGTGGTTTAGCGCACCCCACACTCCGTCTATATAGTCTAGGCGTCGCCGCGGTTTACAAATTCCTCAGATTGGCATCCCCCCAGAAGCACTGTATAGATACTCTGTACTCGACCGTGACTCCCCACACCAGGAGTGTTAGTCAGCCGCGGCCCCCAGTCATCGTTTTCAGTTTGAGGACTTCACCACAAGCGCATGCTCTAAACACGCGATACGCGCAGCGCGCTAATAACGTCACGTGAGCTAAATCTAGCGCATGCGCTTTTGTGGTTTTGACCGCGTGGCGTGTTCAACGACTGTTCCGGTTTTATCATCAAAGAACCGTCATGGTAAGAGCTTTGCATATTCCTCGCGTTGTATACTTTCTCCGTAGGTGTTTAAACGTTTTGTAGAGGTGGGGCGAGTGGCGTTGGTCGCTGACGGGGTGGACAAGGGAAAGCTGTGCGTCATTATCGACGTCATTAACCAGAGAACGGTGAGCAGTGCACACAAACGCACGACCATTTATTCCTATCCCATTGAATGGGTCATCGTTTTGCGATATGCGTTAGGAAAACCGATAGAGTGCGCACTATTTAGGGTTGAAGCTCCACCCACTAATTATCCCTGTCGCCCCGCCCCCCAGGCTCTAGTGGACGGACCGTGCACGGGAGTCCGTCGGCAGGCAATGAACTTCAACAAGCTGTGGTTGACGGACTTCAAGATCAGGATCTCGCCCTCGGCCAGAGAGAAGCAGGTTCGGAAGAGGTTTGTGGAGGGAGACATTGGAGCCAAGTGGGAGAAAACCTCGTGGGCCAAGAAGATCGCCATGAAGAACAAGAGAAAGACACTCACTGACTTTCACCGGTTCAAGCTCAAAGTCTTGAAGCAGCAGGTGGGAAAACAACTGATGCGCTTTAAATAGAACGTCATTTGTAATTATACTTTTCCCCCCTCCGCAGAAATCTCGGATTCTACGAGGGAAGTTCAACGAGATGAAACACGAACTGAAAAATAGCAGTTGAAAGTCGTAGCATGTTAATGTGAATAATGTACATAATAATAATATTGGCAGATTTGGAATTTCAAGCGCAGAAATAATATATATGACGGTCATGAATCCTACAATATAACAAAAATCAGACAGTGAGTGCATATTGTCAGTGTTGATAAATGGGGAAAAAGATATATAGCTGTACGTAACAGAAAACGGTAATAAGATGAAGTGTGTGCTCAAATATCATGACATGGGTGTGATTTCACTTTATGGGGTCCAGTTGCCTGTTGAAACCACCCCTGCGGTTCATGTATTGTCTGCAGTATGTACAACAACGGTAAAGAGTGTTAGTTTGGTACTGTGGATTACCTGTAGCGCTTTGGTTTACCAATCTTCACGGCACCCTCAATCCCTGGAACATGCTTTCCCTGCAAAGAGAAACAAACATAAGTATATATACTCCTCAACATTACTCAGTGTTATACACTCTGTAGCTGGTACGATTAGTCTATCCCTTTGTATTATAGTGCATATTGTTTAAAATTGGCTTTCTGCTGAATATTATATCGATTTGTGAATTGCATCTCCAAATTACTCGGCAAGAATGGGAGACCCACCTTTGTTGTGTTGAAGCGGGTGAACCCCATAATTTTTCTCATCATCTCTTCTTCTTCCATCTGTTCCTGTGTCTTTTCTTCTTCTTCTTCCTCCACCTCTTCCTCTTCCTTCTTCTTACCTTTGTCTTTCTCCTCCCTCTCGCTGGCGCTGTCCCTTCTATGAGGAGACCTGCAGGAAGAGGGTTAAATAACACCAGTGCTGCCAAAAAGTACCAAAAAACTTTTGAGGACTAAAGCACTGAGCCGATTAAAACTTTTACAGGCTTGCTTGTCCGAAGTATATAGCACACCATGCACCCACAAAATTTCAAAGGGTTAAACATAGTAGCTAAAGCTATAGTGTAGCATAGTCTTGTGGCCCACCTTGACCTTGACTTTGACCTTCTTGTTCTGTCCCTCCTATCTTTGGACCTAATGTTGAGATTTTCCACCAGTGACTTAGTTTTGTGTACTGACGGCTCACCTGTTGCGTCGTGGGGACCGGGAGCGATCTAGAGTTAAAGAGAACAAAGGAGGAAACTTCCCAGCACCCGTGTGAAAGGAGGTTCACCTCTGTCCCTCTTGATACTGCCGCGATGGTCTCTGTCCCTCCCTCTCCCCCTATCTCGATCTCTGTCTCGGTCGCGATCTCTCTCCTTTCTCAGGTCTCTATCTCTGTCTCTGTCACGGTCTCTACCCCTTTCCCTGCCGCTGTCCTTGTTCCTCTCCCTGTCCCTGTCTTTCTCCCTCTCCCTGTCCCTGTCTTTCTCCCTCTCCCTGTCCTTGTCTTTCTCCTTCTCTCCATTTCTATGAGAGTGACCTGAGAGACCCGCCCACACGGTCACATGACCACGCAACACGTCCACACTACGTCACACACGCACACAATACGCACAGTACGAACCTCTAGGAGACCTGGAGCGGCTCCTACTGCGCCCCATGGGTCTTCTTGCTCTCTATAAACACGGCCACAAAACGGTCCCTTCTTCACGCGTTAGCCGAGTCCAGTTCCAGTACCGAATCGAGACCCGCCCAGCACACAGCCACGCCCACTTCCGTCCGTTTACTTCTCTTCCTGCTTTCTGCAAGAAGCTCAGGGCCAGTCTACTCGAGTCTACTCTTTTCTCCGACCGTGAAACTCACCTGTCTGTAGATCTTGAGCCATGGCCGAGCCACTGACGACACTGCCCGAGTGGAAGGAGCTGGAGACGCACTACAAGGAGGCCGCGGAATGGCACATGCGAGACATGTTTATCGACGACCCAGGTCGCTTCGGCAAGTTCTGGTAGGCCTGGGGGTATTATGGCCCGCTACTGCTGCGTGCAAGATACATAGTTAGGAATAGAGTGTAGCTAGCTAACCCGTTCCTCCGTGCATGCATTGTGCTGTTTTCGTCGGTTCCGTCTTCTTTACAGCGTCTCTCTGAAGGGACAAGACGGAGAAATTCTGCTTGATTATTCCAAGAATATTGTCTCCGAGAAGACCATGAAGCTCCTCTTCAAACTGGTTAGTCAATCACAAACCAGAACCAGCCTAAGACCAAAACGGTCCAACAGCAACCAATGCATGCATGCATATTTTTTACCATGCATTATCCTCCAGCTTGTGTATACCACTGGCACTATTCGTCTGTCTTTGTGCTGAGGTTATGCGTTAGAGCATTATACAATATGCTGCTGATGTAGCCCTTAAGACTTGAGTCAGGATGGTGGCTGGAAGCCAGCTGAGAAAGGGGAAGGCTTCTGCTTCCTGCGTCTTACCACCTCCTGCACTGTAGCTATGCATTGTAGCTTGCTTTAGTGACAAGACCCGTGCAAGCATTAGTCGACCACTCTCCTCACTCATGTACATACATACATACATACATACATACATACAGGCTCGCGCACGAGGTGTGGAGCAGATGCGGGACCGAATGTTCTCTGGCGACAAGATCAACATTACCGAGGTAACGCAGTTTTACGTGTTTTTAATCCATCTACCCCGTAGTAATAATTGTGGAAAATACATTTTATGTCTTTTTGTTTGTATGTATAGGACCGTGCAGTGCTCCACATTGCTCTGAGGAATCACTCCAACCGACCAATCACAGTGGACGGTGCTGATGTGAGTGACATTCGGCTGGTGGTATATACCATACAGCATTGATCGTTGTGGGGTGAAAATGTATATTATTTCACAGACTGGTATGTAGTGTGCCTAATTGCAAATGAAATTTTCCTCAGACTGTCAGATTCGTGGAATTTACATGCCACAAAAATATTGCATACCAGCAATAATTAACCCTTCCCTGTCCAGATTTCTAAACGATATCAATGAAATAATTGTATAACCCCAGGTGATGCCCGAAGTGAACCGAGTTCTTGCACAGATGAGAAAATTCACAGAGGTACAGTACAGTATACGTAGCCATATCATAGCAATACAATACTCTCTCTCTCTCTCTCTCTCTGTCTCTCTCTCTCTCTCCCCCGGTTGTGTGTGTGTTGCAGAGTGTCCGCAGTGGACAGTGGAAAGGTGAGCCTCCCTCACGTGACCCTCTCCCTTCCCTTCCTCCATTGAGTGACTGATCCACAGGCTACTCTGGGGAGACCATCACTGATGTCGTCAATATCGGCATTGGAGGCTCCGATCTGGTCAGATCTTAACTGTAAAAATTTTCACTGGGTTGCTATTTTTACGTTGTGTGTAAGCGAGATGTGGCAACAAACCGGAGATTAACAAAAAGTATGCAGTACATGTATGTCCTTTATGCAGGGACCGTACATGGTGACAGAGGCCCTGAAGCCATACAGTAAAGGTGGCCCCAGAGTTCACTACGTCTCTAATGTGGACGGAACGCATCTCGCCAAGACTGTCGAGGGACTGAAACCACAGAGGACGCTGTTCGTTGTGGCATCAAAGGTTTAAATAATGTGGAAAGAGAGAGAGAGAGAGCAATAGAGAGCGTGAGAGAGGGAGAGAGAGTGAGTGAATAATTGTATGTTTCTTATATACAGACCTTCACAACTCTTGAGACACTCACTAATGCCAATTCTGCCAAGAAGTGGCTCCTGGACTTGGCCAAAGAAGTGAGTACATGCATTCACACGTAGTACCTTGTAATGTGGACATTGTTACTGTTGACGTTGTGAATGCGGTGGCGTCTCTTCCTTGTTCAGGAGACGGCTGTGGCAAAGCACTTTGTGGCCCTCTCCACAAACGAGGTCAGTGGGCTGGTAGTCTGCCAGTTGGCTCAGCCTCCATAATGGTATTGCTCATTGCAATGGCTCTATATGCACGCCTTATACACGCCTTATACACGTACGTAAGTTCATCCAACAATTATGGTGCGGATTAGGTCATTTTGGTAGTGGTTGCAACAACCTGCACTTTTTGCTTCCTAGAACACATGCATTTTGATTAAGGGTGACAACGCCCACCTTTCTCATAATACCTCAGTTTTATCATTTGTGTATATATGTGTATCATATCTCGTATTATTTCTGTGTGTGTATCCCATTGACAGGCAAAAGTGACGGAGTTTGGAATCGACAAAGCCAACATGTTTGCTTTCTGGGACGTGAGTCAATCTAGCCAAGCGGTTGCACACACAACATACTGTAATATCTGTCGCCATCTCAATCCCCAGTGGGTAGGAGGGCGCTACTCCCTCTGGTCAGCCATTGGTCTGTCGATTGCCGTCAACATCGGCATGGACAACTTCGAGCAGCTGCTGGCTGGAGCTCACTTTGTGGTCAGTGGCTGTGCTCTATAATACTCTACTCAATTCTTCTCAAATTTCTTCCTAATTTTCTAATTTGCTATTTCCTCACAGGATGAGCATTTCCGCACAACTCCACTAGAGCAGAGTGTAAGTCTAACACACACAGTCTTCAGATTAGTACATGATATTGCATCGTGTGTGTGTGCGTGTTTTTGATCAGGTTCCCGTGGTGATGGGCATGCTGGGTGTCTGGTACAACAACTTCTTTGGAGCCCAGAGCCACGCTCTGCTCCCCTATGACCAGGTACATACATACATAGACCCACGCTAAGAGCTCTCTCTGACTCCCTGTATATATTTTTTAATCATTTTTCTTCTTCTCTCCTGCAGTACCTACACAGGTTCGCAGCCTACTTCCAGCAGGTAATGCTATAATCCTCTCAGTACATTGTGTGACATGCAGTTCCTGTTTGTTGGGTGTAAAGGTCACACTACACTTATTGCAATGTTCTGTGTGGTCTAGTGGCATCTTTGAGCTAGCCTCTAGCATTGGTATGTACAATACAGGGCAAGTCTTTTGCACGTTGTAATATTTTTTTGAGGCACGATTGCTGTTAGACCACCTGTGCTATAAACTCTCCCTGTGCCGACAGTATGTGTCCTCTATATATATACACCCTCACTATAGTATGTGTGTACTGCACTGTGTTAGACCACCTGTGCTATAAACTCTCCCTGTGCCGACAGTATGTGTCCTCTATATATATACACCCTCACTATAGTATGTGTGTACTGCACTGTGTTCCAGGGAGATATGGAGTCAAATGGGAAGTCAGTGTCACGACAAGGAGCTCGAGTCAGCTACTCCACTGGTCCTATTGTGTGGGGAGAACCAGGAACCAATGGCCAGCATGCATTCTATCAGCTCATCCACCAGGGTAAGCCAATAATACTCATGCACTCAAGAGTATTCATTCACAGGCTGATTGGTACGCTCCGTTTGCTGTATGTAGGTACAAAGGTCATTCCGTGTGACTTCATTGCACCAGTGGAAACCCAAAACCCTCTGGCCAATGGCCTCCATCATGAAGTATGTGTGTACATATTCAGTCACTGGTATCGGTCCACATGTAGCTTTTGGTGTGTCATTATGTGTATATACCCTACAGTAGTGGCACACACACACACACACACACACACACAGCTCAATTTTTGTGTGTGCTACATGTACATACGATGGATTCACACCCGTGTAATTCCCGTACACTTGATGCAATTTGCAGTGATTATGACCAGGCTTAGAGCTATACATACAGCATGGTATTCAGGACATACGTACATGGTGGATGGTGTGTATGTGTGTGAGACTGTCTCCCGCTGCAGATTCTGCTGGCCAATTTCCTGGCCCAGACAGAGGCCCTGATGAGAGGAAAGACGAGGGGAGAGGCGAAGGAGGAGCTCGTCAAAGCCGGAATCAAGGGAGACCAACTCAACGCTCTCATACCACACAAGGTATGTACATAACCTTCCTTCTTCACCAGTCTGTTGACTGACACACATCTCCCTCCCTCCCTCTCTCTCTCTCTGGACAGATCTTTGAGGGCAACAAGCCAACCAACTCTATCATGGTCCAGAAACTGACTCCGTTCAATCTCGGTGCCCTGATTGGTGAGTACAACCCAGCTATATATAATTATTATTAATCCAACTTTCGCTCCATAAACAATGATCTGTTGATACACACTATGGTTGTGTATTAGTCATGATTTCTGTGTATCTTTGTTGAGACTGGTGTCATAGACCATGCAAAAGAAGTGTAACTGTTGATGTATCAATGAATGTGTGTGTGTAAAACTGTTGATATCAATGTAACTCGTGTAACTCGTGTGTTCTCCACGCAGCTCTGTATGAGCACAAGATCTTCACCCAGGGTGTCATCTGGGACATCAACTCCTATGACCAGTGGGGGTGAGTCACCATCACTGTGTGTGTGTGTGTGTGTGTGTGTGTGTGTGTGTGTGTGTCTGAACATGTGATTAGCCAATCCCTAACTCAACTGCCACAGCCTATAAAATTTTGTAGACAGTTACTGTATGACGTGGTTCCAAAACTTCCGAGGGACCAAATTTGCAATTTCGATGTTACAATTCACAACTATAAGAATATTTTTCTCCCGCCATTTGTAATGTAGCAATCACGTGTGTGGATTGTGTCATGTAGCGTTGAGCTGGGGAAGCAACTGGCGAAGATAATCCAACCTGAGTTGCACGGAGACAAACCGGCCAGCGGCCACGACAGCAGTACCAACGGTCTCGTCAACTACATCAAGACTCACCGGAAATAGAGCCGACCGCAGCCCCTCTACCTCTCTCTCTCCTCAACCAACCTCTGCGGCATTACTTGGACCACATTATGTGTAGCTATAGAGTATAGTGTATGAACGATAGGACAGTATTCACAATTGATTGCCTCCAATTACTAGAGCCATACATAATCTATGCTAGATTATTATTATGTATGCATGTGTATAGTGTAGAATGACCAAGTTCACAATTGACCAGAGACGAACCAGCAGTAGGAGAGTCTATACACTCATCATAGTAGCATACTATATACTTCCACATGCGACACTTGCCAGAGTACATGTTGTCATGCATGCAGACCGCACAAGTGAGTTTGTGAGGACGTGATTTCCGCAAAGATTCAGTGCCTGTGACAGTTGCATAACAAAAGCAAATCTGCACGAAGTTTAACACAACGATTTTAAATAACGACGAGTGAAACCCATAATCATTTCCACCTATACTAAATATTACTAGTCCATTGTGCTATTGAATGATCTGTCCACACTATAGGAGGGGTGTGGTCAAGGGGTGTGGCCTCAATAGCGGTAGTGTTCTGGTTTGAATGGACCGACTTCGGGCACTCCGAGATAGTCGGCCTGTTTCTTGTCCAGTTTGGTGAGTTTTACACCCAACTGTTCCAGATGGGCCGCTGCTACCTCTTCGTCCAGCTAGAGAATCAGATCGGAGAGGGGGGAGGGGAGAGAGGGCGAGGGAAAACAAGAGAGAGAGGAAGTAGAGAAAGAGAGAGAAAAAAGAGCGAGGGCAGGGAAAGAGAGAGGGAAGGAGAGAGAGATAGGTTCCAACCCAGGCTTCATTTCACATCAGAGGACGCAAACTCCATGAAAAGCAAATACCGCTCCACTTACGATGTATTTATTTACGAAATATACGTATACAACGCATGCGATATTATATTATACTCCTTGCAGTTTATTATTACACTCCTTGCAGTGAGGTATATACACTCCTTGCAGTGAGGTATATTATACTCCTTGCAGTTTGTTATTACACTCCTTGCAGTGAGGTATATACACTCCTTGCAGTGAGGTATATACACTCCTTGCAGTGAGGTATATACACTCCTTGCAGTGAGGTATATACACTCCTTGCAGTGAGGTATATTATACTCCTTGCAGTTTGTTATTACACTCCTTGCAGTGAGGTATATACACTCCTTGCAGTGAGGTATATACACTCCTTGCAGTGAGGTATATACACTCCTTGCAGTGAGGTATATACACTCCTTGCAGTGAGGTATATACACTCCTTGCAGTTTGTTATTACACTCCTTGCAGTGAGGTATATACACTCCTTGCAGTTTGTTATTACACTCCTTGCAGTGAGGTATATACACTCCTTGCAGTGAGGTATATACACTCCTTGCAGTGAGGTATATACACTCCTTGCAGTGAGGTATATACAGGTAGACAATCTTAAACACGCGACGAGGCCACCAAAAGTGGGTTCTATAGTTTTACCTTCTTGGGGAGGGTGTAGACTCCGACCTTGTACTCGGAGTGTTTGGTCCAGAGCTCAATCTGGGCCAGGACCTGGTTGGTGAACGAGTTGCTCATCACGAAGCTGGGGTGACCCGTGGCACACCCGAGGTTCACCAGACGACCCTCGGCCAAGAGAATCACGTGTTTACGGTTGGGCAGCTCGTACCGATCCACCTGCACACACACAGACACACACACACACACACACTCAGTGACCATGGATTCTAGAGACTGCTGTATACTACTTTCACCACAACACGCACTTGCACAAATTTCTGTGCAAGCCGCATTTGGCTCTTCTTAGTTGAGCATGAAATGCACTGATGCAATTATCAGTTTAGTCTGGCCCAAAGGAGTTGGATAAGCAAGGACATACAGCTATGAAATTGCTCGCCCTCTATCCCCCCATTCTCCCCCTCCCCTCTGCGCCTGTCTCTCTCTAACCTGAGGTTTGATGACCTCTTTCTTGCAGTTGCTCTCCAACCAGCTCCGGTCGACCTCGCAGTCGAAATGGCCAATGTTGCAGCAGATGGCGTTGTCCTTCATGGCCAGGAAATGATCCGGTCGGATTATGTCGCAACAACCGGTGGCCGTCACAAAGATGTTGGTCCTTGCCGCCGCATCGTCTAGGGTCGTCACTTCGTAGCCTATAGTGCAGTGGGCATTATATAGAATTGGATGATGGCGAGCTCAAAAGACACTCTCAAAATGACCGCTAAAGTGTTTTTCATCTTGGGGTGTACTTGTTAGCTACCATACCTTCCATGGCAGCCTGAAGAGCTAGGATGGGGTCAATTTCAGCCACTAGCACACGAGCTCCAAAGGCCCTAAGACTCTGACAGCAACCCTTCCCCACATCTCCATAACCTGCCACCAGACACGCCTGGAACATGTCACATGATAGTCACGTGACTAGGTCAATAGGCACATGCATGACTACTACAGGTGACATATTATATTTGTTGATAGGCCACATAATCATGATAGTCAAAGGACTATAATATAGTCACGTGACACATCACATTCAAGTCATGTGAGTATCACATGACCAGTGTCAAACCTTGCCAGCCAGCATGATGTCGGTGGCTCTCTTGATACCGTCCACCAGACTCTCCCGGCACCCGTACAGATTATCGAACTTGCTCTGAAGGAGAGACATCGGTAAAAAGAGGTTGGGACAATTATTAAGAGGCTATCTGGAGTGAGCCAACTTAGTGGGCAAAACAGGTCGTACAACAAATCACATGTAATCAAGATGGTCAAAGGACTAGTCACATGACACATCACATGCAAGTCATTTGAGTACCGATTGTCACTCTCAGCGGCCGACAGAGGCACTTCCAAGGCTTTAGACTAGTCACCGATCCAAAACTTGCACTGTGTTGTATCATTCAATTTGTGCATGCTTTGTCATCTGAGACTGTGAGTTGTCTGTAGGCTCTTCACCCCATATATATATACCAGGTGCAGTGCTCCCATTTGCCAAAAATGCCGCTGCACTTGCCTACCAGTTATAAAGCCTTCTCCACTCTAATGCAAGACTGAGCCAACGTCAACCCCAACCCCCCCCCTCTCTCTCTCTCTTACAAACCTCTAACCTTGGTGACTGAGTCGTTGACGTTGATGGCTGGAGTCTTCAGTTTCCCGGCTTTGTGCATCTTGTAGAGATTGTGGACACCGGTAGTTGTCTCCTCCGTGATACCTTGGATACCTGCCACAGGGTACGACAAACAAGAACAAACCTCTACACACTAGAACAGTACAGAATTCCATCCTCTCCCTCCCTCCCTCCTTTCCCAAATGTTTGTTTTAGCTCCTCGACACACTTGGACATACGTACCCGCAGACTAAAGCTACCCATCCAAACACTTGCAAACTCAATGCGTGTTTTTCTCTCTCACCGGGAAGCAGTTCTGGGTACTTATTGTGGACTAGATTGGTGAGGTCGCCCCCGTCGTCAAGGATCATATTGAGCTGTTGGCCGTCGGGCCAGTGGATCGTCTGCTCGATACACCACATGTACTCCTCGTCCGTCTCTCCCTTCCACGCATACACGGCAATACCACGAGCAGCCATCGCCGCGGCCGCGTGGTCCTGCGTGGAGAATATGTTGCAGGAGCTCCACTGAACCTGCAGTGGGAACAGAGTAAGATTTTCACACGGGTATATAAGACAGCTGCAAATCTGGTGGCAACTGGCCACACACCAAAAAAAACAGGGGACTTAGCAGTTTTTAGTAGAGAAAGGTTTCGGATTCTATCAACGTCTTCTGATCCAATGCACCACATAATGTTAGTTTAGATATCACCGAGTGAGCGCTTACCTCGGCGCCCAGCTGGATGAGGGTCTCCATTAGTACGGCAGTCTGGACTGTCATGTGCAGACAGCCGACGATTCGCGCGCCCTTCAGCGGCTTCGACTCTCCGTACAGCTGCCTCATGTTCATGAGCCCCGGCATCTCGGCCTCTGCCAGGACGATCTCCTTGCGGCCAAAGTCGGCCAGTTCCATGTTAGCTACGTTGAGGTCACATAAATGAAGTTGCCGCGAGAGGCACCACGCGGACACTTACCAACTTTGTAGGGCGGTTTTTCGCCTCCGTTGACGGCCATGGCTCCTCACTAGGACAAAGAATAAACTGCTGGGAAGCTCGAAGATTAGAGAGAGATGTGATCGAAAGATTTGGCTGAAAGAGCACGTGTGTATCCGGTTTTTTGCACGCACGCGCGCGCAGGCTATTAGCAAAGAAAGGGGGGCGTGGCTCCTTCTTCGCGATCCTCTTCAGCTGGCAGTATGTCTGCTGTAACTGCCTCTGGAGCCGGGAATGCGGCTCTGCTGGACCAGTTCCGCAGGCTCAGCGAGAAAGAGCAACACGAACACATACTCAGCCTACTCGAACTCGTAGAGGTGGTTCTAAAAAACCGTTTTCCTAGCTCGCTGCATGCTATCTTTGCTGCAGGTACACGAGCTGCGCAGCCTGTACAACAGGATACGGGTGCTGCTGTCGTTCGACATTCTGTCCCAGTTGCCGGTCGAGCTCTCGGCCATGGTGCTCTCCTATCTGGACGCCAGGCTCCTCTGCGCCGTCGCCAGGTGTTGCCACAACTGGAGAACCACGGCCAATCGAGACGAGCTCTGGTAGCTTAGACAGACAATTTTTATACCTGGAGTACAGCTTTTTATTGGCTATATCTCAGTAATATGTCTAGGTAAAAGAAGGCCAACACGCACGCAATTATCTGCATGACCAATCATACCCACAGTTGCAAAGTTGCAGCTATTGAAAAGTTGCCTATGCATGCTGGCATTCATTAGGTGGACATATCACTGAGATCTAGCTAATGACAAGCTGCACATGAACAGTACTCCACTTAGGATGGACCCACGATACACACGCAGAACAGAAAACAGTAGTCTCTATGTATTTTCTGTAGGTACATCTGTGCAGAGTGAAGGGCTACGACAAGTTATCGAACCTGCAACGACCGGCTTGGGCCGAGCGCAGCAGACCCATCTCCCCCCCACGTTACACCTTCCCCTCCCTCCCCTCCTCCTCGCCTGCGGCTACAGGGACAAGACTGTCTCCAGTATGCAGGTGGTGGCGGGTGTATGCGGAGGCCCACACTCTCCAGAGGAACTGGGCTGTTGGTGTCTACACCGCTGCTCCTCTTCTGAGAGGACACAAGCAAAGAGTCACCTGCATCGCTCATGAAGGTGGCACCACCTACATTTTGCAGTGAAGACATTTTCTCATTATAATTCTTCCATGCTAGAGTATATACTGTCTTTAATAGTGTTCGAGCCACAAAGTTTGACTGATAATTCAGTTGCCCACATGTAATGACTGTACTAAAGTTTTTCCTAGAGCAAATTCACAGTTTGAGACTACCAGGAGTGTTCATGGTGTACAATACTGCTAGCGCATTTAACGATTTTTTGGTTTTCTCTGTGTGATTGATGCTGGCTGCAGACGATGAGTTGGTGTCTGGGTCGTGTGACGGCTCGGTGAGAGTGTGGAGTACGGACACTCTCAATTGCCTCCACACTCTGGAGGGACACACAGCTGACGTCAACTGTGTGGCGGCCAAGGTTAGCCTGCCACATAATACTGGAGAAATTTTCTTTAAGGGTGAAATTAACGCTTAGCGGGGGAAATATTTAGAGAAGTGATTCTGGCAGCAAAAAAGATGTCGTGGAGAAAACTTACTTATCCGGGAACCTTTGTAGATGCCTAACAAACTGTGACTCGACGATTTTCTCTATCACACTATATTATACTTGTAAGATTGTGTATTACAGGATGGGGTAATTGTGACTGGCTGTGCAGACGGGCTAGTAAGATTGTGTATTACAGGATGGGGTAATTGTGACTGGCTGTGCAGACGGGCTAGTAAGTTGTGTATTACAGGATGGGGTAATTGTGACTGGCGGTGCAGACGGACTAGTAAGATTGTGTATTACAGGATGGGGTAATTGTGACTGGCTGTGCAGACGGGCTAGTAGATTGTGTATTACAGGATGGGGGTAATGTGTGACTGGCTGTGCAGACGGGCTAGTAAGATTGTGTATTACAGGATGGGGTAATTGTGACTGGCTGTGCAGACGGACTAGTAAGATTGTGTATTACAGGATGGGGTAATTGTGACTGGCTGTGCAGACGGGCTAGTAAGATTGTGTATTACAGGATGGGGTAATTGTGACTGGCTGTGCAGACGGGCTAGTAAGATTGTGTATTACAGGATGGGGTAATTGTGACTGGCTGTGCAACGGACTAGTAAGATTGTGTATTACAGGATGGGGTGATGTGACTGGCTGTGCGACGCGGCTAGTAAGATTGTGTATTACAGATGGGGTAATTGTGACTGGCTGTGCAGCGAACTAGTAAGATTGTGTATACAGGAGGGGGTAATTGTGACTGGCTGTGCAGACGGGCTAGTAAGATTGTGTATTACAGGATGTAATGTGACTGGCTGTGCAGACGGGCTAGTAAGATTGTGTATTACAGGATGGGGTAATTGTGACTGGCTGTGCAGACGGGCTAGTAAGATTGTGTATTACAGGATGGGGTAATTGTGACTGGCTGTGCAGAGGCTAGTAAGATTGTGTATTACAGGATGGGGTAATGTGACGGTGTGCAGACGGCTAGTAGATTGTGTATACAGGATGGGGTATGTGACTGCTGTGCAGACGGCTAGTAAGAGTGTGTGTATTACAGGATGGGGTAATGTGACTGGCTGTGCAGACGGCTAGTAAGATTGTGGTATTACAGGATGGGGTGATTGTGACTGGCTGTGCAGGACGGGCTAGTAAGATTGTGTATTACAGGAGTGGTGTAATTGTGACTGGCTGTGCAGACGGACTAGTAAGATTGTGTATTTACAGGATGGGGTAATTGTGACTGCTGTGCAGACGGGCTAGTAAGATTGTGTATTACAGGATGGGGTAATTGTGACTGGCTGTGCAGACGGGCTAGTAAGATGTGTATTACAGGATGGGGTAATTGTGCTGGCTGTGCAGACGGGCTAGTAAGATTGTGTATTACAGGATGGGGTAATTGTGACTGGCTGTGCAGACGGGCTAGTAAGAGTGTTTGACACGAGAACTGGACAATGCATCAAGTAGTCTGCCACCAAAATCTAAAGGAGGCTCTAATTTTATTACAACTTCCATGTGTCCAGCTCTCTACATGGCCACACTGGTTCAGTGGAGCATGTGGTGCTATCTGGAAGAACACTTGTCAGTGCTGGATCAGACTGGTGGGCTATAATTATATGTACAGTGAAACATCTCTGATCTGGACACCAATAAGACAGAATAAAGTGTTTGTATTATATAGCAGGAGCACATAGTGGTGCTCATAATGCTCCTGGTATTAGTGAGGTGTCTTTATTTCGGGATTAAATTGAATGCAAGAACTGTCCTTGGGGAAAGAAAAGTGTCCTTAGAGAGGATTAGGGTTCAACCTTAGTGCTCATGTGCTCTTATCCTCCCTCTTCTCTCCCTCAAAAAACTACAGCAGTGTTAGAGTGTGGGATGCCACACTGGTAAACTGAGACACACTCTGACAGGTCACACTGAGGAGGTGGAGGTTCTGAGACTGTGTGGAGACGGAGCCCTGTCCGGATCCTGGGACCACAGTCTCAGAGTCTGGGACACTCTCACTGGGATATGTACACACACCCTCCTCAGTCACACAGAGGGTATGTACACCTAACACTCTCACTCTCAGAGCATGTGTCATACAGCGACAAATGACTCTTCCAATAAAGGACACCTCAGTTCTGCCACGTACTATACATTAGTGCCTCCGAATAAGGGACACGTCTGAATAGAGGACACTTTCAATGTCCCCCAGTATTCAGAGGTTGCACTGTACATATAGGGGCAGTAGCACAGTATTAGAATACTGCCATGAAAGCTTAATGGTCTCAATGGTCCGAAGAAAGTTCCAGAACACATAAAGACTAGTATCAGCTATGTCGCTGAAATTCAATGGTGGTTCTCTTCCGGTCAGTTGTCAGTTGTTGTGAGGGAGAGTGGGAGATGAGGGAAGGGGGGATGAGGAGGAGGGCAGTGAGTGGAGGAGGGGACGGTCTGGTGAAGCTCTGGGACCTACAAGACGGGAGAGAGCTACTGTCTATGGCTGGACACACTGCTGAAGTGGTATGTGTTGGTGTCCTCACACCTGTACCCTCCTAGAAACCGCAGTGATACAAGGACACCCCTGAAATGCTTCCCCAAGAACCAGGTCTTCCTTCCCATAATAATTAAATTGACACCTCACTTAACTTCCCCTGTTCAACTTGTGTCAAAATAATGGTTTTCCACTCTATGGTAATGGCTGGGTGTGAGTTCACAGGAATGTTGAACTCGCCCCAAATCTCCCGTTAGGTGTGTGTCCAGTTCAACTCCAGTGTGATGGTGTCTGGGTCGACCGACAGCAAGATAAGAGTGTGGAACTACCAGGGACGCTGCCAGTGGGTCCTGGAGGACCACATTGGAGTCGTTCGCTGTCTCTGTCTGAGAGGAGACAGGCTCGTGTCGGGAGGAGACCGGAAGAGAATTGTTGTATGGGACGTCAAGGTATGCAACCACCGTGCTATTGAGGTTCTTTGTCAGATAGGAGTCCAGTCATTACTTCAATCAGGATGTACCTCACGAAAGTTCATGTTTTTCGTATTCCATTGCCTTTCCATTTTCTAGTCTAACCCCTAGCCCTGCGACCATTCTCTTAGTCTATTGAGTGGCGAATCACCCGATGTACGTGGGGAGTATGGTCAAGCATGGCATTTCTTTTGTACAGGAACCTTTCACTGTGGCAATGATTTTCAAATGGTGTTTTGTCAAACTTCCTTCTCCCTGATTCTCTCTCTCTCTCCATCCAGAATGGAGAGAAGTTGCACGCAGTCCACAGACAGCAGAGTCTCCTGCACAGAATGTTGGTCACGGATACCAAGATCATCACTGCCTCCCCAGACTCACCAGGCACCATCAGTATCATCTCTTACTGGTAGTCACACTCACCTATTATATCTATATATACCAGCATCTCATTCTACTTCATGATAATGTGCTTTATTAAGCAAACAGAAGGAACTGAAAAGATTAGTGGGACGATTGCGATTGTGTGCAAAAGGTCTCATCCAAATTTATGGGCCTGTGCAACTGCAATTTGAGACTTTCTCATACAAAAAGAGTTGCTTCATACATAATGTTTGCCTGTACCAATGACGTGTGGGATGGCAGTTGACAACTGTACAACTAAAACAGAGTGTCTAAAACTAAAACTAAAACAGAGCGCCAGGAAAGGGAGGAACGATGGGGAATTGACCGGCATGGTGAGAGGCTAGTCCTTCTTCCTGGTCATGAAGCTGATGATGGCGGCAGCACACTCGTCAGACAGCCATCTCTCCTCCAGCAGCTGGCACTCTGCCTCGTTTACCTCGTGCAGCTTGCTGTCTCATACTGCTCCGTATCAGGGCCTTCGACTTCTGCAGCGACTATTGTCACCATTGAGAACGGGAGAGAGTGGGCAGAAAATAAAGTATGGGCTAAATTTGCTTTTAATTGGCACCTATATAAGTCCTGCAAAGGAGGCCCTTTCTGACTTATATAGGATCCAATTGCGTGCAGTTCAGTATGAGGGTTTGCATGCGTATGAAACGTTGCTAGCTTTAAAACACCTCCAAATAGAACAATACCATTGGAGGTAGGCTGGCAATGTGGAGTGCATTCTCTGTCAGTTTCTGCTGAAACTCTGACTTGGGATAGACCCTCGTGACCAGCCCACGCTCGTACGCCTCCCCAGCCGTCAGCTTCACCCCTGCCATTAGCATCTCGTTAGCCTGCACCAACAAAGAGCATAGAACACTATATTATCAAGGGTTGTCTCTGTAGCAAGAAGAATATTCTGAACCGTCCCCTAATTGAGACCAAGCAAGAGAAAAATGAATTTGTGTGATATCTTATCTAGAGGTATATAAATCAACACTTATGTATGTAAGTTAGAGGGGTTTATGTGTACATGTACCTGAGCTGGTCCCATGAACCGGGGGAAGAGGAGAGAGGAACAGCCCTCAGGAGACTGGCCCAGGGACATGACGGAGAGGTGGAACGTGGCCGTTGGGACGTTTGACGAGACACCACAGGCACAACAGGAACGGAAACTACATCGAGAGAGAGAGAGAGAGAGAGAGAGATCACTTGTGGAGGTTTACTCACGTTGTCGGCGGCGTAGACGAGGTCGCAGAGTGCGAGGAGAGTGACAGGGATACCCACTGCTGGTCCGTTCACTCCTGCTATCAGTGGCTTGGGGAAGTCAATGAACGTCCCGACAAACTCCCTACAGACACAAGGAATAAAATCAGAAGGCGAGGGGTTGTGCTTTTCGGAAGATCTTAAGTTCGCCTTTTCCTTGGCATAGTAGAATTCAACTCATGAAGGTGGTCAGGATATACCCACGTGTGAGATTTACCATGCAAAGAGAAATAAAAGTGGCCCATTTTCTTTACAGAGGAGCTAACACTGAACGTTGGTAAAAGTATACTTGAGGGTGTCTTTGGCCTCGGCAGCCATTTTCTGAGGCCCTTCGGGAGGGATGTTAGTGAAGTTGGAGAGGTCGTTGCCGCTAGAGTAGTAGTCCCCAGCTCCAGTCAACACTGCACACACCACCGCCTCGTCCTCTCCCGCTGCCTGGAGTGCCTCCTGGATCTCCCTGTACATCTAGACCAGACATACGCACGGTCCACTCTTGTAGACTTCCCCCCATTCCCCCTCCTATCAATAATGCTATTGCATTTCTTTCTCCTTCCCACTATCTTGCTGTACTTATCCTTATCTAGCTCTGTATTACTGAGCTGTGTAATACCTCAAAACACAATGTGACAGTGGTATAGCACACGTGTATATATACAAACATGAGAAGATCTAACCAGCTCACAGCTAGTAAGGTTCCTCGTGTAGTTACTAGGAAAGGTTCCAGTTATAGGTTTACATAGGAATCTACCCACAGTTATTCCGGCAGAGAGCTAACCTGGAGGGTAATGGCGTTGTACTTGTGTGGTCTGTTCAACAGTATAGTCCGGCTCCTCCACTGTCAGAGACCACTATGTCCTGATAGGAGGACCCTCCACTGCTGGGGTCAGTGGCAGCACTGCTGGACGTCTGGTCAGCAGACATCAGATCCTCTACTGTGGTGCAGTACTGCCTCGTAGCCTCTTCCTTGTGTGTGTGTGTGTGTGTGTTTTGTGATGGTGAAGAAACATAAGGAAGGGAAATAAGGAGAAAGAAGGTAACAGAGTAACAGGGCTGGGAGGGCTTTTGTCCAAATTACCTGGGCGGCAACCCAGTGTCCATGCAATCCTAGCCTTGAGGCACCGCCACATAGCAACCATGAAAAAACATGTTTATAGCATACTAGCTCAGAGGAAAAGAAAGAACCTCCCCCACCCAAGCACACAAAACACAGACAATAACATACCCAAGCGTACAAAAACACAGACAATGAAAAGCACTAAAGTGCAAACCCGTCGACGATGCGCGGTACGACTACATTGCATGGGTCTGGGCTGCTATAGTATGCGTTACTGTGGTCTCCCGCTAGTAGCTTGCAGAGAGTCTGACACGGGCTAGCTACAGTCAGTAGATAGCAATGGCGAGAGCTCGCTACACGCCATCTCGTTGATGACATATCTTGTGCCTCCAAAGATACACAGGCCACGCGGAC